GAAACCCAAGGGGCACATTGGTTGTTGGATGTGATTTTTTTAAAAATCTCTCCTAGCCCACTTGAGTCCATTGCTACACAGGATTTAGGAGACGGTTGGACAACTTCACCAAATTAGAAAACATTGGTGTCAATTTTTTTTTAATAAAAAAGATTGACTTAGTAATCTTACTTTTTCAGCTTTGGCCCTCAGTCTGGGTTATTTTAAAGCAGTCTGTGTGAGGGGGTGGTTTCTGCTCTCCCCCCTTTTAACTAACCTTGTTGATCCGAGTAAATGATAGCCCTCTAAAAATAAAAGGTAGGAGCAGAAAGAAAACAGAAGTTACTCAAGGAAAAGGGAACTTTTAAAAGCAAGCAGGCAAATAAGAATTTCCTTCAGACTTTCCTTAACTCAGTAGCTGTTTCTGCCAGATCAGCAGAGGGGAGCATTATACTCCCTTCTGAGGACGTGACAGTCTCCACGCTTGCGATGGCGGGACTAAAGGTCAACACCAAATATACTGTGTTCTTTGCTCAGAGGAATGCAACCGGATTCTGATCACGTGAAGCAATGCATAAATTATTATCACTCGGAACCACCTTTGTATCCTGCGCTTCATCCAAGGGCCTCAGGGTAGAAAACGTGGGGCAATTCTCTTTCATTCTCACAACTTTCTGAGGCAGGCAGGGCTGCAAGTCACTCAGTGAAACTGATGGATGAGCAGGGACTTGAACTCAGGTGTGTCCACAGTCCAGGTCGAGCACTCTGCAATTTACATCGCTAAGCTCTCATTTCATTTGGTCACCCAGAGATAAAAGGACAGCAGGCTATTGGGGATACTTTACAGAACACATTAATTTTTATTCTTTTTGCAAACTATGTAAGAAAACGTATCTGGCAGGTGTACTGAGAAGTTATCAGTTATTCTTGGATCTACTTCTGAGGCTTGTTAAAAAGGAGGGTTAGACTTGGTTTGTTTCATGCTAAAGGTATGCCTCCTAAGGCCGTTTAAACAAATCCCTTCAACTGTTTCCATAATCTCTTCCACATCAGATTCACATTTCTAGCCCTTACCCCTGTAGTAGTAGTAGTAATAATAATAATAATAATAATTTATTACTTAAACCCTGCCCATCTGGCGGGGTTTCCCGAGCCACTCTCGGCGGCTTCAAACAGGAGATTAAAAATACCTTAACGATATACAATATCCTTATTGTCATTGTCCCATGCAGAACAATGAAATTGAAAAACTACGTAAAACATTCAAAAACCCCTAAAAACTCTGAAACCCCATTTTAAAATACACTATACTATAGAGACCCCTTATGCTGCATTTAGAACCAGAATTGCATTTGCGTAGAAACTGTTTCTCAGTCATTAAAAAACTTCCCTAAACAGGGCTGCCTTCAGATGTATTCTAAACATCAGATAGTGGTTTATTCCTTTGACATCTGATGGGAGGGCGTTCCACAGGGTGGGAGCCACTACCGAGAAGGCCACTACCTTTGAAGCACCTTCTATATTTCCATCCTTTTCTTCTCTGCATAAAATGATATTACGTGCTCCCCCACCCGCTGCTTTTCCTTCCCCTCTCTCATGCTTTGTATTGGTGTCTTTACTTCCCTTATATTGGAAACACTGCTGTCACGAGTGCCACAGAGGTCAGGGAGAAGGTGGGGAGGGACAGGAAGAGAGTAGAGAGTTGGAGGGGTCTGACTCTTGGGAAGGTCATTGCAGGATGGGGAATAGGAATCTGGGGCATCAGGAGCAGTCTGACCCAAGAGAGGGCCCCAGTGGTTTGGGTGGTGGAGACTTGGATCTGGAAAAAGAAGAAGATGAGTTTGGATTTGATATCCCGCTTTATCACTACCCTAAGGAGTCTCAAAGCGGCTAACATTCTCCTTTCCCTTCCTCCCCCACAACAAACACTCTGTGAGGTGAGTGTGGCTGAGAGACGTCAGAGAAGTGTGACTGGCCCAAGGTCACCCAGCAGCTGCATGTGGAGGAGCGGGGAATCGAACATGGTTCACCAGATTACAAGTCTACCGTTCTTAACCACTACACCACACTGGCTCACCAAAAAGAGCTCGGTTCCCAAGATTCTTTGGGGGAAGTCACATGCTTTAAATGGATGGTGTGTACACAGCCATGCAGGTGTACAGTTACAGGTGTCAGTGTGATAAAGGCAGCGGGACAAACCCTAGACTTGTGGTAGCCAACCTGGTGTCTTTCAGAAGTTGCTCAACCACAAGTCCCATCATCAGCTGGGGTTGATGGGAGCTGGGAGTCCAACAACATCAGAGGGTACCACATTGGCTCCCCCAGCTCTAGCATGTTGCTAGCAAATAAAAACCCCTTACTGGGAATGTGTGCTGCCTTCCTGCTACCACTTGTCTCTACCAGAAGGAAATATAGAACATGGGTCTCTCTCCCGTATGAACTCACACATTGGCAATGCTCTTTTCTTCCCTGTTGCATACATGGAAGTATCTGTATAAAACAACAGAGAGTCCCGGGACACTTTACAAGAAGTTAACAAGTATACATTTGATGGTACAGGATACAGCATTCTCTGTAATATCTGGAGGACTGCAGGTTCCCCACTTGTTTTAGTCTTTTCCTCTGCTTTTAGTTTTCTTTGTATTTCCAGTCACTTTATGATGTTTGTTTTTATCTTTCATTTCCTTAGAGACCTCAAAAATACATTATATTCCTGTACATACACCACAACTAATAACAGTGTGCATCTGTAAAACATGTTCTTATTAAAGGATCTACAAGTTGGTATAAACCTTTGGAACTGGTGTTTGGATTTCTGGAGCGTTTTGAAATGAAATGAAGTTCCACTCTTCTCCTACAGTTATCTTTGTTCCTGTTGCTGGCCTTAACTGGTGAGAAAATTCTGCTGTAAGGGCAATATGCCATACTCTCTTGTACCCAGGAATTCACCTTTTAAGTCCTTCCAGAGTGTGGCTACAGTCATACATGCAGCCACCAAGAGAAATCAAATTAGTACTGTGGTTTATATCCACCAAGCCCTGTCATTGAAGATTGAGGTTGGAGTGGGCCAGGGGGAGTCTGGAGTTGAGGAGGTTCCCAACGTTGGAGAGATCTTGGAATATGCTTTTAAATACTTTTTGGACTATATTGAGGATTGTGGGGAGTGGAACTGTGGGGAATGGGTGGGTTTGATGAAGGGAGATGGAGACAATTTTGGCTTGGAACCCCCCAGAGGCCTACCCCTCAATGAGAAAGGAAAGAAACCAAGAAAGAGACCAACAAAAGACAAGAAAAAGGGCAAGTATAAACAAGAAGAAGAATTGCAGAAGGGACATGGAAGAGACTTAAGGGCCTCGGACATAAGGCTTCCAGGTTGATGGACTAGATGGAATGGACAGTAAGGACTGACACGATCCGAGACCAGGAAGAAGGGACGTTGGATGAAGATTGGAAGAAAATATATAAAGAAAATTTTCTATTTGGGGAATTGGCTAAAAATTAATGAATATTAGGGAAAATGTTGGAATGAAACTATATGACTTTAGCAGAAATGATATCAGGAGTAATGTATATTTGATAACTAAGATTCAAGCTTTAAGGTGTATTAGGGTAAGATAAGGTTAAATTAATTAAGGTAATGTGAATAATAGAATATGGGGAAAGATGGAAAGGATTTGTTGAGTTAATTATTAGATTAGGTTAGGATGAATTTTTTTGACAAAAATTGAGAAAGATGGAAAGAATTTGCTGAAATAACTAATTAAACTAGAATACAAAAAGGGAGGTGTGAGGAAGTCAATGAAACAAGCAAATGGAAGTTTTAGATATGTAATTTGGGATTTGTGTTGTTTTCTTTTTTCTTTTTTTGTTGTTGTATTGTTGTATTGGTTTTTGTGTTTTTTTCTTTTCTTTTTGTCTATTATAGTGTTGTTTTTTGATGTTTTTTTAAAAAATGTTTTTCTTCTTATAATTCTGAAACTACTAATAAATATTATTTTTTAAAATATATATATATATAGATATATATATAGATATATATCCACCAAGCCCTGATTCCCCTTGAAATAATTCAGTTATGCAAGTGAATCTGGGAACTGTGATGGTCTAGCCACGCCTGGAGGCCCACAGCTGCCTGACCCTCACCCATTCCTGCATTGCAAGGGGTTGGACCCCTGCCCAACTCTACCATTCCAGACCCTCCAAGTCTCCCTATTTTCCAGGGACATAGCTGACTTACAGAAACCATCCCGGTTTCGGATTTGATCCCAGAATGTCCTGCTTTTCCTTATAACATCCCTATTTTCATCAGAGAAATGTTGGGAGGGTATGGAGTTATGTGACCCCCCCAAGCCAAGTTGATTGGAAGACATCTGAAGGCAACCTTGTATATGATTTATTATGTCATTATACAGCGGTACCTAGGGTTACATACGCTTCAAGTTACAGACTCTGCTAACCCAGAAATAGTACCTTGGGTTAAGAACTTTGCTTCAGGATGAGAACAGAAATTGTGCTCCGGGGGCGCAGCGGCAGCAAGAGGCCCCATTAGCTAAAGTGGTGCTTCAGGTTAAGAACAGTTTCAGGTTAAGAACGGACCTTCGGAACGAATTAAGCACTTAACCCGAGGTACCACTGTATATACCGTATATGCTGCAAGCTGCTCAGAGTAGCTGGGGCAACCCAGACAGATGGACGGGTTGGAAACTATATATGGGAAAGCCTGGAACCCCCCCACCGAAAAACCAGGTTTTTTCCCGTTTCCCCCCAAAGCCGTCCCCCCCCGTAATTTTTTTTTTTTTTAAAAAAAACCCCAGTTTGATATTGTTTGAATATTCCACACACTCCCAATTTTTACGGGGAAAAAAGGCTTTGGGGAAAAAACTTGCCCCCCCCCCCCATTTTTCCAGACCTTCCCATCTCTATTAGAAACAGTAAAAATATCATTATGGAATGGGACGCCCTATTTGTTGGAGGGTATGCGAAACTCAAAACTCCCAACTTAGTCCCATTCAACCAAACGCCCAAGCAAACCGCCCCCCCCCCGTAGAAAAGCCCCAACATCCGGGTCCCGAGGTTCTCACGCCGGAGAGGGGAAAGAAGTTCCTCATTCCGTGCGTCCCATTTCCGCCTATGGTCACGTGTACCGAAGGAGGCGGGGAAAGAAGGAGCGTTCCGCTTGCTTCCCTTCCGCCGAGCCTCCTTCCGCCCGTAGTAATCACGTGGCCCGTTTCCCGGGGTCGTCGTCGTCGCTTTCCTGGCTTCCCGCCCGGACCTCCGCGCTCTTTCCGCGCCCTCCTCCTTCTCCTCAGGCGCCCTGGCAGGATGGCGCTGGTGCTGCGGCTGGTGCTGCGCGGGCGCTGCCGGGTCCCTGCGCCCGCCGCCTCGCTCTACCTGGCTCTGCGCCCGGCGGAGCCTCCCCCGTGGCCGGGGCTGAGGTGAGTCCTTGGCGGGGCCGGGAAGGGGGAGCGCGGAGCCCCGACTCAGGGGGCGCCGAGGAGACCCCTCAGGGCGCCGCCCTCCCGCCTGCAGCGGGGTCAGGGGAAGGCAGGGCGGGTTCCTGCAACCTCCAGCGGGGGCGGGGGGCGGGGTCCCCAGGTGAGCTGCTGTCATTTCCTTGTAGTCGTTTAGTCGTGTCCGACTCTTCGTGACCCCCTGGACCAGAGCACGCCAGGCACTCCTGTCTTCCACTGCCTCCCGCAGTTTGGTCAGATTCATTCTGGTAGCTTCGAGAACACTGTCCAAACATCTCACCCTCCGTCGTCCCCTTCTCCTTGTGCCCTCCAGCTTTCCCAACATCAGGGTCTTTTCCAGGGAGTCTTCTCTTCTCATGAGGTGGCCAAAGTCTTGGAGCATCAGCTTCAGGATCTGTCCTTCCAGTGAGCACTCAGGGCTGATTTCCTTAAGAATGGATACGTTTGATCTTCTTGCAGTCCATGGGACTCTCAAGAGTCTCCTCCAGCACCAGAATCCAAAAGCATCAATTCTTCCGCGATTAGCCTTCTTTATGGTCAAGCTCTCACTTCCATACATCACTACTGGGAAAACCATGGCTTTAACTATACGTACCTTTGTTGGCAAGGTGGTATCTCTACTTTTTAAGATGCTGCCTAGGTTTGTCATTGCTTTTCTCCAAAGAAGCAGGCGTCTTTTAATTTCGTGGCTGCTGTCACCATTTCCTTATCGTGTATTAAATTTGCATACCGATCCCAAGGCGGCGCACAACAGAAAAAACTCAAAACCTTTCTCAACCTTTGGCCCCCGGGGGTGTTAAAATTGCAGAGTTGGAAGGGACCGCGACGGCCACATTTCCAAAACTTGGGTCTTGTTTTTGGACTACAGTTCCCAGCACTGAGGGTCTTGGCGGTTCCCTCACTGTGAGAAGCCAACTTACAGGGAACCAGGCAGAGGGCCTTACCTGTGGACGCCCTCCCATCAGATGTCAAAGAAATAAACAACTATCTGACTTTTAGAAGACATCTGAAGGCAGCCCTGTTTAGGGAAGTTTTTAATGTTTGACGGGCTACTGTATTTTAATATTTTGTTGGAAGCTGCCCAGAGTGGCTGGGAAAACCCAGCCAGATGGGTGGGGTATAAATAATAAATTATTATTATTATCCCTAACCACTGGTCTTGGTAGCTAGGGATGATGGGAGATGTAGTCCAAAAACAACTAGAAACCCAAGTTTGGGAAACCCTGAATTACAGTGGTACCTTGGGTTACATATGCTTCAGGTTACATACGCTTCAGGTTACATACGCTTCAGGTTACAGACTCCGCTAACCCAGAAATAGTACGTCGGGTTAAGAACTTTGCCTCAGGATGAGAACAGAAATCGTGTAGCGGCGGCGTGTCAGGCCCCATTAGCTAAAGTGGTGCTTCAGGTTAAGAACAGTTTCAGGTTAAGAATGGACCTTCGGAATGAATTAAGTACTTAACCCGAGGTACCACTGTACCACAACAAAGACACAGGCCAGCCATTATTATTGACACAGGTCAGTTAGTATTATTGACACTGGTCAGTCAGTTATTTTTGAAGCAAGGGGATTCAGTTGTTTCTAGCAACAAAACCTGGGTCCCGAGCTGTTTTTGGAATGCAGTTCCCATCATCCCTGACCACTGGCCCTGATAGCAAGAGATGATGGGAGTTGTGGTCCAAAAAACGTCTGGAGACACAAGTTTGGGAAACACTGATCTGCTCCAACCCACTGTGATGAGGGAATCTTTCGACCAAAGCCGCAGTCCTGGAGTTAAGAGTCTCCTGCTCTACCGACTGAGCTATCCCCTCAGTGGTTGCTGGACTACATCTCCCATTATCCTTGACCGCTGGTCCTGCTAGCTAGGGATGATGGGAGTGACTGGGGGGAGGGGCAAGTTTGAGAAAGGCTACCAACCTTCTGGTGTGTCTCCCCCTCCCATGTTGTATTCCCATGAGGTCCAGCCATGGTGGCCAGTTGTTCGTTGGGGGTGGGGGAGGTGAGGGGAGCTGTGCTCCAACAGCATATGGAGGGCCACACATTTTGCACCTCTGAAGCAAGTAAGCACACAAGCAACAATTGCACCATGGCAGTTTCCAGGGAGGCAAAAACAAGGAGTCGTCGTATCTCATTATGGTATACTGGATTCTAAACTACACCTGCTTCTTCCTAGTCACCCCCACCCCAGAGTTTCTGTATGTGAGGGAGCACGAAAAATCCCCTGCCACCTGAAACATTGTCAGGCTGTAAGCTGTTTTTGAGTTTTCCACCGTGTAAAACGTAAGAGCCCTCCTGGATCAGGCTAAAGGCTCAGCTTCACACAGCGGCCAGCCAGACACATGTGGGAACCCCAAAAGCAAGACTTTGAGTGCAACAACACTCCCCTCCTGCGATTTCCAACAACTGGTATCCAAAGGCATACTGATCCCGACAGTGGAGACAGAATACAGTATAACCATTTTAACTAGTAGCCACTGACAGCTTTACCCTAGATAAATTTGTCCTAATCCTCTTTTAAAGCCATTTGGGTTGGTGGCTATTGCAGCCTCTTGTGCAAGTGAATTCCGTAGTTCCAGCTGTGTGAAGAAGTACTTTTTTTTTTGCCTGTCTTGAATCTTCCAACATTCAGCTTCTTTGACTGAATGTTACAACGAGAGGAGGAAAACATCTTATCTACTTTCTTCATGCCATGTATAATTTTATGCTCACCTTTTGTCTTAACTTAAAAGCCCCAAATGTTGTAACATTTCCTCACCGGGGAGTTGCTCCATCCCTGTCACAATTCTGGTTGCTATGCATTTTGGAGAGCACACAGGCTCCTTGCATTAAAAAACAAACAAACGCCCAATCATTTCAGTTCAAAGTAAAGGTAGCTCCATGCAACACTATTCTATTTACAGAGATGCTTGAATTTATGTATTTGCACTTTTAATGCAAGGGGAACAACAATAACATTTCACTTACACAGTCTGAACCTGAAAGAAATACAGTCTGTTCTACCACTTTCTTCTGCATGTGTAAAGCAGATACGTGGCTGGATTTAGTTGTGCAGCAAAATCTTGTAGAATGGCTGGTACTATTGCATACAGCAGGAAGAAGGAATACCATTTTTAAAAATGCACCATTCTTCTTCATCTTAATTCAGCAAGGAGGCTGTATGTGAACCTGCTTTCTCCCTACTGTGCCCTAGTTTTAAAACTGTACTCCATGTGCGGTTTGAAGTCGTGCAGACCATCTCATTCTGAACCATGTGTAAAACAGCTCAAACTGTTCCTGCAGATTGGCTTTGGGAAGACCACATTTGAACTGGGCGATATCTGCTCTTCCTTCCAAGATCGCTTAAAATGGTAACCTATTTCTTGCCAGGTGATTAGTGAAAGGTGGGTTGGTTAGGGCAGCCACTTTTTTTGGGTATGGCTCATATGCCATGAACTCAGGAATAAGATAAGTTCCTGTTGATTTTGTAGCAGTTAAAAGACACAGGTTACACACACAAACACACAAAATTGAAAACTAATAATTTATTATTGGGCTAACTGAGCTTGATAGAAAACAGTGTATTTTCTTGCCTTGGATGGTTCCTTCACAACATTCAGAAGAGCATCTATGGTAACCTCCCTCTGGACCTCCCAGGCTGTTCTAATTCTGGAGGTGATGTTGCTTTCACTTTATCCAAGATGTTTACTGGCCACTGTAACGTTGACTCAGGCAGGCAGCATAAAAATATTTCTACAGTATACCACTATTTAATATGAATTATCAAAGCAGTTTACAACAAAAATACAGAAAACAATATATTATTATTATTAATATTTCCCCAGCCACTCTGGGTGGCTTACAGTACATGTAAAACATAGTAAGACCTCAAACATTTAAAACCTCCTGATACAAGGCTGCCTTCAGCTGTTTTCTAAAAGTCAGGTCCTTAACATCTGATGGGAGGGCCATATAAAAAAAGATATCAAGTTTGTATGGATTAGCATCAGGAAAGGGCCTGTGAATTACGTTTAATTGATAGGTAGAATGGATAGGCTCCTGCCAACCTAGCAGTTCGAAAGCATGTCAAAGTGCAAGTAGATAAATAGGTATCGCTCCAGCGGAAAGGTAAACGGCGTTTCCGTGCGCTGCTCTGGTTCGCCAGAAGCGGCTTAGTCATGCTGGCCACATGACCAGGAAGCTGTACGCCGGCTCCCTCGGCCAGTAAAGCGAGATGAGCGCCGCAACCCCAGAGTCGGTCATGACTGGACCTAATGGTCAGAGGTCCCTTTACCTTTACCTAGAATGGATAGGATTGTCTACCTCTGAGACAAAGCTCCATTGACTTCCTTCCAAGTAGACATGGTTAAGATTGTGCTGTAAAGCTTTAGCAGATCAACAAGGGTGGCCAACTTTTATTTGTAGGGTTCAGACTAAATGTCACACCTTTTATCTTTCAGTGCTGCTGTTTGGGTTCTGATTTTCTGCTGTAATAAAGAATGACAAAATTTTAGGTTGCCTTGCCAATCAGCCCTTAACCTCAGTTTGTAGAACTCTTTCACTAGGAGGAAAATAGAGTGAAGCCCCTGGTTATGAAATTGATGGTGTCCTTTTGGCATTCTGATTTTGAACTATTCTGATGCTTTGGTAAAATGTAGTTGATTAATAAGCCGTCTAAATTGATTAATCGGTTAATTAAAAGTTATTTAATAGTTTGGCAGCCCTAATTGATAAATTTTAATGAGCACCTAGAACTGCACTTCATGTATGCATTTTGTGACTGCAAGACATATTAATGTATAAAACAAAAGCAAATTCTTCCCTGCAATAATGTAATTCCAGGAATCAAGTCTATAAAAATATACTTGCCCTTTGCATTTGTGTGTCTTCCTACAGAAAACAAGTTTCATTTTTAGTCTCCTGACAGCCGACTTTTAATATGATAGTCTCATGTTGTTAATCAAGAACAGCATCTGTTTAAGAAGGTATTTATTGCTATTCTTATTCATAGGTGTAAACCCCACAGTACATGACCCCTAGGTTAATGTGTACTTTGGTAGCAATTAGACAAAATTAGCAATTGGACAAAATTATGCACATAACCTCATCTTCATTTATCCCTGAAATAGCCTATGGATTCCCCCCCCCCCCATCTTTTTGCATTATGGTCATAACAGGCTAGTTTATTGCTAAGCTCTTAGACTGTGCATCAGTCAGCTGCAGCTGCTCACCACATACCCCTTTATTAGCTATTGTAGTTGTGAGTTCCTTTTTGTATTCTAAAGGGCTTGAAATACGTGGCAATAGAACTCAAGACTTGCATGTACTTTCCTTTATTTCAGACCTCCAGTGTGCCAATTTTCTGCAAACGCAAATTCCAAAAAACCACTCTCTGCTTTGGTTTCAAAAGTCAAATACCTAAATGAGAAGTATGAAAGGTTTTTGGAAAGAACATTCCCACGTTTCTACCAGCTATATTCAACCTTCTTGAAAGGTGGGTTTTCATTTAAAAAACACACCTTTGTGCATGTTTCATGATTCTGGGAGGAATGTGATACCTTAAGAACAAATCGCTTTTGCATCTGTCAAGGTAAAGTAGTTTCTTTACTTCTAGCCCATCCCTAGGTGGGGACTCCTTATCTTCTGGGTGCTGTTTCTTGTGTTGCAACAGGAATGGCGGAGGCTCATGTTATAGTGAGAATGAAGAAACAAGTTCTTGTATCAATAATGGATGACATTTGTAGCATCATGTTGTGTGTTTGCACAGACCCATTTCAGGTGTAATGGGAAACTGGTGTCTTGCTATGAGGACATGCTGCAGGAAGCCTCAACCACACATGCTCACACGCCCTTCTGTCTCGTTCTTTTTTGAGCCAATAAATAGGAGATTGAAAGCTTTTTTATTTTAAATAAATTGTGGTTTCCCGCGAGGTCCACTTTTGGAGAACTGTGCTTTTAAAACAACACACACACACACACACACACACACACACACACACACTATGGTTTATGATGCCATGATTGCAAACCATGGCTTTACCATATTTGTTCTCGTAAACCCTAGTCTTACGAAGCATAATTCTTATGAGTTTGGAATTCAAAAGGAATTGTGTTTGTTTAGAGTTTGGAACAAAAATTTCCATTTCAGCCTCAAGAGCTCAGAATGAGAAAGGAGAGCATGGAAGCTTTCCATTGCTTGTCCCTGCTGGGAAAAAAATATGCAAAAAAACAGTCCATGGTGTAATTTTTGGGGTGGGGAATAACATGTTAAGATTCTGAGTGAAGGCAGTTCTGTGTACATCTAACAAAATTATAGCTGTAGTAAGGAAAGGCAGGAGCGAGAAGAATTTAAGACCCTCTGTAGAAGAAGGCAGTGGATTCTGCAGGATTAGAGAGAAGGAAGTAGTAATGTGTTAGAAGCTCATGTGTAAGAGGCATAGCAAGAGAGAGAAGACAAAATCTGTTTTAGAGATTAGGAAACATTATCCCATTATCTCTTGCTTCTGAGAAGCTTTGAATGACTTGCAAGGAGCATGTCCTTTTACCCTCGTGGCAACCTTAGACAGAGGTTAGGCTGTGACAAACCCTTTGAAGTGCCAAGGCATTTGGGCTTTCCCCATGATGTCCTGACACTATTAAAGCAAAGAAAACAATTTAGCTGGCTGGAGTTTTACAAAGAGGATGGGATTAAGAGGGGTCAGAAGAACCATTCAAGGCAAGGGAGAGACAGAGGCGTAATATTCATGTATGTGTTACTTTATGCCAGTTGTGGGAATCTTTGGTCCTCCAGATTTTGCTGAACTACAATGCCCATCTTCCGCGGCCATTTGCCATGCATGCTGGGAGCCGTGTTGTAGTTCAGCAGCATCTGGAGGGTCAGAGCTTCCCTAGCCCTGTTCTTTATGCAGTGATGCTCCATTCTTAGGTAAAAGGGGAAGGTAAAAGGCTTGGGAAGGACTTTGGCATGAGGTTGAACATTCAGGGAGAACAGTTCCAGATCTGAAAATATTTCTGTATTTTGCACAGGATTTCGGATATTCTTTACAGAAATGAAAGAAATAAGAAGAATAAAGGCAAACATGTCATATAGAAAGATCCAGTTCCATCAACTTCCATACAGGGAGATGGAGAGACTAAGACAGGTAGGCTTTTACTTTTGTCTGCAACAGTGGTAGTCAACAAGTCAAACTGATTTCAGGCGACACTTGGTAGTTTCCACAATTGTGCAGCTGCCCTTCTTCCTACGTGAGGAGCCCACTTAAGATGCTCTAGCTGTCTAGCAACTTCCCATCTCGTACACTGAGGAGTTTCACAAGATAAGCAAATAGGGTTGACAAGAAAAATGTTCAGTTCGGGGACATACCTGCATTGGAAGCATGTTTGCTTCTGTTCGATGCGATGTTGATTTTCTAAACTCGGTTTCATTCTGAAATGGCAAGAATGAGTGACCGCTCCCTTGTCTCAAATCTTGCAGTTTCCTCCTTACGAATTGTGAGTTAACAATGGGTGATTTTGCTGGCCTCTCTCCCCGTCTGCTAAAAACCAACCCATCCTCTGGTCAAAATGTACAATTGCACATTCCATTTGCTTTCTGGGTTTACTTCTTTTTTGCAGGAGGGTATTACTGTAAAATTTGTACAGATGAAAAATATAACTTCATAGATAGAATTGGTTTGGGTTTTCATGAAAGAATACAGAAATAAATCCACAGTAACAGAGTAACTAACTACTACCTGCCTTCTCCCCATTCCTCAATTGGGATTTATTTGTTCACCTATATCTTATCCTGACGTTCCTTCAAGGAGCATAGGGCAATATGCATGGTCCCTTTCCCTTTCTATCGCCACATCTTTCAAGAAAGACAGGTTAGGTACTGTGTGGGTATCATTGTAGAGAGACTCCCCAAGGTCACCCAACCAACTTAAGAGCCGAACGGGAATTTGAAGCCAGGTCTCCCCTATCCCACTACACTATGTAAACACACTGAGAGCTTCTGAATCAATAAGCAAGAACCACGTGCAACTTTTGTGAGGATCCACTATACTAATACAAATAGGTGGACTAATATTTAGGGTAGATTAATTAAGAGGTTTCTGTACTTCAGCAAAAGCAAATAAACAAAGTCTGGCAGCTCTGCTTGATTTCTGCCAGCCTTCACCCGATGCATTTATTTCTTCCTTGCCTGAACATTTATCATATTGTTGGGCTGAGTAAAAATGTTTCTGTGTAGAGAAGAAGGGCTGAAATTTGGGTTCTTATTCTTGAAAGATTCCATCTAAACACTTTTATTCAAACAAAGGAGGTAGGGAAGGTTTTCTCCTTTTTCAAACGCAATGTGTTGTGTTGCAACATGGAGCTAAGTGACATTTACATAAAGGTTGTCAGTCTAACATCATCACCATGAACAGCTGTATAACAGATATAGACACAGCGGACTGGATGTAGGTCACAGGTCAATAAATTGTCGCTGATGTGTGTGTGGAGGTCCACATATGGAAAATAACCAGCAGAAAAAGCAGGTGTAAAGACACACTATTGCATGGCATTGTCCGTTGGCTACAGCATAATTATTCATATAGAAGAGCTATTTTTCTCCCATCCCAGTCAGGTGATGGGCAGTAAAATTGTAGCCTATTTTCCATTGCCAGTGCACAATCTGGAGTGCACTTTAAGGTTCCTGGTTGTGCCTTCGCAGCCGTGTCTCTAGCTTGTCTCATACCTGATACCACATATGAATAGTGTTTTCTCGCTGCAAAGAAAATGCTACCACTTTAATAAGCTACCAAATGGCATGCATATAGCACAGGGGTCAGCAAACTTTTTCAGCAGGGGGCCACTGTCCCTCAGACCTTGGGGGGGGGGAGGGCGGACTATATTTTGAAAAACGACGATGAATTCCTATGCCCCACAAAACCCAGAGATGCATTTTAAATAAAAGCACACATTCTACTCATGTAAAAACACCAGGCAGGCCCTACTATTAACCCAGAGATTCATTTTAAATAAAAGGACACATTCATATAAAAACACACTGATTCCCGGACCGTTCGCAGGCTGGATTTAGAAGGTGATTGGGCCAGATCCGGCCCCTCAGCCTTAGTTTGCCTACCCATGATATAGCATCCATAGTTACTAAGTTTGCGAGAGACAAAAATAGGCACAGTCTTGAGGCATATAAAATGCCAGAGTATGCAGCGGTAGTCCCTTGCATGCCACTGCTTCATCAGTCCCTTTATATGTGCATTTTCCTCACAGTTGCAGTAGTTTTGGGTGTGTGCATGCCGGCTCTACTGACTAAGCATTTTTGAAGTTTCGCAGAGATCTGATCAAGGCCATTCCAGTTGGGATTCTTTCTCTTCCTCCCTTTGCCAACTACCTGGTTCTTTTGCTCATGTAAGTACAGTCTTTGCTCATGTAAGTACAACTGTGCACCTGATCAGATGAAAGGTCCTTGCGCTTAACTGTGAGAAGGTGAATGCTTGGCAGCAGTAGTGGGGTTTTTCTCTCCCTCTCATCACTTACCTGCACTGCTCTTTGATGAGTGTGTTTTAGCAGGTACCAAAACAGACTGCAAAAGCACATTCATATCTTATTAATCATTGGGGGTGGGATCAAGCCCTGACTCTTCTGAGCCTGTGCTTCCCTAGTCACAGCTCCACACTGTATTCTCTCCCGATGCGTAGACTCAGTCTAAAGCAGGCATCCCCAGCCTTCGGCCCTCCAGATGTTTTGGGCTACAATTCCCATCATCCCTGACCACTGGTCCTGTTAGCTAGGGATCATGGGAGTTGTAGGCCAAAACATCTGGAGGGCCGCAGGTTGGGGGTGCCTGGTCTACAGGGATTGTTTTTGGTGAATTTCTCTGGGTGGCAATTCATCGTGCAGCAACCATGCACCCTCCCACATTTTTTCTGAAAATTTACCATCTCTGTTGTTTTCCCAACAGAACTCCCAAACTGCTTTAAACTCCCCAGAACCTTTTTTAAAGGGGGGGGCGCTCACCTTTAAGCAGCTCCCCCACCCCTTCCTTGTTCTGTTCCAAATAGGTGTTTTCAGCTTGGGAGTTAAAAACAGTTAAAGATAACATCATTTATATTTGAGGCTTGCTCTTCACAGCCCCTGATCACAGCCTAGCATGCCATATACCAGGCATCCCCAAACTCGGCCCTCCAGATGTTTTGGGACTACAATTCCCATCATCCCTGACCACTGGTCCTGTTAACTAGGGATGATGGGAGTTGTAGTCCCAAAACATCTGGGGAGCCGAGTTTGGGGATGCCTGCCGTAGAGGCTTGACAATATCGTAATGTGAACTTTAACAAGAAACAGATTATATCACAACTGACAAAAGTAGCTCTAAAATCCTGCACTGCGTGTGTTTTTTTGAAGGCAGAAGAATTTAGAGAAAGGCATCAGGAGATTATTTCAAGTTGGCAGGTAGATTTCATGAGGGAGAAAATGGTCTACTAGGCATTCTGAAAACATTGGGGGTTTTTTTAATTAAAATATTTCATTTTAAAATAAATGAAGGTAACTTGAAAGTCTGTGGACAAGGTCTGGTAAAACTTGCAGAAGCAAAGTTCAGTAGGGCTTCTGCTTGTCGGGGGCTGAGGTTTCAGCCATCACATAACTGGTTGCTCCTTGTCTTGGCTGGAAGAAGCAGTCAAATTTGTAGAAAATAGGCAAAACCTGCAAAATCAACAGAAGCTGCAAAATGCAGAATTTGGGTTCCTGTGGTCCAGATTTGGATGTTCTTTGATACACAGCTGTGTCTTGGTTTTGAAATGTATATCTTCTTGACAATCTTTCCTTCCCAAGGTATCTGTTCCCAAGACAACTCCTGATACGCCACTTCTGGACTTCCAAACAACAAGCTGAATTTCTGGACACCTACCACAATATGAGAAAGGAGGCATACCCAGAAGTGGTTGATGGTCTAATGAACCTCTCTCGCTCCCTAGCTGATTCCCAGCTTCGGAAACAGATGCTAGATCTCTGCAAAAAGGTATCTAATTACCACCCAATCCCAGCTGATAGAGAGGCAGTCTTTGGACATGTCTTGCTTTGCAGAAATAAGGCTTTTGTATATTGAGAGTTAAGGGATGCGGGTGGTGCTGTGGGTTAAACTACAGAGCCTAGGACTTGTTGATCAGAAGGTCAGCGGTTCAAATCCCCGCGACGGGGTGAGCTCCCATTGCTCGGTCCCTGCTCCTGCCAACCTAGCAGTTCGAAAGCACGTCAAAGTGCAAGTAGATAAATAGGTAAACGGCCTTTCCGTGCGCTGCTCTGGTTCGCCAGGAGTGGCTTAGTCATGCTGGCCACATGACCCGGAAGCTGTACGCCGGCTCCCTCGGCCAATAAAGCGAGATGAGCACCGCAACTCCAGAGTCGGTCACGACTGGACCTAACGGTCAGGGGTCCTTTATGCTTTTTATATTGAGAGTTGGCCCATCACTACCAACTTCATGATGTCTAGATTCTACTTTCCTGTTGTCATGTGAGCAACATACTGCAAACTTCTGAAACCTTAATTATACGGTTTTAAAGTCATTCCAGAAAGTTGTTTTTTTAAATAAAAAAACAAGAACCCTAACCTGAATACGAACATGTATAGAAAAGTCATTCAAGTAAGAGACCAGACTGTATAGTTGGCTTAGCAGATGCTAGCAAGGAAAAGGATGCTCTGATACTTGTGTCTACTGATTTGTCACTTATGTAGTGGCTTTCTGGCAATGCACTCTTGAGTACTTGTCAGTTTATAATAATGGCTTGCAATTTTAGTAGAGGACGACGAGAAAAAGAAGTAAATTCAGGCCTTTATTATTCTTTATGGGACAATTTTTGGAAGGGAGGAACCAAACAACAGTGGGTATTAGCTACACTGGTGGAGGGTCATCCCTGCCCCCGCTCAGTCAGATTTTATTGTTTGTAACAAATGACCACTACAATGCAGCTCAAAAAGGATAATCCAAGAAATAAGTTAATCATACATTTCTCCCAAAATAACCAAAAAAACCCCAAACAAAACCCAAATAGCCCTTGGGCAGTCAGCACTATTTTAGGTCAAAAAAATAGCATACAACTGTCAGCTAGTGTGTATAAAGCTACCCTAAAGGCAACCAAACAAATTCCACATCAGCCAGCAGCCGTCTAGTTTTGAAACCACCTGATTGAACTTCTAGAAAACCTATTGCAGTGAGTTGTATAAAGGATAAGAGGATATAATTCAATTTGGCCTGATCCGCATGCATACAGTCAGTCAGTCAGTCAATTTGTTGGCCTAATAAAGTATTTACTGGTCAGATACTCTGTGTGCATAGTTTTCCATCTAAGCTGAAGAAATGCCCATCTAACAAGAAAAAAGGTTAATTCTGTTGCACCTATCCCATTAATGCAACTAGGTAATATGGCATAGCAACTTTCCTCATGGTAATGGTGAAGCAGAGCATTGTTAAGGGTTGGTGCTGACCTTTGAAGCCCTAAACAGCCTTGGCTCTGTATACCTGAAGGAGCGTCTCCACCCCCATCATTCAGCCCAGTTACTTGAGGTCCAACTCTCAGGGCCCATCTGGTGGTTCCCTCACTGCAAGAAGTGAAGCTACAGGGAACCAGGCAGAGGGCCTTCTCGACAGTGGAGTGGAATGCCCTCCCCAAACCAGATGCCAAGGAGATAAATAACTATACAACTTTTAGAACACATCTGAAGGCAGCCCTGTATCAGGAAGTTTTAAATATTTGATGTTTTATTATGTTTTTATGTGTGTTGGAAGCCACCCAGGGTGGCTGGGTGGGGTATTATTATTATTAACAACAACTTATTTGGGAAGGGTGTAATGACTACGGCAAACAGGAACTTCTCATTTGTTCCAGGAATGAAAATGTGCTCAGCTGCTATATGTTATAGCAGGATTGGTTTTCAGGTTTTTACAAGATTCCCATCCTCTTTTATTCTTGGAAAGCAGTATGGTGCTTTGCTTTTCTTTCTTTCTTTCTACCAATGATATATCTTAATCTTCAAGGTGCAGGAAGGATGCCACCCAGATGTAAGAGAACTTACAGCTGTGAGGACCTTATTTGTGGGACATCCCTTTGGCATCCAGCAACTCAGGGTTCAGCAGCTGGTGAGTGCCATTCCAGAAATTAAACGGGATTATACTGACGACCCAGCTAAATCTGTTGCCACCAACTGCAGCCCCCCTAGGTTTTGACTGAGTTTTTAAAATGAGACTATAAATCTTTCCAGCTATAAATCCTTAAGGTGCAACAGACAGTTGCTTCTCCTTAAATTGAAACCTACTACTGATCTATGCTGCCTTTTTGGAGGGGAATGATCATAACCTCCTGTTAGCCATATTTTGATCTGGGGAAGCAGGGCAGCTCTGAAAAGCTTTGCTGACTACCATCGTGCAGTTTAATCCCGTCTTCTCTTCTCCCCCCAGAAAGTCCTAAGCCGTGTTTTGTTCCTAACTCCTCGCTTGCCATCTCTCTTCCTGAGATACCGCTTGCAGAGCCACATAAAAGAGCTGCACCATCTGGACCAAGCGATGCTGAAACTGGGTGTGGGGCAGCTAACCGATGAGGAAGTGCAAGCGGTGAGATGAAGTTTTGTATACTGTAGCAAACTGAGGTGCAGCGTTGCTGGCTAGGAACTGACCGTGGCTGTGCCAGTTCCCACATGCTAGGGTTAGAATCATAGCCGGGACCATGAGAGCCATCTAGTCCAACCCGCTGCAATGCAGGAACCTCAAACCCATGACCCTGAGATCAGGAGTCTTGTGCTCTACTGACTGAGCTGTCTCGTACCTTTAAAGGTAAAGGGACCCCTGACCATTAGGTCCAGTCGTGACTGACTCTGGGGTTGCGATGCTCATCTCGCTTTACTGGCTGAGGGAGCTGGTGTACAGCTTCTGGGTCATGTAGCCAGCATGACTAAGCTGCTTCTGGCGAACCAGAGCAACGCACGGAAACGCCGTTTACCTTCCCGCTGGAGTGGTACCTTTTTATCTACTTGCACTTTGACGTGCTTTTGAACTGCTAGGTTGGCAGGAGCAGGGACCGAGCAACGGGAGCTCACCCCGTCGCGGGGATTCGAACCGCCAACCTTCTGATCGGCAAGTCCTAGGCTCTGTGGTTTAACCCACAGCGCCACCTGTGTCGTACCTTTAGGGTAACCTTAAAAGACTATTTATTGTGCCTTAAAAGCTGTCGTGGACCACATTCCACAAGCTGTGCTATACTGCACAGTAACACTGTCACCCTTTTCAGAAATAGTAATGTCAGTCTTATGTCAAATGCGGACAGCTTGAATGGCTTAAAAAAACACACACACCAGCCCAGCTTTTAATGTCAGAATTTAGCAGTGAATGTCCTTGCATTTAGCCGTTGCTTTTCAAATGAAAGTCTCTCTGATCCAACAGAATGCCTCTCTTCTCTGCAGGCTTGTTATACCCGTGGCTTGAATTCTGTTCACCTCAGCCCACTGGCATGCAGGCTGTGGCTGGCTCACTGGCTCACACTCTCCTGTTCGCTGAAAGGTAAGCCTGCCTGAATTCGGCCACGTGGGGCTTCCCTTAGAGCCCTTACTGAATCTCTCTCACACAACTAGAAGCAGCTGCTCTTCTGACCCATCCTTATTGTTGCAGTGTTTACCTGAAGAGGTACCTGTTGCCCCTGTACTGTCCTGGCTGCAAAAGAGATGGCGTAGCAAAGTTTGGAAGGCAAATAATTCAGAATAGGGCCTTCTTAGTGGCAGCATCATAGAATTAGAGAGTTGGAAGGGACCCTGAGGATCATCTAGTCCAACTCCCTGCAATGGAGGAATATGCCCCTCCCAGCTATGGACCAGTCAAAACACAAACACCAAGATTAGGCTGGTGCAGACACTGATACCAGGCAAAAACAACTTTTCTTTAAAAAACTTTCCTGTGACAGATTGTGGGAGGGGAAGCCCCTTTTTACTTTTAGCTATGATTTGGTTCTATTTAGAAGCACTGGATCGTTTTATGAATTGTTTGTTGTGGCCAGCCCTGTGAGAGTTTACAGTGAAGGGTTGGCACGTATCGCAAATAGACACAAATGCAATGCATACTTTTCTCTTTCCAGATGCTGAGACTTCACTCTTGGCACATGGCATGGTCTTGCTTTCTATCAACTTCCCTTCTTCCAAGGGCTGACTAAGGGCACCCCTCACTGGTGGACCACTTCTGAAGAGATGCTGCGACAGTGACTCTTGGCTGAAGCAGAGGGAGATAAGGATTTTTGCTTATACTAAAATACAATGAGCAGGAGCCCTGCAGTAGCATCTCCCACTGAATTATTAGCCTTGAGAGGAAGGTAGAGGAAATACTGCATTATGCTGAATATTCCTCCTCCTGCTGTAGAGGGAGACAAGAGAATTGCCAGTATGGCCCTGGACAAAATGCCTGTACTGTAGAAGACCACAATATTTCTGTTTAGATCTGGCTCCAGAATGTCCTCGTGGGCACAGCATGATTCCGTACTTCTTTTCACCGCTTAAGTCTCTTGTAAAAACATCTGCTGAAGAAGGTATTGGCGTTAGCCTGTACTGACTTCCTTTTAACTTTGAAGGGTAACAAAGCTGCCAGGAACTTTCCCAGACTGTTTCCCTCCCCCTTTTAAACTTCACTTTTACAATCAACAAGGCTGCATGGAGCTCAGTGCCTTTTGCTGGGCATTCGCAGTGCGCTGCAAGACTTTGAATATAGGACCCCGTTTTTCAGAGCTGCAACTTTTGTTTGAAATCTAGTGGCATGCTCTTCTGCAGGAATGATACAGCTGTGCTCTCACATGGGCATTATGGAAGGTGCATTTCATGTTGGCAGATGTGGTAAGAGCCTAAAGAATTCAACAGGGTAATTCCACAAGTTAATTGGAGTATCTCTACCCAAAGCACTTAATATCCATTTCTGTGCCTCCAAGTCTTAAATACTACTGCCACGATACTTAAAAGCCAAGTCTTGCACTCCAGAAGCTGGAATTCTGGCCAGATAGTATATAAATTGTGTGTGGTAGACTAGTGATTGAGTCAGTCATTATAAAATGCATGAGAAGTGCGTAAAAGTAAATGAACGTCCAGCTATACCTGATGTGACTGTTTTGTTAAAGATCGCTAATAAAGGACAATCTCACATTTTACCTGGATTGTTTAGAACACTGCTTGTTTTCTATCTTACAGCTTGGTAATAGCTTAGACAGGCACAGTGCTGGGATCATAAAGCCAGGGGTCTCCAAGCTTTCCTTGCCTCAGGCTGGTGTCTCGAGCGACAATTGCACAGAGGGCGGGGGAGCATGCGCCATACGCACACACGCAATTTCTGGTGCTTCTCCGACCCGGAAGTGGGTCCCCGCACCGGTAAGAGCGGGTGGCGGCAGTTGCCACGGGCTGGATAAACAAGTCCCTCGGGCCTTATCTGGCCCCCGGGCTGTAGGTTGGTGACCCCTGATCAAAGCTATTCACCTTGTCATTTCCCCAATGAGTCCTGCAGTTTATGCAAGACCATAAGTTTATGCCGCATACAGGCAAGGGCCCTGGCCAACACACACTGTACCCTAGTTCTTTGTAACCAGAGTTTAATTCCCCTGCCAAGAAATGAAACAGCTGGCTCTGCTTGCCAGGGATCAGCTGCGGCAGACGCAGCTTGTGCTTCTATTAACTATATTCCAAGCTGTACTCTACAGGTGAGTAAGCCACAGCCTCTCTGAAAGGCCCCACTGATATTTCACTATGAGTGAAGTAAACAGATGATGCAAAAACAAGGGTAAGCCCAGTTCAAGTTGCATGAACAGGTACTGCTATCCAGTGTGGTCTTGATGCTGTTTCTGAACCAACCATATATTGTGTGTGCATCGTTACAAGGCAGATTCTGCTCCAAGACTGAAATTATAGGGTCAGTTAAACTCAGTAATCACACTAGTGTAAGTCAGCGCAACAGGACTTCTTCCCCTCCCAGAATGATGTGCAAGGCGAGGAAAGGGGAGCTCGTGTCAGCGCATGTGGCATGAACAAGCATCAGCACTGCACTGAATACAACCCATAGTTTATAAACCCTAGATTAGTGGTTTTGCAGACAATATGCACCATGGAAGAGCAGCGGGCGCACGTGAGCTGGTGGCATGAGCTTGGCTCTAGTCAGGATTATGAAAGGTTGCATGTCCATTGCACTATTAAGTGAGCAGCAATAACCTAAACCACTATTGCCAACTTTTGCACTGAGGACAGAAGCTGCTTTGCAAGTTCAAGCATTTCTTTATTTTTACACTTAAATATCCTCTTTAAATACAGCATTATCACAATGAAAATAACATAAAAGGCAAAACAAAATGTAGAGGACCTGACAAGCTTTGGATTCACATTGAAAATGCCACCTGTATACCATGTGAGGCAGGAGAGCGGAGAGCAAGTTATAAAGTTATCGGAGTCACGACTGATGAAGGGGCAGGGCTTGTACCAAATGTCTCAAACTGGGGCCTAGTTAAAGAGTTTCCCAAACAGGTAGTAAAAGGGCCATTCCCATGTAAACAGTTCACTAGCACCAAAAAAGAGGAGGGGGCAGGGAGAGGAGAAAGGAGGAGTGTGTGTGTTTGATCGCTTTGCGACAACACTAGCTCATCGTATGGGTATGCTGTACCAGCGTTTTAAAAAGTCTTAAAAAAAAAAAGCCAAGTGAAGGAAAACCAGATCCATTTCCTAACATGATTTGGAGTTGAGGATTTATATTTTCTTCACTTGCAACCAGGTCATCCCACCCAAAAGCCATTTTACTTTGTCCTTCCATCAAGGCGACACGCTTTGTTTTTCCAAGGTCACAGGCGCAAAAGGTCAGATCAGCTTTGCTGGCTCATGGACACAATTAGAGCATAGGGCCAGGACAACAGTGATGCAGCAATTCAGATGCTGCCTGGGTACGTGTCCACGATGCCAGTTTTATCCAGATGGGTTTCTATCGACCTATTTCAACACCCTCTGCTTCTTGGAATGTCAGTCATAATAATTCCTTTTTCAGTTTCAAAAAGCAGATATTTAAGTGCGAAGTTGTTTCCGTTTGCAGAGCAGGCCACCTGTCATTCATGGGCTGCAGCAGCTTAAAAGCACTCAAAAGAACAAAGTTCTTAAATTGTGAGAATTTGCCAGCGGCCGAGGTGTGTCCCATTTGCACCTCTTCCTTTAGAGTTGATCACAGCCAATCCCCAAAGAAAGGAACGTGCAGTGTGGAGTTTAAAGGCTACAAATATAAGGGGCTGGTGGTGAGGCATATAAACCGTTTAGGACACAACTGCACCACAGTTGCCCATGGCTCCTAGGCCAGTGCTGGAGTGGCCAGCTGGAAGTGTTTAAGTGTTCTGGCGGGGTGGGGGAGTCCTTTTTGCCTTGCACGCATCAGCAGGAAGCCAGAGATACAAATGGTGCACCCTGCGAGTGTACACTGCTAGTCGCGCCACAAGGCAGGGAACGGTGGGGACTGGACACACACCATAAAGGCTGCAGTGGTGTTATGATGAACTTGGGGAGGTTTATATAATGGGGGCATTTCAAGCCTACTTCCTTTGCACCTTTGGCCTAGGATGACAGGCAGCGCAACTTTGTAGAGGGAGCGCATCCCTTGCCCCCCTGCTAGAACTCTTCTGCTCTGTGAATCTCCAAGCACAACAGACACATACGCTTACAGAGAGGGTTGCATCTGGAAATGACTGCCTTTGAGACTAAAGCCAGCTTTTTAATAGCACCTTTTATTTTGTAAACGTCTAGTATGGAAAGGGCGGGGGGATACCTAGCAATGTCACCTGTGCCCCTTTTTCAAGCCCTGGTTGTAGAGAAGCATGGGAGAAAACCCCAAATATTAGCAGCAGAACTCCTAGCAACGAGGCCAGTGACACCCGTTTGTGTGCACGGCACCCTTTGCTTCGCAAGGCAGCAAATGGGACTGTGATAGACATTTTAAGGCTTTTCTCGTTCCGATGCTTCTAGGTCCTCTTCTCCCTTCCCTGCCCCATTTCAAAAGTCATTGCACAAAGAAGCCTGGCTCCTGCACACATTGGCGCCGTTTCCAAACCGTTCACTGCAGCAGGAGGTGGCGAGGCAGCAATTAAGTACTTATTTGTGAGACGAAGCGCAGGAAGCTCAGGTGTGCGGTATTGATGCTAAGCAGCAGGTGGAAAGCTTGGGAGTTAAAAGGAAGATCGGGGAGGAGTTATAAAGTACCAAAGCCTTTTTATATACTTAAATACTCACCATCTGGTCGGAAGTCTCATCAACCCAGCAGTGTGAAGTTTCCATGGGCTGCAATATTACTGTGAGGTCAGGAGCTGTTCCGGAAGAAAGGAAAGAAAAACCTCTCTCCCTGTTGCTGTCATTTCCAGGACTGCATTGCTTCTGTTCACCTTATCCCCCTGGGAGCTAGTGCCATTTCAGAAGGATGGGCTTTTCCAAATGGGTTGGCAAAGGTGCTTAGTTACTAGAGAGGTGGAGGTCCAGAAAAAAGCCCAAACTGGAAACTTTCCAGAAAAAACATGGTGGGGTTTGCCCTAGAGTCTACTTTCTGATGGAAAAATGGAAATTTGAAGCATTTTCTTTTTTGGAATGACTTAAATGCTTTAAGGCAAGTTTTTGCTCACTCAAAATGTGTACTATGAACACAGTAGAAGTGGATATTCTACACCTATGCTTTTGACCGAGTCCTTCCCTTGTGGTCAACCTTTTCCCCTCTCCCCTCAAGTGACAGTGACACAGACACCCTGTTATAACATAGCACGATCCTTTGCAGCCCGACCGCTCAGAATTAAGTCTCATTGGTTTGGCGTAACTGACTCACTCCCAGGTAAGTGCGTAGGGGATGGGCAGCCTACAGCAATTCCGTGTGTGCTTATCTCTGGAACACTAAACAGAAAAAGTATTAGTTCTGGGTAAACATGCATAGAATTGCTCTGGAAATCCCAGAGTAAAATTTTATAAGCCAAGTTATAAATTATGCCTTTTGGGTTATTAAAAGCAGTAAAATAAATGTAGGTTTGGTAAGAATTGCATATTACCTGGTTGGCCGCTGTGAGAACAGGATGCTAGACTAGACGGGACATTGGCATGATCCAGAAAGCTGCTCTTACGTTCTTATTTCAATTGCCCCCAAAACTTCCATTTCTAACCCCCCCTCGGGGGGGGGGGGGAACCAGTTTCCACCACCAAGGCTTCAAAATTCCTGCAATTCTTACATCTCTATTAGCCACCATTTATCATTGTGATAAAGGTGGAGGCAAAGAAGTGGGTTAGATGCAGCTGCTGGTAAAATGGTTTTGTTCTCTCTCCATCACCTTTATGGTTTAAGAGGGATCACGGGCTTGGGGTTCTTGTCAACCAGCCCCTCTTCCCCCAACCACTATCCAAAACACCGGCCAGATGCTCAGCGGTCAGTTTCAGGTAGTCCTGTTTAGGAAGAAGCTGCCTTCTGAAAAGACGACATGCATTTCATACATCTTAAGGGTACTCATGTGTTAGCTCCCAGATAGAATTAAGTGATGAAGGAAGAATGCTTCTTGCATGGGATGCTTATATTCCACCCTCCCTTCTAAATAAATATAAGTACAGCAGCCTTGTACTGCCTAGGGAATCCTCCAGGCAGCCTCCCCCAACCTGGTGCCCTCCAGACAGGGCTACAACTCCCATCTGTCCTTGCCAGCTTGGCCAATGGTTAGGGATGATGGGAGTTGTAGTCAGGGCTTTTTCCCCAGCTGGAACTTGATGGAACTCAGTTCCGGCACCTCCCAGGTGGGCGCCATTGCTGTTGTAACAAGGGAGGCGTTCATGGTGAGTTCCGGCACCTTTTTTCTAGAAAAATAGCACTGGTTGTAGTCCAAAAACATCCAGAGTGCAATGGAATGGGGAAGGCTGCAATGAATGGCAGGAAATTAAATATCCCAAAGGGCTTACGTAAGTAATGGAGGTCATGAACAGTCTGGGGAAGGAAAGAGATTATAAAGTAGGGAAAGTTCAGTGCTGGTTTTGAGCTAACCTGGTGTATTTAGAGCAGTGTTCTTCAACCTTGGGTCTCAGATGCTGCTGGGACTACCATTCCTATCATTTACAGTGAGCTTAGCCAATGGTCAGGGATGATGGGAGCTGGAGTCCAGCAACATCTGGAATGCCATTAAGTAAGCCACTCCTGATCTAAAGGCACACCACACGGAAGCCATGGTGATACCCAAGCTGACCCAGAACAGTGAACTGCAGAGGAAGGCAATAATCTGTTACTGCAAAAAAACTAGGGGAGAAGAATGCCAGGGAGGGTGGATGCAGAAAGTGCTTTTGTTATCTTGCAGTGAGAGAACCATCAGTAGGACAAGGGAGAACGTGGCAGCTCTAAGGATACCCCACCTTGTCCCTTTCATTCTAGGACTAATAAGAACAGCTAATTGCACCCCTTCCTTGCAATGCAGATCTCAGGAGATGCATATACAGCTTGGAGGTCTTCTCCACTGCCACCCTATTGCACCCTAACCCCTTGTGCTCGCAACCCAGCCGGCTACAGTTGCATTGCATATTCAGATTCATCCAGAAGGCTAGGGTGCTAGCAAGTAGCAAGGGAGTATATAAAGCTCTCGGATCCACCTCCAAACTAGCGTGCAATTAAAATGGAACGTCTTGAAACAGCTGATGGGAAGGAGGGAAAAAAAATTAGTGGAACGACTGGGCAGAAGGATGATTACTCTGCTGGACCTCCCTGTCCACCCAAGATCTTTACCTCCACTGAGATCTTTACCTCCACTGAGAAGATCAAACCGCCCCCCGCTCCAAGTGCATTGAGTGTTCGAGAATCAGAAGGGATTAACATCATAGAGGCAGAAAACCCCAGCTCAGAATGGACATTGGAGTGTCATAGGAAGTCCCAGTAAACATTCAGCACATTTTGTTTGTTAGTTAAGAAAGAAACAACGGAACCTGATCGATCTCACCGGACCCCATTCAGAGCCAGCAAGACGGAGAGGAAGCCTGCTTGGGATGAAGCCACTGGGCAAGGGGGATCCCAGAGGCCAATGGTTCTGTATGGACAGTTGCATGCCAAACTGCAGGTGTAACCAGTCACGGTCAGCGTTAATCCATATGGAATTTAAAATGGGGGGTGGGGGGGGGGAGAAGAAAAGTTCTCCTAGGGAGGGAAGGAAGGGCTGCAAAAATGTCACACAAATAAGAGTTTGTAAGAGCCTAAAGCTGTGCAACTGGCCAGAGCAGTTCAAGCGGATTAAAGGAGGTCACAGTTCCAAGAAGACAGAGTACTGAAAGATGACAAAATGGTACAGGTGGAGGCAGCTGCACTCGGGGCCAGAGAGAGAGATTCCACAGCATGTATGGATTTGTGATATTCCGTAGCAGTAGCAACGTCCTCTTCTACCCCCTTCCCCCCAAAAAGCTCTGGGAGAAAAGGCAGCGCCACTCTATTGCTTCCATGACACACATTCACGTTTGGTCCTTGCAGGATGGGGGATAAGGTGCCTGCCTTGCAGCAGCTCCAATTGGACCGTTTCCTGTCCGTGGTCCAGGCGCTTCCGTGTTAAGAGGCTGCCCAATCCGTAGAAGAAACCCCTGACCCCCTGGATGTAGTTCGTTTCATAGTGAGCCTGTACAAAGCAGTCCCTCTTTCAACGCTCCCCCCCTCCCAACGCCCCACGTTAAATAATCCCCCGGGGGCCTGTGGCCGTTAGATAAATTCTCTGCCAATAAATAGACATCCAAGATTAAGAGCTACAGTGGGTCGGGATGGGTCACACGGCCAGAGCAGGTCCCAGGGAGCACTCCTCCGAAGAGGGCAGCTCACAGGCCCTCTCCGGAGACTGCCCCAAACTCTGGGGCCGCAAACTGTCCTGCGGCACGTTTGTGTGGAATGACAGGCTTGGCGGAGGAGGAACCTCAGGCGGGCAGCTTTCAGAAGCGAGGGGCTCCAGGGACAGGGCCGCTTTGCCCCCTTCCGCCCTGCCGGAGACGGCGGCTCTGGCACAAGGCACCAGCGAGGTCACCGGGACGGAGTAGACGCTCAGCTCCTTCTCGTCTGGGTAGCGAGGGGGAATGTCGGGCTCCTCGGCGCTGCTCTCGCCCTTCACGCCCAGCATCGACCTTTGGTCGACCTGATAGTACACAACCGGCCCATTGTTCAAGTAGGCCTGGCCGCCCTCGGCTGAGCTGGCTTGCTCAGAGCTGTCCGTAAAGCACAGAACGGAGGAGCCCAGGGGCAGCTGGGCTTGGATGAGGATGGGCGTGGCCATGCTCGGGCACAACCCGTCGGGGACCGCCAGGGGCTCTTCCAAAATGCACACCCCCAGGCTCTCCACGCTGGAGCCGCTGCTGGAGTCTTCCTCGGCCTTCAGCCGCTCCAGCTCCTCGGCCGTCTGCAGGTGCATGACCGCCGTTTCGTTCTCCGCCATGAACTCCTGGAAGTCTTGCGTCTCGGGGGTCTGGGCCCCCAGCCAATCGCCGCTGGAGCTGGGAGGGGCGGCGGCCTCCTCCTCCAGAGTCTGGGGGCGGCTCACCTGCCGCTTATTCTCCAGCTCCAGTTTCATAATCGTGTGGAGGTAATGAGTCCGCACCCGGATGGGATTGAATTCAATGCGCCCCGCCATGTTCCCACAGCCATCTCTGGAACAGCCGCACGGGAAGGACATTCGGTCCACCTGGGTGGGGGAAGTTGAGGGACAGTGAAACTGGGCCCAGCCGGAGAGCACTGCGGAAGGGAGCGGATGATGCAAGCCTAGCCAAGGTTTTTTTTTGGGGGGGGGGGGGAGGCTGGGAGGAAAGAGAAGCCAAGTTCCTGTCGGGAGGAGCATGCAAAATTCATGCAGGCTGCCGCTGGTAAGCAAAAGGACAGCCAGGTCTGCATGCAGCCCCATCCTGCAGCCCCCTCCCCAAGCCAATCTCTAGAAGCTGAAAGAAAAAAACAGGTCTGCTGGCCAGGACAAGGGATCAAATGCTGCAGGCTTTAGTGCTTGGGAATTACATATCCTTCCATTGGAAGCACATCACTGAGGGGGAAATATCTGAGACCTCCCTCCCCACCCCACCATAACTGCACATTTATCACATAAAAAGCGGCCAGCAGAAGAAGAAAAGGATGCACACGTGGGGGAAAATATTAAGGAAGGGACAGAATGCACACAATCTGAAGGACTGTGTTAGAACAGAAGGACAACATGCACAACCAATTCTACACAGTGAAAACATAGAATTTGGTACTGGATGAAGAGGTCAGCATCCTGAGAATCTCAGCTTTCATTTCAGCAAATATAAAAATTAGAAGGCAAGTTTGTAGCTCTAACGGATGCAAAGACAGCGTAAAAGAGCACAGGCAATACTACAAGTTTCAGAAGGTGGATGGGGTGGAAACAGAGCCAAGATTTCTGGTGGATCCTGAACAGTTCTCCCTGATGCTCCCCCACAGGAATAGGAGGAGCAGAATAATGGAAAACAAAACAACGAAACATGAACATGTGCTTAGAATTGCACAAATGCTGCAAATTTATGGAGAAAGTGTTCTGTTCATTTCAGAAAGCAGCCAGCAGAGGGGAGCAGAGGGACAGCAGACCTCACATGCAGAGTAACTAATGAGGATACCATGCAGACTGCAAGGACAGAGTTATCGCTCAATAGCAACCAGGGCTGCTCATCCTAGGAACCCTTTCAGCTCCCCTACAACAAAGATCCACCTCATCTTGCTGTCCCCCTCTCTCCCCAAAACCCAAACAGAGTCTGAAACAATTACCTTCTATTGGGGGAAATTCTTCCTGAGATAATGGGAGACTGCCTCTCTCTCTGCCTCAGAGATGCGAAGGCCCAAGTGTCACCACCGGATCCCACAAGACCTTCCAGTGTGTTAATTTAGCAGGGCACACAGACTTACTAGGGAGCACAACTGATTCTCCTTGCAAGCTCAGGGCGAACGCAGTCACAAAGACCTTAAATGGACACGGTTCAACTTCAAAGGGACAGACAGACAGACAAAGACTGTGTGGTATAATTCAGGCCAAAGCCTAGCGGTTTCCCCACTGACCTGGCATTTAATTCCAGCCTGGCTACAGGCACAGGCCTCAGGGTCACAGTACAGCCGGCAGTCACAGCCGCACTCCTCCCGCGACAGGCGGATGGCGCGGAGCTCTTGCTTCTCCTCCGCATCGATGCGATGAACCCCCGAGGCTCGGAGGAGAGCGCGGCGCCTCTTGGTGGGCAGGGGCTGCAGGAAGAAGTAGTCGTCCACCTCCACGTTCTCTACATCTATGTCGTCGTCGGAGACGTCCTCCAGAGTCAGCCCATCCGCCTCCTCCGACTCCACGGTGCCGTTCTTGGTCAGCTTTGGGTGGGGGAGAAGAGAGAAGACACACACACACCAGCAAAGTTAATCTTCAACACTCTCTAAGCCGCATCCTGCTTTGCAATCTGCGGAGAGACAAGCAATTTCCTTGGGTTGAAATTTGAAAATTTATTCCACGCATCTTTGCGTCAGAGCAAAAACTTGGTATGCAAGCGCAGAATGCAAGGGTCCCAAGAATTTTAGGCTTAAAAAAAGTTAAAAATTGCCCTGGTCTCACTCAGAGTGAAGCTGGGAAACCTGGCCAGGTCTGGTGAGGGCTTGGCAGGCATTCTGGCGGTTAAGTGATGGGCCATTCGTCGCCTGCACAGTCCTTTATCCCTCTTCCACAGCAATCATTCATTAGTCCCTAAGACACACCTGTCTTCCACTTCCACGCCCTTCTTTTTGTTCTCCCCCCCCCTTGCAACTGCTACTTAATAATGTAAGAGCGGCCCTGCTGGATCACACCAAAAAGACCCATCTGGCCCAGCATCCTCTTCTCAGTGACCAGCCAAACACCTTTGGAAGCTGACCACTGAGATACGAGTGCAACAGGGCACTCTACCCTTGTGGTTCTTTGCAAGTCACATTCAGTGGAGGGGAAACTTAGCCACTCAGGCTAGTAGCCAAAGAAAGCCCCACTCCTTAAAGTAAATACATTCCAAACGCTTTGAAAACCTGCACATTCAAGGCGCAATTTGATATGCAAGATGAATGCTTAGATTGAGCAATTTAGGGTTTCTTGGAAAGTAGATGGGGGCAGGGACTTTGGGAGATATTTCTCTGCGAGTTATTCCTCTTCTCTATCTAGGTCAAAAAGACCAGCTCAGATTAATAGAGGAATAATAATTAAGGGAGAAGACACTATCATCCTTCTTGCATTGCATAGGAGAAAAACAGGGCTTGCCACAAAGTGAACCCCTTGACAGAGAGCCACATCCAATTCCAGCTCCCTGTAACCTGCGGGAAAGAGTCACAGCTCAGTGGCACAGCACACAGAAGGCCCCAGGTTCCATCTCCAGGGATGGGAAAGAAGATTTCTGCCTGAAACCCCAGAGAGCTCCTTTTCTCAGGGGAGAGAATACTGGTCCAGTAGGCTGGCTTAGAAGGCAGTTTCCTATGCCACTGTCACATGTCCTTGTAATAGCTAGTGATCTGTTTTAATTTTTGTGTAGTTTTTAATTGTAGTACAGTAATTGGTATAAGCAGCTTTGATTTTTTTAAAATTAAATAGCAGCATACAAATATTTCAATACATTTTTTAAAAAATCTATCTATCTATCCATCCACTCATCTATCTACCTATGAATTAATGTTTAGCTTAATACAGTGGTACCTCGCAAGACGAACGCCTCGCAAGACGGAAAACTCGCAAAACGAAAGGGTTTTTGGTTTTTTGAGTTGCTTCGCAAGACGATTTTCCCTATGGGCTTGCTTCGCAAGACGGAAACGTCTTGCAAGTTTGTTTCCTTTTTCTTAAAACCGTTAATACAGTTGCGACTTGACTTCGAGGAGCAACTCATAGCACGCGGTGTGGTAGCCTTTTTTGAGGTTTTTGAAGACTTTGGTGATTTTTGAAGCTTTTCCAAAACTTTTCTGACACCGTGCTTCGCAAGACGAAAAAACCGCAAGACGAAAAAACTCGCGGAACGAATTAATTTCGTCTTGCGAGGCACCACTGTACATGAAACGGCCCATATTCTACAACAGGCCAGAGTGGTGGTGGTGGAGGAGGGGGCAAAACAAGGGACAAAACAGAACTAGAGCATATGAACTGAAATCACTTAGTCAGCAGAGCATGAGACTCTTAACCTCAGGGCCATGGGTCCAAGCCCACATTGGCTGAAAGATTCCTGCCTTGCAGGGGGCTGAACTAGATGACTCTCATAAAGGTAAAGGGACCCCTGACCGTTAAAAGTCCAGTTGCGAACGACTCTGGGGTTGCGCGCTCATCTCGCTCTATAGGCCAAGGGAGCCGGTGTTTGTCTGCAGACAGCTTCCAGGTCATGTGGCCAGCATGACCAAGCAGCTTCTGGAGAAACCAGAGCAGTGCACAGAAACGCCGGTTATCTTCCCGCCAGAGCGGTACCTATTTATCTACTGGTACTTTGACATGCTTTCGAGCTGCTAGGTGGGCAGGAGCTGGGACCGAACAACAGGAGCTCACACCATCATGCGGATTCGAACTGCTGACCTTCTGATCGGCAAGCCCTAGGCTCTGTGGTTTAGATCACAGTGCCACCCACGTCCCTTTGATGACTCTTATAGTATCTTCCAACTCCAAAATTCTATGTTTTATTGTGGTACCCTGGCTCTTCCGTGCACATCACCCTTTCTGCTTTGGGTTATTTATATAGTGCTATCAACATACAATGCATTTACAGAGTAATATAAACCAGGGCAGAAAGTCCCTGCCTGCAGGAGCTTGCATTTTTCAAGGGAATGAAGCGAGGTAGAGAAGAGGAGAGTGCAGCGTGTGTTGCATTCTACAGAATCTTAAGGGAGAATGTTTCTAGCCTTCATGTTTGCAAGGTTAAGTTTTAAAAAGACAACTTAACCAAAATGATTGGGGGAAGGCAGCACAATTCGTTTTGCACTCCATTTTCTGTTCTCTGAGTTCAGTGCTGCTTGAAATACCACCATCTCTTTCTTCTGCTCCATTTACACCTAATAAGACGCCACTTTCCCCCAAATGCATCTGCAATCAGAACTTCCACCATATAATTCGTCTTTTCTGGCACAAGCATAATAAGGACACCATGCCGACAAGACACAAAGGGGAAGGGGGAAAGAAAGAAGGCAACTGTATTACAATGGGACAGAGGCAAGAGGATTTTTGCCATTTTTATTTTATGAACTTTCTTGGGAAATGCAACCAAACCTCCATGTATTAGAAGCAGCAGGGTTCCTAAGCATGTTCTTGTACTTGTGCATGGTTTTGAAGAGTGACCACTGAATTCCTACGTTAAAGAATTCTATGCACCTCTTTCCGTGAGGACAATGAGCACACAGAAAGCCTAACTACTGCTAGTTCCAGAGCTGTGAACATCAGCTCAGTCAGGGAGCTCCACAGAGGACAGCTGCTCTCCCTCAACTTGTATGGAGCAGAGCGAATTTTGTCCTCTCCCTACCCCAAAATCCTAGACCTGTGCTCACAGCCAGAAGTATTGCCAGTGGCAAAGAGACCTGCCTGCACAAAACAAAGCAAGTGGAAGTGATTTCATCAGACTGGCCACAGGACTACAGAGGGACTACTCCTCAGAGACATGATGCAACAAAGCCTCATCGCAGGAGTGACTGACTGAGGTCGCAGTAACGTTACTTGGCTTCGCTGCTCACGTTCAATGGGAAGCAGTGAGAGCCAGTGTGGTGCAACGGCTGCAGCTTGGTTTTGGGAAGCCCACTTTCCCTGCTGAGGGCGCCGAAACGTGGGTGACCTTAGGTCATTTTACAACACAAGATTGCCGCGATATTAAAACGCACCCATTAACTGTGATTCTTGGAAGAAGCAGGAGATGAAAGCAACAAGGCTGGCGACATGCACACTCTCTCCCCTCTCTCTACTTGCTATGTGGGAAGCAGTCAGAGCCTATCCTCAAGGCAGGGCGTTTGAAGACAATGCAGAAACCGTAGGCTGGGGGTCCGCTGGGTCTGCACCGAGAAGGGAGCTGTTATCTTGCTTCTGAAATTTAGAGCTTTGAAGGCGTTGGTAGTTTCTTCTCTTTTTTCACACAGATGTGGTAGACACAGGGAGAGAGGAGGGCATTGGCATTTGTACAAGAATGCTGCAGGGGTGGGGTTGGGGAGGGGAGGGGAGGGGAGAGGCTGGAGGGACAGACCCAGGAATAGGTGGCAAGAAGGTGGCCACGTGAAACTAGTTCTCTGGCCGCTGGAAATCTCTGTGTTAACTTCCACCCCCACAACCCACACTTTCAGGTATAGCCCATACTTTTCTAAGCCTCTCTCAGCTGTCTGCCAAAGACGTATGGAAAAGCCAAGGTCTTCTGAAAGCTGGATTCTGTGTGGAGTGTACAGATGCAGTCCTGGCTTGAGGAGACTGCACTTCAAACAGTGTATTTCCCACAGAATTCAGGAGCCACAGATTGGTATTTTTGTAGAATCACTTTCCATTTCATTTGTGTTTGCTTCCTATAATTACAGCCATGTATTTGATCAACTTGCTTTGGCACTACTCCTACTGATCTGTCCTAACCAAATGCTCCTTAGTTTCAGAACTGCAGGGACTTCTGTATAGCATAGGCGAAGTTCTCATGGATGAGTGTGCAAGCCTGTTTCTGGAATGTGCCACTTGAGGCTGGAGTGGGGGGAGATGCTCAAATGCAATTAAATAAGTAAATCCACACCCACGGAAAACTAACACATGAGGACAAAGGGTTCTAGGCTAGCCCCTGTTTCCCCAAGGTGTGTGTTTTCTACATGTACAAATATTATTAATACTTTTTAAAAAGAATAATTAAAAATAATTTAGTGATTGGTATTCAGCAAAATACTAGCGCTTGCCCAACACTCCTTTCCCCTGTACATCAACCCCAGATCTGCTCTGGAGGGTTGAGACAACCCCTTGAAGAGACTTTGGGGGCTCACAGGGGCAGGAGAGGAGAAGAACATTCCAATGCACAAGGAGAAATCCTTGTGCGGATGATGGAACATTCTCCTTAGTGCTACGCTGAATGCAATCTAATGAGCATTAGTATGGATGAACATGTCATCCTGAGAGCCCACCCCTGCACCCTGAAATAGTGCAACCCCAAAACAGGTTCACCTCCTCATGACTGGAAGTATGCGCAGCACAAGGAAGGAATCAGGGGAAGGACTATAAGAAAGGGTATTTGTCTCTTTTGCTCAGCTGGTTGTCATGGCAGCCAGAGACTGATTGGAAATTCTAGGTTTGTAGACAGAAGCATCCAGTCTGGTAAGGGAAACCCAGTTGCTAGGCAACCCCAGGGACACACAGGCCAGACAGCCAGGAGGCATGATATGGAGAAGGCTGGAACAAGGCGCTTGCTTCCAGGGGGTAGGGCCAAGACCCAGAATCTTTCACCGCAGCTCCTCAGCCTCCTCATGAATCAGCTTGACAGAAAGCAGAAGGGGCTGTGCAAAAGCTGGTGCCAGGTCACTAGGGGAGAATTGGCTGGAGTCACTCAAAGACCCCTCCTGGCTGTGCTGCTCTGATGCCTCATTCGCAAGAAGCTGGGGAATCCCTCCACTTCTTTCACTGGCAAGCCACTTTCTGCTAAAATGACCCTCTCTCCACACGCCCTTGTTGGGAAAGCTCTTGGCAAGCTGAGGCTCTTTTCCCCTAGGGGAAAAACCTCTAAGCTCCCATTTTTGCATTAGCAACTGCCCCTAGCTGCGTCCCAACATCATGTGAAGGGCCTATGTGTATCTACAGGGGATGGACGGGCACAGAATTTAGTTTGGGGCACAGAGCTAGCATGGATTAGCAGAATCAGGCAAATAAAAAATAACCAGAGAAGCAGATTTCTTTATCTTTTTCTGATGCAGAACGGTAGCAGATCTGCAAATGCGCCAAGGGGCGTAAGAGGCCACTTGGTCTTTAACGCTTCTTAGAGATGGGTCCTACAGGTTAATACAGCTAATGTTGCAGACTGCATGAAGAGATATGGGCACGCAAAGCGAATTTCCCACGGCTGCTGTGCTAATGGCCCCCATTATATGTGCCGAAATTTACACGGAGTTATAGCCACACAATAAAACCTTCTGCAAGCCAGTGGGAGAGATGCTTGTGGCCACAAAAAAGTACCTTCATTTTCTTGGCGTGGAGCTTCTCCTCCTTGAGGTGCTCTCTGAGAATCTCCCGGTGGTTCACTTCTTGCTCCTGGGCAAATTCACCAAGGGTGTACCTGCGGACGGAGTTGTGGCGCTGCGCCATGCCCAAGGAGCTGCCCCCTTGGCTGGGCACGCTGGTGAATCCCTGGCGCCTTGCAAAATAGTACACCGTCACCTGGTCGAAGCGCACATTCTTCCTGCGCAACTGTTTCTGCCTTTTCAAGATGGAAGTTGCTGGGAGGAGAGAAAGAAGGGTACGGATACAGCAAGTGCCGAGTATACCTTTGCTCCCTTGTCATCGGGTCCCACAAAGTCCCAACTGGCCTATCATTCACATAATAGGCACTTTACCACAGCGGCTTTCAAAACATGATGGAATCCCTGGGCACTATAGATCTGTGCATGTTCCCAAACCTGGTGCTCTCCAGATGTTTCCTACAATCATCACCAGCCCCAGGGCTGATGGGAACTGTATTTCAGCAACATCCGGAGGGCACCAGATTGGGGAAGACTGTCATGCACACAGACCATGAAGAGCACTGGCCAGGCCCACTGGACTAGATCAAGTGTGCAATCTGCAACATACTCAGTCTACCGTGGCTGTGCATTGCAGAGGAATGTCAGCTGTGGTGTAGAAGCTGTCATCCTGGGGTCATCTCACTGAGAAATCCCTGAGAAATCCACGGAAGGACGCCATGGGTCCCCCGAAGCCGCTGTACTGCAATAGCACAGTTTAGTTAAACAAACGAGCAAGTTACAATAAACAAATGTGAGAGGGTGTTTTCCAATGTTAGCATTCTTTTATAAAAGCACCTTTCAGACAAGTAAACGAAGAGGAAGTCAGCGTAGAATTCCTTTACTCAGACGGTTCTCTCTCCCTTGCCACCCCCATGGTTGCTAACCCCCAATTCTTGTCTCCTGAACCATCCCTTAAAACTCTGACTCCTCCCTTGAAGCAAACCGCCTCTAAAAATACGCCTCCCCACAAATACACCAGACAACAGCGACCCTGAAGTTAAGAAAAAGTATCGAAACCTATCAGAGTAGCAGCACAGAATTTGACTCCCATCTGTGGTTAATTCTGAACAAAGCTCCTCTAACTACCACCCTGGTAGAGACAAACCCAGAGACTTAAGTTCTGGGGTACAAGACTGTGTGCTCACTGAACAGTTCTCCGTAACATTACGAAAAAAGAGCAAAGTGAGGGCAAAAGTCAATGACTATATTCTGGACTGCACAACTCCTACGCTGGAGTACCTTAAAACTCCTTATGTAATTCATTTGTGCAAGGCCCAGTACAGGAAAAACAGGCAGCACCCTGGATACATACTCCCTCAGGATCATGTTGGGGACAAGAAACCTATTATGCATTCCAAAGTGTTATTAAAACCACCAGTCTCCCAAGACCCAACGACTGCAAGACGGTCGGTTTCATTTGGTTATATAAACAAGCTGATGGGAGTTTAGGAACGGTGACTAGCCACAGGCCACACACAGCTGCCAAAGGCACAGGAAGGGTGCTGCTTTTGAAAAGGTCTCCAAAGTAGTTGCTCAGAGCCTCAAACCCACCACCCTCTTGGTCCACCTTGGGATGCTCATTTTTCTCAGGGTAGACGTTTGATGCAACAACAAGGGCGCTGCTGATGAAGTAAGACTTCTATGGCTAAGTGCTAAATTAAAGGCAAGCAAATTATTCCGAAGATACCATCAAGCTGAAACAAAACCCCTGGGCAGGGTGTGCCACATATTCTGAAGGACGGGCCCAACCACTTACGTATGAAGCCGGTGGAGTTGGGTGGATTGACGCTGTCACAGCTGTCTGCGCTGTCGCTGTTAGAGATCTCATCATCAGAGTTGGAGATGGGCGATCCCACGTCCACCTCATCAAACTTCCTCTTGAGGCTGGCACTTGCGATTGCATCCATTTGTCCCTGGCTCGCATGGAGAGCCACAGAACAGAAAGGGGACTAGTGTCAACTGAAGATCTCCAACTCCAGGCCAATCCGTGGGGTGTACCGGGTACCTGGTAACATAACAAAGAGGGGAGGGGATGGTTGGAATCAGCAACTCAATCACACCACACAACTGAATCGCACACGGATTTCACGAAGCGCAGCACACGAACTCATACTAGTACCATAAATTCCTCAAGCTCTGCTCCCCTCCTGTTTCCCATTACTTTCCCTGTGCTGAGCTAAACAGCTTCTATAAAGAGCCGCCTTACATCATACCAGCTCCCAAGTATGCGCTGCAGACACAGTCCACTTTCCATTCAGCTGTTTTTGCTGCTTCAAGCAGACCACCCACCCAAAGCCACCTACTACCTCCACTGGCTGCCCCCAGAGGCAGTTGGCATGCTGGGAAGGAAGGCATGAAGCAACCACATAACTCTGCAGCCTCAGCTCTAGCAGCTTCTTCATCCAGCACCAGTTCCATCCACAAGCCGAGTGGCATGGGACAGGTCTTCAGCAGACCAACCTGCGGCTCACTCTGCCCCTTCCCCTTTGCCACAATAAATTCTGGAGAGATTGGGTATGTGCCTGCCCAGGATGTTGACCCTTCCCTTCTGTGCCTATTGGCTTGTTTTATATGCACAGTCATACATTACTGCCTGGTGCCAACAGAAAACATAAATTACAATGCCCTTTACTGGTGCACAAAGCATACCCAACAACATTCTTTTGCACAAAGATGTGTACCAATATGTGAGATGGGGTAACGCAGAGTTAAGAGTGGTTAAAGCAAAGTTAAGTGGCTCAGGTCTTCCTCACTAGGAAAACAATGCTCTGCATACCTGCACTGCTTTTGTGAGCTCCGTAGGAGGGATGGGGAAGCTGTGCCCCCCCCCAGATGTTGCTGGACTGAAATTCCCAACATCCCTGACCTTGGTCATGCAGGCTGCAGCTGCTGGAAATTGGGGAGTTGCTGAACATTTGGAGGGCCCCAGCTTTCCCACCTCTGCCTGACAGGGCACTCAATGGGACCAAAGTCTCTCCAGCTGATTACTCTTTTCACCCCAACACATCCTGCCACAAAATACACAACCTCCTTTTTGTAAGGTATTCAAGTGTTTTTCACCCATCCTGAGAAAGGTTAGCCGCTCCTGGCCTATGGGGCTCCCAAAAGAATTCTGCCAGCCCCACCTTTATAGCCTGCATACACCCGAGTGTCTACATCCGTCTACTATGCGCATGTTTCATACACATCATTCTGAGTGTTGAATTTTGAGTGTTCTGCTCCCCCTGCCACTATTCCCCCCCTTCCTTTTTTAAAGGGAAGAATTCTAGACACTCTGCATCCAACCTATTCTTAGGTGCACAAAGCTGGACTACAAGCAGTCAGTATGAAACCCTTGCTATTTTGGTTATGGGTTTTAAAAAGCAAACAAAAAACCACACACTCACAGAGAGATGGAATTCTATGGCGGACTGAAGCAACCGAGGGTTCTGAAGATACCATTTGCTTTCCTATTTCTGACCATGTTTACAAGTCAGACATGTGTGGTATGCATGCAGCTGGCTCCGAGTGGTTAAATCTGCTCTTGCCTTTTGTGCAGTTAGCGGACACCAAGGGAGCAAGAGTCATGTGTGCACTCACATTCCGAGAGAAGGCAGACAGGAATCTTGAGCAAACTAAGCCTTACAGCACGACAGAAGCCAATTGGGAAATTGCAACCATTTTACCACACAATGCACGCAGGAATACATTTGTTTATGCCAATTATTCACAGAGGGAAGATACTTGGCTGTTACACAATATAAATATCTGCATGAATATCTTTTTAATGTCATCACTGAATAACTACAAAATGCATGACCTTAGGTCAGATCCTTTTTGGCATCATCTGGGATCTGCCTCAAATCAGGGCCAGCAACAGATGTTCCAGAGTCCAGACAAAGGTGCATCAGGAGCCCAGCATTTGGCAGGGATGGGATAATCCTGCCCCAAGGCAGTCAGATCATAATCTCCAATAGCAAAAGACTAGGTTAAGCCTTTTGGAAGGAACACTGACTTGCACTACAGGGTGTAAGCGAACACAGCAGACCTGATGACCCAGTTCTGCCGGCCATGGCTCTCTCATTCAATGCAGCTCCTATGCCAATATCTTCTTATCCCTCCCCCACCCCACCCCCTGTTGCTACCCACAGTACTCTAGGAAGAGTCAGCCAATAGTCTTGCTGATCTCACAGCAGTGTGGAAGCCACAGACAATAACAACAACAAAAACACAATAGAAAATTCTGCCATCACATGTTATTGACTGAAGGGCAGATGGATGTGAAACACATGCCTGCATCCCTCCAGCAAAGAGACACAAGAGCATGCATTGGCTGGAAGACCAGAAGGTAAGAGGAGATCTGGCACATGCAAGAGTATGGCTGCTGTTCAGTAAATGCCAGCAGGGTGATGGCAAAGGTGTTTAGTATGGGAAATCATGACCCAGCAATTGTCCTAAGGATCATCCTTTGCCCTACCTATGTAACAAGGGAGGAAAATAAAAAGTTCAGTCTTCAGAAAGCCAAAAGGGGCTCCACGTTAACAAAGTAGTATGCAGCCTCAACACTTTCCACTCTTGTGGTGAACGTGTTCACCCTTGGGGAACATTTTGAGACAGAAGTGGTACCTCCTTCTTGACTTTCCAGGAAGTTGTGCCAGATATTGTGCCAGGGGTTGATCATTCTTACCTGAGAATGAAATGTGAATACCCAACAAACCCTAACAGAACCCCAACAAAAGCACTCCCTGTTTTTGGTCAGACTTGCAGCACAAAGCAGATGCAATCTCTGCTATTACCTTCCCCTCTGCCATACACAATTTGCTTTTGAGATTGCCCTTGCACAATCAAGCAACCAACTGCTCCTCTTAAGTACTCAAAGGTACCTCAGGTGTAACAAACTGCCTTTCACAACTCTATTTAAAGCACACAAAAAACCCATGAAGTCTCGGATCCCACAAATTTAAAAGAAAACCCCTCAAACTAACTACTCATAGAAGACAAAGTGGTCACATACAGTTTGAGCTAAAATGTACCCACTGCCGTACGCAGGAAATACAGATGGGTGCAATGGACTCTGTCAATACAGGGAATTTATATTCCTTGCTGATGCCAAGCTCTTGCCAATATTTAAGCCCAACCTTCTCCGATACTGAGCACATATCCAAAGAGGGGCAAGCTCTTGCTGGAATTTTAGGAGACTTTCCAATTTTCTCCTCACCTTGGTTTTTTTGTTTCACTGAACATCCCAAGGGCTTTCTAGGTATACGAACCACCAAACAGCACCTCAGATTCTATCCTATTTGTGAATTAAAAACAAATAAATAAGGCAGAAAAGGACAGAATACAGTCTCCCCCGTGGCAGAATCATGCACACACTCCAAGGTCCCCTTTTAGACAGATATTAGAAACTTAACTCTTCCACTCTTGTCCTTTGTGGTTTAAGCCCTGAATGGCTTACTAGAGAGGGGAGTGGTGGAACAAACTCTCCTTATTACAGGGAGCTGCTAGACTTGTGCCCTCCCATGTAGGTCTGTCCCCTCTTACCCATCACAAAAGCTGCTTGCTTTGCAACCAAAAAAAAGGGGGGGCAGGCCAGGGAGCCTCCAAATGCTACCAGAGCTCTTGTCCCTGCATTGAGGTATGGCATAAAACCATGCAGATGCAAACATTACTGTTACGGGGATGGGAGCAGGCTTTGTGTGCTACAAACATGCTCTGCAAGTCCTGATTTAGCATTAGGCTCTATTTAAAAAACATGAAGCACTGCCATTATTTTCTCTGCATCCTGGATTCTGCCAGATAGCATAGCTTTATGCAGAAACGTGATTGGGGGGGGGGGCCCTCTGTAGGCCCTGCAATGCCTTTTCCCAGTAGGAGGAAGCTAGCAGCAGCCAGAGGCAAAAGACAATGGGACCTATTAGACCAACACTCAGGCAGCCTTTGAGCTAGGAGAGCATCTGGGTTACATTACAGAGAGGGGGAGGAAGGGGGATGCCAGGTGGCTCTCTTTTTTCCCAAAGCATATCATCCTTTACACCAAGGCTGCTCTTGACAGGGTAACAGCCAATAGCTGGTACTGATGAGCGCCTCTCTTGGAGGTTAGCTTGTGGTTGTCAGTTGGCAGAGGGCCTGTTTGAAAGCCAGAAGAAAAATCAATTAATTAGGGGCAAACGGCTCTGCCTTCCTGTAGAAGCTCCTTTGCTAAAAATCTAAGCAGCAGAACCCAGGACAAAGTCTAATCTCCATCACCTTAGCTCAGGGATAAGGAAACTGTGCCCCACCCGTCAGACACTGCTGGACTCCAACTCCCATCAGCCCCAGCTAGCATGGCCAATGATGATGGGAACTGCAGTTCAGCAATGTCTGGAGGACCAAAGGCTCCACACCCCACCAAAGGCTCTCCACTACCACCAAAACAAATCCCAATTTCTGTGGCAGGAGAGGGAGACAAGAGAAAGGAGAGATGTCACTGCACTTCATAGCTGAAGGACAAAGTAGAGGTCTCAAATAAACTCAGTAACTGTCGTACCTTATTTATGTCCTTGTTATTATCCCACCTTTTTCTTCAAGGAGCTCAAGGCAGCAGACATGGTCCTCCACATATAACCCCCCCAACAACCCAGTGAGGTAGGCAGTGACTGGCTCAAGTCATCCAGTGAGGTCATCGTCAAGCAGGGATTTGAACCCGGGTCTCCCAGGTCCTAGTCCAGAACTCAAACCACTACACCACACTGGCTCTCCATGTGTTACTCCCCTGCCCTTTGCCATCTCAAAACACACATGCACACACTGTATTTTACCTCTAATTTTTAGTCCCCCCCACTCAATGTTTCAGAACATCTTCCTTACATTCCCCCAAAACCAACTGAACCATTTAGTCCAGGCATGGCCAAACTTCCACTTCCAGATGTTTTGGGACTACAACTCCCATCATCCCTAGCTAACAGGACCAGTGCTCAAGGATGATGGGAACTGTAGTCCCAAAATATCTGGAGGGCAGAGTTTGGCCATGCCTGGTTTAGTCTGTGTCATTTGAAAGACTCAGGCTGGATGGCATGCATGCACAGAGCAAAAGAGACAAAATCTTAACAGAACACTCTCTACAGCAGCTTAGCGCCCCAATACCCAAATGCCCAGTACTTTTACACCATTTAAAGGAGGGGGGGAAACTTGTATAGAGAAAGAAGGGAGGGAGGAAGCTCAAATCATGCTGACAATTCTTTTTCCTATCTCCACTTTCATGCAACAAGACATTCATTATAAAACAATGACCTTTACTCCACTAGGAGACAGAAGATCTCCATGAGCACAAGCCTGTCGTTTGCTGTTGCGCCCTGCATTTCTAAGAGAGAAATAACATTTTTTTAAAACCGCCTTTTCTCCCCACGAAATGCAAAAGCTAGAGGCAGGGCCGAGTAGACGCATGAAAGAAAGACTTTTCCCTCTTTAAAAGACAGGCGCACATGTTGCTGGGACGCACGAAGGGTGGGTGATGGGCGGATTTTTAACCGTCCTCTGTAATAATAAAAGGCGCTAGTAAGTGTCGGAGAGGTTTCTCAACCTTCACAGCCGGAATCTGATGGGAAAGCAGGCCCAAAGACAAAGGGAATACAATAAAAGCCTTGCCAAAAGCTGAAACGGCATCCTCTGAAGTCACAGCTGAGAAAGTGCCACTCAACACCTCTTCCCGCAAACCCCGCTTTCCTAAAATAGAACACAAGAACCAGGAAGCCTCTATGTTAAAGTTTGTTGGAGGGAGGGGGAAACAACCCCTGAATTCTCTCTTGCGGTTGCCCCTCCCCCAGAATAGGCCTCTGCTTCTGCTGGTTGATGCAAGCCCACCACCACCCACCCACCCACCCAGCCCTGCCCAGCCCAGTCCGCTTCTTCCTTGCACTTGTCTGTTCCCATCAATGTCCTAGCAACCGTTCCCATGGCAACTAAGCTGAACAAATGGGCTTGAAAGAAACATGCCAGCCAGCTGTGGCAGACGGCAGCAAGAAGATCCTGACTGCGTGGCTCAGCTTCTCTGGGAGCAAAAAAGAAGAGAGAGTTCTTCATGCTGCTAACAAAACGCGAGCAGAGTCATCCTATTCACTTGCGCAGTGTGCCCCACTCCCCACCTGGGAGCCTTCCTCTCCTTTCCCCAAAGGCCTCGCCCCCTGCACCTCAAAAAACGTTTTCCAAAAGGTAGGATGAAACAAGACCGATCCAAATCAGCTGAGGCACAGGGAGTAAAAAGTCAAGCACACAGTTTCACTTTGCAAGCCACCAACTCACTACCTGCCACTGCGGTCCCCACCCTTGGGCAGGACACCCAACCCTAGTTTTATATGCGAAAGAACTGAGGCAGCGTTCAGTTTTGGAATGAACTGGCTCCGCATGCAAGTGCCGCCGCAGCAGCCGAGCCAAATCCCAAGGTGTTTACTGGTTGCCTTGGGTGTTGGATGCAAAGCTACAGGTGAGGGAAAAGGCTTCTGGACCCGCCGACTTTTCCTGAGCTAGGCCAGACGCCACGGAGCTGGTGTGTTTCTGCACATTTCTGCCTTGGCACACGCAACACAAGGGTGCTATAAAGACGGTGCTTTTGGGGTGAGCTGGGGGGAGAACAAGACTGCCACTTCCAGTTGTCCCTTCCCCTGAAATAGGGTCTTGGTTCAGAAGCGGCGCAAGTGACTGCCAGAAGAACTTTAATAATAACAATACAGTGGTACCTCGGGTTAAGTACTTAATTCGTTCCGGAGGTCCGTTCTTAACCTGAAACTGTTGTTAACCTGAAGCGCCACTTTAGCTAATGGAGCCTCCTGCTGCCGCCGTGCCGCCGGAGCACAATTTCTGTTCTCATCCTGAAACAAAGTTCTTAACCTGAAGCACTATTTCTGGGTTAGCGGAGTCTGTAGCCTGAAGTGTATGTAACCTGAGGTACCACAGTAATAATAAATTTTATTTATACCCCGCCCTCCCTGGCCAGAGCCGGGCTCAGGGCGGCTAACACCAGTAAAAATTACAGTAAAAACATAATAGGGAGGGGGGAAACCCAATTTAAAATACAGGTTAAAATACAATTTAAAATGCAGCCTCATTTTAAAAGTAGCCTATAGATCACATAAAGGGAGGGAAACATAAGGGTCAGACTGAGTCCAAACCAAAGGCCAGGTGGAATAGCTCTGTCTTGCAGGCCCTGCAGAAAGAAATCAGATCCTGCAGGGCCCTGGTCTCATGAGACAGAGCGTTCCACCAGGCCGGAGCCAGTGTTAAAAAGGCCCTGGCTCTGGTTGAGGCTAATCTGACTTCCTTAGGGCCCGGGACTTCTAGAGTGTTGCTATTTATGGACCTTAAGGTCCTCCACGGGGCATACCAGGTGAGGCGGTCTCTGCCTCTTCTATGCCACACGTCACAGGATGCCCTTTCCCCATACAGTTCTGGCACCACTTGCCTGTCTCCCCTTCTCACACGGGGTTTGCTCTCCCTTCTCCCAGATATCTTCCCTATCCCATCACTCAAGCAATTAACAAGTGGGAAGGGAGACAGCGCACAGATAGCACTTGCATGCTTCAAGGAAGCTACTTAGCTAATTGAGTGCCCAGCCTGAATAATGAGAGATCTTATTAAATGAAAAAAGTGAGACAAGAACTGTCACACTCAACTTTCTCCTTCTCCCTCTGTGGGCAACCTTCTTTCGGTACGTAAAACTCATTATAGCCGGTAGGAAAGCAATTTGGAACACAGTGATGATACATCTGTGCCTTTTAAGATTTCTCAACAGATTTGTTAAGCGCAGGGAGCAAGTTGCTGTCGATTTCTTTCAAGGCTTGGAGGGACCATTGCGGCAGACGAGCCCAATAGGCAACAGCATGTCAGAGGACTGAACCAATTCATGGAGGTTAAGACTTGCCAATGGCTACTTGGCACAATGGCTCTACTACCACTGTATCCAAGTACCAGTAGCTGGGAATCACAAATGGGAAAGTGCTGATGCTTTCAGACTTCCCATAGGCATCTGGCTAGCCAGTGGGAGAACAAGATGCAGGATTACATGGGCGTCTGGCCTGATCCAGCAGGGCTCTGACATTCTTATGGCAGAGTTTCAGAATGACTGCTTTGGAGTAACAATCTTGTAGAACCACCTTTTCTACCCAGCTACTCAGCAGGTGAACCTAGTTTTCCTTAAATATCCTTTAGGGAAGTAGATGTGAATCCATCTTACTGATTCCCACAATTAAGTTTTAAGTAACCCAAAATGTGAGAAGGCTGCCTCTGGTTTCTGGGTTGGTTCTGCTCAGAAACATCTAATTATGGTCAGTGGATAAGGGTCCCCACCTTCTAAGGAAGACTGTATTACATGCAGGGCACTTTTCCAGCCAGAGCTCAATGGAGCTCAGCAGGTCTCAGGTGGGCACCATTGCTATTCAAAGAGAACAAGGGAGAAGTTCATGGTGAGGTCCAGCACCTCTTTTTCTAGAAAAATAGCACTGATTATACTGCAACATACCCTACAAAGGAAACTTTTTCTACCAAGCTCTTTGAGATTAGCCACGTTCACTAGACATGCTAAGTCAAACCATGGCTTAGAAACCAAATGCTTTGGGTTCCCAAGGAGGAGATCACAGATGATCTGATCCTCCTTGAGATTTTTAGGTAATAAATAAATAATAATTTATTACTTACCGTATTTTTCGCTCTATAGGACGCACTTCCCCCCTCCAAAAATTAAGGGGAAATGTGTGTGTGTCCTATGGAGTGAATGCAGGCTCCTTGGCTTCAGCGATAGCAACGCGAAGCCTCTGAAGCGCAGAGGGAGCGCTCCCTGCGCGCTCCGGAGGCTTCGCGTTGCTTTCGCTGAAGCCTGGAGAGCGAGAGGGGTCGGTGCGCCCTGAAGCCTCCGGAGCGCAGCGGGAAGTCCCGCTGTGCTCCGGAGGCTTCAGGTTCCTTTTGCTGAAGCCAGGAGAGCAAGACTCTCTTGGCTTCAGCAGAGAGGGAGAGCTGCGCAGTGCCCCTTCAGCCAAGCGGGAGGAGAAATGGAAGGGGCTCCATTTCTCCTGCCGCTTCGCTGAAAGGGCGCTGAGCAGAGACGGGGAGGATTTTTTTTTTCTTGTTCTCCCCCTCTAAAACAAGGTGCGTCCTATGGTCGGGTGCGTCCTATAGAGCGAAAAATACAGTATACCCCGCCAATCTGGCCAGGCCTCCCCAGCCACTCAGGTCAGTATGGTGCAGCAGCTAAGCAAAGTTTCAGAATATCACCTGAACCCAGGCTCATGGTTAAGGTCTCCCCTCCTTGTCTATGACCAAGGTTTGTCCTATGGCTACAGGTTGTGGTCAAGGAAGAGGGACCTTAACCACGATTCCAGGTTTGGGTGACAGGCTCAGCCAAAGCTTGGCTTAGCTGCTGACCTGAGAAGCCCAAGGAGGAGCAATGCAGGTGTGAACATGTTTGTGTGGTCGTGGTAAGCCATATTGTGGCTTACTGTGATGTGCAAACTAGGCCATTAGGATGTCAAGAACCACCCTGACTATTGCTGTTTGCCATTCTATTTTGTGATGAGCACACACAGAGAAAAGACTTAAGCACCTCGCGAAGACTGACGGTAGAACTCAGAAGAGCTACCAAACGTTAGGGATGCCAGGAACCTCTCCTGAATGATCTTCTCCCCTGAACTACCCAGAGTGCAGCAACATGAATCCTGCAAGGGTCTGCACATGAGAGAGAAATGTTTCAATGGGCAGGAGGAGAATCAGCTGCTTCTCATTATGACAAGGAATTCCAAACATGTTGAGGGTAACCCTGCGGTGTTGCAGGGGCAGGGGGGAAGTGCTGATGGAAAGGACAGAAGTGAACTGTGGGAGTCCTCCAGTGAAACACATCAGCGGATCAGGCACAAAGGAGGCAACAAGAATGAGATATGGGAGTTGGGGGGTGGGGGAGAGAAAGAATCTTCCAGGGAAGTTAATTTGGTTAGGGAGTAGGGAGGAATTTGAGAAGCAGGGGTCAGAGAGGGGAAGGCAACTTCAAAAGACAATGCCAAGCCAACCCAACCGATTGCGTTTAACCTGAAAGGAACTTTCTAGCCTGCTTGCTCTCCCTCCAGGTCTATAGGGAACGCAGGCTGTCCACCTTTCCATTTAATGGCAGAGCTACGTACAGGAAAGCCAGTCTCATTCATCCATTAGACCCACAAGACTAAGGGTTTGCCAGGGTTATATGGTCACCATTGGCTACAGAAGGCCTTCTTGTATATCTGGAAGAACTATATAAATGAATCATGATCGTTTATGTAGCACTGGGACATGTCCAGAGATAGGCAAAAGAAATGATTTGAGGAGGGAGTGCCTGGAGGCCATATATGTAACAAAGTGGAAGGATCTTGCATATTTTTAGGCTGCAGGAGAGACAAATAAGAGACAATACAATAGCAGCCTTCAAATATTTGAAGGGTTGTCACACAGATGATGGAGAAAATTTGTTTTCTGTTGCTACCACAGGTAGGACCCAAGCTAATGGCTTCTAACTGCGAGAAAGGGAATTTTGACTTATAAAAATTATGAAGAGCCTCCCGATGGTACAAGTTGCTCAGGTTTAGATTAGGTATCTAACACTGGTCAGCCTGGGTAAGTTTTTTAAACACCCCTTTCTCCACCTTCTGGACTACAGTGGTACCTCGCAAGACGAATGCCTCGCAAGACAAAAAACTCGCTAGACGAAAGGCTTTTTGTTTTTTTGAGCTGCTTCGCAAGACGATTTTCCCTATGGGCTTGCTTCGCAAGACGAAAACGTCTTGCAAGTTTGTTTCCTTTTTCTTAACACCGTTAATACAGTTGCGACTTGACTTCGAGGAGCAACTCATAGAACGCGGTGTGGTAGCCTTTTTTGAGGTTTTTAAAGACTTTGGTGATTTCTGAAGCTTTTCCAAAACTTTCCCGACATCGTGCTTCGCAAGACGAAGAAAATCGCAAGACGACAAAACTCGCGGAACGAATTAATTTCGTCTTGCGAGGCACCACTGTACGAAACTCATTCACACAGGAAAATCTATGGACTCAAACAAATTTGTGAACAGGACAGATGAGACATCCCTTGCCTTCTTTCATTAACAAACCACTTTAAAATCAGTCTAGCATTAAAAAAAGTTTTTTTTTTTTACTGACTTTGGTTACTGCTATTCCAATAAAACTCACATCATTGGCTTTGCACGTGCGTTTTAGGACAGAACAGAACGCAGCCGCCACACGCCGCTGCAACTCACCTTTGTCACATTAGTAGTCCTTATGTCAATTCATTAGTGATGTGGGTGGAGAGCTGCCAGAATGCAGGTTTACATCACCCTCAAGGATTTCCTACCAGCAAGAGTTATGTGTAAACTGAAACAGTCTGGGCTGAGCAACACATGTGCCAACTGGTCTACCTCAATGGCACTATTTGCTATTGGGCACCTGAGAAGGTTCCCTTTGTTTACAAGAAATCCTGGCAGCACATGTGGGCCCCTGCACTTTGCAAGCATGCTGAGAGAAGGTATCCCGTTCATATACTATTTCCACTCTGCTGTGTGCCACTCAGTGCACTTGTAGTACTACTACTGCTACTACTACTACTAATAATAATTTATTATTTATACCCCGCCCATCTGGCTGAGTTTCCCCAGCCACTCTGGGCAGCTCCCAATCAAGTGTTAAAAACAATACAGCGTTAAATATTAAAAACTTCCCTGAACAGGGCTGCCTTCAGATGTCTTCTGAATGTCAGGTAGTTGTTTATCTCTTTGACATGTGATGGGAGGGTGTTCCACAGGGCGGGTGCCACTACCGAGAAGGCCCTCTGTCTGGTTCCCTGTAACCTCACTTTTCGCAATGAGGGAACTGCCAGAAGACCCTCGGTGCTGGATCTCAGTGTCCAGGCTGAACGATGGGAGTGGAGACGCTCCTTCAGGTATACAGGACCGTTTAGGGCTTTAAAGGTCAACACCAACACTTTGAATTGTGCTTGGAAACGTACTGGGAGCCAATGCAGATCTCTCAGAACCGGTGTTATGTGGTCCTGGCGGCCACTCCTAGTCACCAGTCTACTATGACTGAACTCACCCTTGCCAGCAAATATGGTATTAGTTTTGCTGTTGCTCCATGGAAATTTTTGAAGCTATATTTTAAAAATGAAGGCAGAATGCATGCACGGAACAGCCAGCGCAGAAACACTGCAGCCAGAGTGTCATGATCCTTCCTCTCAGGCACTGGTGATGACTGGCATGCGCGAGCAAGTGGGTCCTCACAGAACTAACTACACAGATACAACTGGAATAACCTTGTTAGGTCACAAATTCAGCAGCAAATCATCAGGTTACAGAAATAAAGTGATGATCCAACACGTGAGAAGCAGCCTTGAAAATCAGAATGAAAAAGGGGTGGGTGGGTAAAAAGTCATCTTGCTTAAAATCTACCTTCAACCCTCTGCAAATCAGCTTACATGTGTGGAAAAAGCACCACTATGCTACAACTTGCATGCTTGATGGACGGCAAACTTCTTGCCAGCCCCAAATTAATTTATGTATAGATTTATTAACTGAATTCTCTGCAAAAAGTAACTGATATAGCATTAAACAAAACATGCAAGAAACTTTGTGACCACCCCCCTACCTCATAACTTCTCTTGCGGTGGTATGCGAGTAGGCAGACTTCCAACCCCGGTGACATCTCACACACAAGGCAGCAAACAAGAAAGAGATTCAAGCAGTTAAGTACCACTGGCAAAGTGCTGGCAGAGAAATGCATGTAGGAGTAGCCCTATCACATAATTGAGGCAGTCAAACAAGGAGCTTAAACCACTGACTACAGTCAAAAGGGGGAGAGAAAGAGAAGTGGGGGGTGGGAGGCCAATACTCCTACTTGGAGCCTTTTAATTACTGACCCCCAACCCCATCTGAAGACAGGAACTGGCACAAGCTTGGACACAATGTGGTCTTACTGGGAGGGAGCAGTGAGCTGCTTTTACACCCTCTAGTACAGCCTTTGCCAATCTGATTTTGGAGTACAGCTTGCATCTGCCCTAGGACACATATTTCACCCACTTCCCAGAGAAGCAAAAGATCCTGTTCTCCAAGCGCAGATGCTACTGAACACCTCTGCCATGGTAAAGGAGCCAGGACAGTCAAGAGAAAGCCAATCTCAGATTACTTCAGGGATGAATTTATGTGTATTGAAAATGACTCAATGCCTGCAAGGGCTGTTTTTCCTCGTAGACCATGCTTACGTTGGAGGGGGGGGGATTGCTGCTCTCTGACCTCCACCACAAAAGAGTCCTCAAGTTTGTGGTCGTTTTTATTTCAATTGACGCTGTTCTGTACTTTTGAAAGTAGTACACAGATTTCATCCTTCACAATCAATTGACTGAAACGAGAACCGTGTGTGTGTGTGTGTGTGTGTGTGTGTGTGTGTGTGTGTCTTTTCGGTTCAGCGCTCTTTACTCTTTCCTAAGTCTACCTTGGTACTTTAACAGCTCAGTGACTCTGTGATTACATTCAAGAGTCTCCTACCTCCTTTTATTCCCCTACATCAGGGTTAGGGAACCTGTGGTGTTCTCAGTGTGGCTGGACTCCAACTCCCATCAGCTGCAGCTAGCCTGCCAATGATGACGGGAGTTCTAGACCAGGAACATCCAAGAGATCCACAGAATCCCCATCCCTGCCCTACACACACTCTGCTCCACAGAATGTACTTTTCGCTTTGCACCTTTCTCCCACGCCAGACTTTGCAACTTGAACACTATTCTCTATGCGCAACGCTACCTCGCTCTCTTCCTTCCATAAAACAGGCTGTCAAGCTTTACTCTGCTACCAACCCGAACTCCCCATCTCCATCACTGCCCCCCACCCCAGTTATACTTCACACACAGCTCAAACACCCCCTCTGTCTTGTTGAAACGTGTCTGCTTAGCAGTTTCATCAGCCGCTGGTTTCAATACTATGGCAGAAGTATGGGAAAGCATCCCATAACGGAAAGCGCCAATTTGCAGAGACTACACATTGCCAGGGCCAATATCAAGCCAATTGCCAATATGTCTTCTGGACTGCCCCAGCATACAACCAGAGGAAACCAATGTAGCCTCAGCACTTTCAGCATGTGAACTACAGGGTTTGGCAGCATTTTAGGCTGGATTCAAAACAATTGCTAATCTTCCCAATCACATATATTCATGGTAGAGCATCTGCTTTCTATGCATAAGATCCCTTGATCCTTGGCACCTCAAGGTAGGGCTAGGAAGAGGACCTGGTGCTGTAACCCTGGAGAGCCATTGCCTGCGAGGGTAGACAATACTGCGCTAGCTGGATCAAGGGTCTGACTCAGTATGAAGCACTCAACAATCCCCCTTAGTAATTGGTTGCAATTCAGGTTTCAAACCTTCATCCTCAGAGGAAACTCATTCCAGCTGCAAGTGTTCCTGGCAACATCTTGCTACTTTCTCCATTTTCTTATCAGTTGTCTCCCATTCCCAGAACATCTCCCATTCCCATCTTAGAACATCTGCGAAATCGTCACTGCTTAACTTCCCAGAAATACAAGCTTTAATAACCATCCTGATGTGTAATGCCAGACTACAAAAGCAAAGAAGGCAAAATGAAAAGGTGTGGTCTTCCAGAAAGCACACCCCAAAATCACGAGGCTGCGCCATATTCAAAGCCTTCCATAGCTGGCTGAATTGGTCCCAGTTCGGAACTGGATTGTCAGGGCTTGTCACCTATTGAGACCTGGCACAGATGCAACTCTGTCCAGCCTCTAAGCTATGATGGAAAGAAAAAGCAGCAGCCCTGCTCAGGTTCACCCACACCGCCAGTGCTCCCCTCCCTTTCACAGTTTTGGAACTATGGTTAAAAGCACTATGCAAACCTGCTTCTAATCATGGTTTGGCCCCAAGTACTGTTAGCAAACACACACACATACACGTGCAGGAGCAAATCTGAAGATAGTTAACTTTGAAACCGAGGAGGGGAAGGGGGAAGTCTGCCTAACACACAAGAGGCAAGTCCTGTGTATATCTCCACTAACCTTTAAAAACACTTTATTATTATTATGGGTAAGGGGTTGATTGTTTCCTCCTTCCCTTCCCTTTAAGGAACGTTTCATGAGCTGTAGTTGGCGATGTCAAGGCTTCCATTACAGTGATTATCATTCTGCAAACTCCGAGACGTATTTTAAAAGTCATTTTGTCAAGATAAGATGATCTCCATTTTAAAATAACTCCCGGTCTAAAATCCTCCTTCTAAGCTGGGGATATAAGACAGGAGACTCTCTAGATATATTCTTGTGATTGGCATCTTCCAATTTCTTTTCGTAATGCCAGTATTCGGTTTTTAAAAGGAAGCTCCTTTTAGAAGGAAGCATATGTGAACAAAGCCGACACAGAGTGCTCCCACACAGGCTGTTCTCCATGTAATGCAATGCTGTATTGTCTTCCAGAGTTTGCAGGCAACCTGAAACAGAGACAGGAAAGTGCAAGCTTCCTGCCATGACCTTAATTTCACTGGAAGAGCAATTCCTGCAAACGCTGACATTAGAACGTACTGAAATCACGGTGCTACCTACCATCTCATAGTAAACTGTCACAGCAGACTGACAGACGAAGGGATACAAGGCTCACCTATTGGGACTCTCACTACTAAAGGGAGGCAGAGAGAGACAGAGAGAGATGGAATTAAAAAAAGGAAACACTCCACCAAGAGATGATTCATGAGTGTACAAAATACTTAACTGAGGTTCTGCACCCTCCCAACATAAATCCTGGCTACGCCCCATGAGATAACAATATACAAAAAATAAGGCTCCATCAGAGTGCTCTGATGGTGTTTCCTGCTTGGCAGGGGGTTGGACTCGATGGCCCTTGTGGTCTCTTCCAACTCTATGATTCTATGATTCTATTCTATGATTCCACATGGTTCTTGCCCAAATTTGTAAGATTGTATGCCAGGGCACACTGCATGCTAAGAGAGAAATAAATGAAAGACTAGTGGGAACCTGAGGCCCTCATCCACAAGGGAGGCTGCCCACTTTGTCTCTGCATAATTCGTTGTAGCCTTGCCCAACGAAGTGTAAAGGGAGGGGCCAGAGGTTGGTGCCAAAGTGGGGCATCCGAGTGCCCTGTGGTGCTCACATGAACACCGGGAAGCCCAGGTTTAGCCAGTCAATTGCAATAGGTGAGCCAACACTGACGGCAGGGAGCCTTTGCCCCTTCCTCACACCCAAAAGCCCATGAACGAGGGGAGGACCCAGGGAAGACAACATGGCCCCATCTGCAGGCCTGGGGCTCCCACTAGCACAAACTCCCTCTGTATTGCTGCAAAGAGCTCAGGCTATTTTGGGACTCTACAGAAGTAAATCAAAGACACATCTTTTTTTGAAAAATTAAGAACCGTCAATCATCAAAGAAAGCTGGCGTGAGCCTCTGAAATAAGGGAGCGTACATATCTTCTTTCTTAAATTGCATTTTTCTTGGCGGCGGGGTGGGGTGAAGAATCAGGCTGTTTGTGATCTCATACCCTTCTGCAATAGAATAACCTCTGCAATAGAATAACCTCATCAAGAATTCCCCGAGTGTCCAATTTCACAAAGTTACCACATATACAGCAGAAGTGACGGTGCCCAGAATGACATGGCACCATCACTGCAGAGAGACGCAAACTGCACTAGTATTGGGTGATGTCATCTGAAGATGCTGAGGAACGTAGAGGCTCTGCAAGTACCCCATACTTACTGCTCTCCTGCCATAAAAACAAACAAACAAACATGGGGAATATCCCAAAGCAACAACACTATAATGTTCCCATTGCAAACTACTGTAGGGTCAGTAGCGTGGATTGTGTTCTGTACAAGGCAAATAAATACTGACCGGAACACAGATACCCTACAGAACAAATGGAAAAAGCCATTATTTTTGAGGGACAGGTCTGGTCAGGTTGCTTTGAGCACAGAGCTATCCTGTTGTCTATGGGTGGAATCCAAAATAAGCTTTCGTCCAGACCCAGTACCAACATTGAATGCACACCCAGTGGACCACACAAGCTCTTGTCAAGGCACCAAGGGCTCTGCCAAACAAAGAGCTCCTTTTTCAAATGCATACGCTAGGATTTGGAACCAACTTCCAAGAATGTCACAAGAGGGGATGTCGCCGCACTTTGAATAGGGGAAGAGGAGCAATAAATAACATACTCTGCACATATCTACAAATTTCCAAAGAAATAAACTAGGAGGAGGGAGTAGCAAAAATGATTAAGCAACTGCAAGTGTGACCTTACGCAGCTAGGTTCAGGTGGTCATGTTGGTTTAAGAAGCTGAGATAGCTTTGTCTGCACCCACAACACCTACTCTCCTCCCTCTTCCAGGATTTAAAAGCAACATCAAACCATGGTTTAAGATCCCGGTTTGTTCCAAAGGCGGTAACCATGCTTCAAGAGACGTTACTGTTAACTGGAGACTTAGGGATGCATGGGTAGGCAACAAGGCTCACTTATCTCTCAGCCCATTTGCCTGAGCCCAGTCAATGTGTTTTGCTGCACTATAAACCAATTAAGTCATTCAGATAACAAGACACAGCTTCTAAGCGACAACATACTCCAGAGAATAGGTTAATCACATAGGTTAAATAACGTTTGTGAGCTGAACCTACAACTGAGATCAGAGGACAATCAAGACCACGGTCTTATTGCAACTAGTTTAAACGTGCACTGCTTAGGAAACCAGTTGGACAAGGGCATGGGAGCCCAGAGTTCAAACCCCTGCTCAGTCACAAAGCCCACCAGTAAAACATGGGCCAGCTGCTCTCTCTCAGCCTACCCTCTCTCATAAGGGAGATGTGATGATAAAAAAAAGAGGAGGGAGAACCATACACACCCTTTCTTGAGAGCTTTGGAGGAAAGGCAGGAATGAATCTTGATTTTGTGTTCTATTAGTAATAATTTTATTGATAACTATATTGCATTTAGAGAGATTTTTCTGGTTAACCCATCTACAATTTTCCCCTCAATATTTATTTTTAACTGCATCATGTCTGTTGGCCGGATGGTTCTTCTCTATTTCCGGGGGGTTCAAAGGTCAGACATATTTTTTAATAGGGCTAACATGTCTTTAGTCCTTTTTCAGAGTTTAAAATTCCCAGGTGCCAGGCACATTTTGCAACTGGCGCAGATCCATTTGCAACCATGTGGAGATTTATGGATGGGAGGGTGGCGAATGACATCTCCATCTGGCTGGCTCCTCCAGCTTTCATAAGCAGGTCAGCAGAAGAGCTTATTTATTGCATTTATATCCCATCTTTTCCTCCAAGGACGACATGGTTCACCTCAATCAATCAATCAATCAATCAATCCCTACAATCACCCTGTGAGGTAGACTAAGAGGCTGTGACTGGCCCAAGGTCACCCAGTCAGCTTCATGGCTGAGTGGAGATTTGAACCCTGATCTCCCAGGTCCTAGTCTGACCCTCTAACCACTATACCACACTGGCTTCTCAGAGTGCTTCTGCTATGGTGCAACTATATAAATTAAGTAGCTAAATAAGTATGGGGAAAGCAAAATGTCACTTAGATAAGGATCTGCTATATTTTCCTTGAAGCTTAAATTTGTTTTCTTCTGGGTTGTTTTACTTAATGTTTTAATGTGTTGTAAACAGCTTTGAGATTTTTTTCCTTTATGATATAAAATGACAGACATGAAATTAATAAAAATAATAGTAATGTTTCATGGAGGGAAAACGGCACATCGGCATTACATTGTGGTGACCATAATTTAGGATTAAGATGCCATTTGGCAATTAACTTATATATCTTTGTTTCTAACACTGTTTGCACTCCTTGAACTAGTCAGAATCAGCCTGTTCTGTAACTGAGAACTTACAAAGGATGACAGACAACTCAGACCATTCATTTGGCAGCAGTGGAACATGCTGTGGAATAAATGAGGAGCAGATTATTGCTCATCCATGTAAAAAGTGGCTTCTTTATTTCATACCACTGGGGTAAGAATACTATGTTTGAATTTGCTCTCAAGTGCAGATATGCTATATGAGAGTTTTGTTTTTAGCAAGTGTGAAATGCACCATCCTAAACAATTACAGAAGAATTCTGGCTCAGTTAAAGCTATGTTTCTTTGTGGCCTCTTCTATGTTCTCACCATAATTCAGACTTTTCATACATCAGACTCTGAAAGATAACCTTCTTGAAAAGTCATTATGACATCACTTGTTCTGAGGCAAAGAAGACACGTCTTTGGTTAAACTCCAAGGCAAGCTGTTCCCTCATCTACTCTAGGACCATTTTACTGGGCCTAACATCACCTTCCAAACCATCACATAATCATTTTCATGTATCCTCTTATGAACTCTATCACCATGCTTCAGCAGGTTACACTGGGCAAATACACAGAATAGGCAAGTGTCCAACTCTAAAAAAGCAGGAGTACAGACACACATGGCATTAAAATCACTTATTGTTACTATAAGCCCGACATCTTGAAGAGTCACTTGAACACAGTACAGTGGTACCTTGGAATTTGAACGGAATCAGTTCCAGAAGTCTGTTCAACTTCCAAAACGTTTGGAAACCAAGGTGCGGCTTAGGATTGGCTGCAGGAAGCTCTTGCAGTCAATCAGAAGCCATGGAAGCCCCATCGGACGTTTGGCTTCCAAAGAACGGTTGCAAACCGGAACATTCACTTCCGGGTTTGCAGCATTCAGGAGCCGAGGTACGACTGTACAGTATTTTACAAATTCAAAATCAGCAGTACATATGGTTGACTTTTTCAGGACATCAACATGAGGATTTGGAGGCAGACACTTGAGCTATTATATACCAGCTTTTCCTAACTTGGTGGATTTCATATGCTGTTGGACAACATTTCCCATCATCCCAGACCAATGGCTTGGCTATGCTGGCTACAGTTGATGGAGCGCAATATCTGGAGGGAACCAGGTCGGTGATGGTTGTATTATGCCAACAGGGCTTATTAGGTTGTTGTCACTGGCAATCAGGGAATCAGTTCCCTGGCAAATGTATTTATGCACAAGCGTGGCAGGAAAACCCTCCCAGAGTTCTCTGTCCACAACTGAACACTCATAATGTGGAAGGCGAGGAGAGGGGAAATTTTCTCACTTCATGCCATGATATGAGAAATACCACCACTGCCACTCCCTCAAGTTCTCCATCACTTCATGCAGGGCTGAGCAATTTTCAAACTTTGTGGAACCCTGTACAGAAGTCTATGCTTTTGGTTGAATATACCATTGGCTTTCATGCAACATCTGATGACTGGGCTGTGTTTTGTATTGCCACTAACTTTGGGGAACCTTAATCATGAGCCTATTGCAATCTACCTTTACGCACTTGGCTCCAACACATTCAATGACAAGCTGAGGTAAGAGGCCACTGTGTTTTCCAGGCTTAACGAAATGACTCTTCAAGATATTAAGATTTTCCTCACACCCCCAGCTCCATTTCAAAAAGGAAGATTTCATCAAAATACAAACCTCATCAAAATACACACAGAAGAATCTATCCAGTGCAGCATTCCAGTGAAAGGGGGCAGCTGACCTTTAATGTATCACATTGAAAGAGGGGGAGGAAACATCTCAACTCAGGAAGTGCCAGCAAGTCAGTAAGACAATGCCATTCCATTTCTCACGACCTTCGCTCTTGCTAAAAATAACTAATAGGGTATTCTCACATCTGACCCCATAGCTTGGTCATGGGGAGGTGGACGATCTAAGGCGGGGAAAGAGAGAGACTTTCCAGAACCTTCTAAAGAAAAGGCTTACAAGAGCCTTCAAATGCTGGGAAGAAAAGTAATGCACATTGTATTCAGGAATTGCCTGGGATTCAACTGGCGTTAAAACACTTGATCTTCAAGGCCAAACTTCCATTATACTGTTCTTAATATTAAACCTCAAAGCATATGAGCCCACCTTGATTCTGACAAACCATTTCTAATGTAATCTCAAGAATAAAAGATCACTGCCTGACATGTCCGAAACATCACTCTGAACTCCATCAATGAAGCAGGAAAAGTCCCCCATGAATGTCATATTCTTATCTCATCCAGTAAGCCCATATAACATTTCCCCGTTCTAGGCCACAAAACCAAGAACAGCATATATATCCATCTTTGATTGAATAGCCATTAAGCTAATCTCTCTAAGAAGCATCACATGAAGGCCCCAAAGATTCTCTAGTCACATATCCGCAAGCCCCACCTCAAACGAACGGTACAGTACCTTAGATTAAGTCCTTACTCTACACCACAAAAGGTCTCAATGCCATAAGGAAGAACAAAATACTTCTTTTCAGAAGCACCTGCCCTTTTCAATCAGCCCAGCTTGGGTGTGCATTCGCATAGCTGCTGTATCAAGAGATGGTTGCTGAGTTCTTCTTGAGATAGATGAACATCTACCAAAGCAGCAACTAGAGGCAAGACACCTGTGTGGGAGGAGGAGGGGGGGGGCTATTGAGGTAAACTTGAAATAAGTTGAATTCTTTAGCAATTTCAAAGATAATATTAACGCAGCTCAGGATAATAGACACAACAGCTCTCTCTTTGTCTCACATGCATTAAAAGGCATCTTTTAAGATGTGATTATGGCGGGGAGGGAGGGGCAAGACAGAGGGAAAGGAGCAACCTGATGCCTCAATGTTCAGGAGCGGGGCCTAGTTCAACCCAGCTGGGTAGGTAAGCCCTGCATCCCCCCAAAAAGGTGGGCAGCCAGCATGCCATTTGAAAGTGGAAGTCCACCCCCCAGCCCTGCAATGTAAAAAAAAAAAAGAGTTAAAAGACAATAATCACTTCTTCATGAAGTAGCCTTTAGCTTCAGGGAGGGACTGAAAAGGGATGGGGAAGGAGATGATAAGGAAGGGGGGGATGATAAAGGGGTTCTCACCCCCCCCTTTCTGAAATCTCAAGCAACTACAAAATAATCTAAGTAGGGAGAATAAGGCTGAGGGAGCTCCCCTCCCTTTAAGAAGTGAGTAAAATCCACTGCCTTCAAACCAGATATAGATATCTACATACAGTCTAATTATGGTCCTGGGATGCTATAATTATAATTAAGGAACTGCAGAAATAATCTAAGTAGGGAGAATAAGGCTGAGGGAGCTCCCCTCAAGAAATGAGTGAAATCTACTGCCTTCAAACCAGATAGATAGATAGATAGATAGATATAGATATTCAGGTATCTACATACAGTATAGAGATCATTATGGTCTGGGATGCTCTATATCTATATATATGAAGGGAGGATGAAGAGCCTTCTGACCTCCCTCTGCCCCCCCCGCCCCCCCGCAGCGCCCCCCCCGGGCCCGGCGGCCCCTCACTCACCGGGTGGGGGCTCCTCCTCCCTCCCGCCGGTCCCTCCTCCCCTCCCTCCGCACAGGCCGGGGCTGCAGGGCGAAGCTCCCCCAGGGTCAGGGGGGGACGGGAGTCAAGCAGCGGCGCCGTGCTTCGGGAGGGGAGGGAGAGGGAAACCGGTGGGGGCGGCGGCGGTGGGGGCGGCTCTGGCAGGCGACAGCCCCGGGCGGCGAGGACCACCGGCCTCCTCGGCTCCGGCTCGGCGATAACAATAGGGCTGCCGGCGCAGCGCCTCCCTTTATATAGCACGAGCCACGTGACGCGCCTCCTCGGCGCGGGTTTTTTTTTCCCTCCCTCCCTCACAAACGCGTGGGGCGGCCGCGGGGCAGCATGGGAAATGTAGGCGCTTCCGGAGAGGCGCCGGGCACGTGCGCGCGCAGACTTTTCCTCAGGAGGCGGGGGAGCGGAGAGAAAGAAGCGCTCTCTAAGGTAGCGCATCTCAGCGGCGCGTTGCACACTGGGAAATGGAGTCCCGAAGGGGGTGGCTTGAAGCGGGAAGCGCATTACGTACGGCGCACGGAAAGCAGGCTTGCTGTTCCAGGCGCTCCACCTAGCGGCCGCTGAGGGTAGATGACAAGCTTAGCTCGTCATGGTTCTCGCCGCCTCCTTCACCCAAACCTTACTTAAGAGGGAGAACTGACTGGCAGGAAGAGATGACCAAAAGCAGGGGTCAGCAAACTTTTTCAGCAGGGGGCGGGCCACTGGCCCTCAGACCTTATGGGGTGTTGAAATGAAGTTATAGGGCTTTAGCAGGAATATTATAAGGAATTAAGTACAGATAGGTCAATAGAGTACTAAAGAGAGAAATAAGGTTAGAATGAGTTAAGACAATTATAGGGCAGATAACAGAGGAAGATGGAAAGGAATTGCTGAAACAATTAATAGAAGTGGAATACAAAAAAGGGAGGTGTGAGGAGGTTATGGAAATAAGAGAATGAAAGATGGATAACGAAATTGGTGGATATTTTTCTTTTTCTTTTCTTTTCTTTTCTTTTTTGTTGTTGTTTTTGTTTTGGTTTGTTAATTCAATGTATTGTATTGTGTTTTTTCTTTATTGTTTAAATTTTTGGAAAAATAATAAATATTATAAAAAAATAAAACAACAATCTGGGATAGCAGCAGGAAATGGCACTGGAATAAGAGAATTTCCCGCAAAAAAAGGGGGAAGGTTGACAGCTATGGTACAAACACACGTTCTACTCATGTAAAAACACCAGACAGACCCCACAAATAACACAGAGATGCATTTTAAATGAAAGGACACATTCTACTCATGTAAAAACACGCCAATTCTCAGACCGTCTGTGGGCCGGATTGAGAAGCGTGGCTGTCAACTTTTCCCTTTTCTTGCAAGGAATCCTATTTGGAATAAGGGAATTTCCCTTTTAAAAAGGGAAACGTTGACAGCTATGTTTAGAAGGTGATTGGGCCGGATCCGGCCCCCGGGCCTTAGTTTGCCTAAGGTAAAGGTAAAGGTACCCCTGCCCGTACGGGCCAGTCTTGACAGACTCTAGGGTTGTGCGCTCATCTCACTCTAGAGGCCAGGAGCCAGCGCTGTCCGCAGACACTTCTGGGTCACGTGGCCAGCGTGACGAAGCTGCTCTGGCGAACCAGCACCAGAGCAGCACACGGAAACGCCGTTTACCTTCCCGCTATAAAGCGGTCCCTATTTATCTACTTGCACTTAATTGTGCTTTCGAACTGCTAGGTGGGCAGGAGCTGGGACCGAACGACGGGAGCTCACCCCGCCGCAGGGATTCGAACCGCCGACCATGCGATCGGCAAGTCCTAGGCGCTGAGGTTTTACCCACAGCGCCACCCGCGTCCTACCCATGACCAAAAGATTCCCAACAAAGGCAGTGGACTCTCCTTCCTTACAGGTTATTAAAGCAGAGGTTGGATGGTCATCTGCTATGTGTGATCTAGTTGAGATCCTGCATTGCAGGGGGTTGCACTAAATGACCCTCGCTGCCCCTTCCATCTGTGATTCAGATGCCTTTTGAAAAAACCTGCATTGTTATATAAGCACCTTGCTTGATGTTCTAAGGCAGTGGTGTCCTAACTTTTTTCAAAGGCCAGATTTGATGAAGTGAAGGGCTGTGGGGGCAGACCAAAGTTATTGACCTTTTTAGGATTAAAGTTGTTGAGCTTTTTTTAGGGTTGGAGTTGTTGAGCTTCTTTTATTATTAAACTTGTTAACTTTTTTTTGGATTTTACCCCAGGAAATAAACTGCCACAGGGGCCAGATTAAACCGACCGGAGGGCCAGATTAGGTCCCTGAAGCGGACTTTCGACATGTCTGCTCTAGGGGAGTGGGAATTCTAGAACATCAGGATACCATCCCCTTCTGTTTCCAAATTTTATAAACGGGAGCATTTTCCTTCCAACTCTATGATTCTATAATGAGACGCATGTGTCGACTTTGCATTGACATTCTCGACAGTGAAAGAGCCAGGGCTTCTTTTTTCAGCTAGAACTCACTGGAACTCAGTTCTGGCACCTCTCCAAGTCGGTGCCAGTGCCATTAGAAGAGAACAAGGGAGGTGTTCATGGTGAGTTTTGGCAACTCTTTTTCTAAAACATTAGCACTGACTATAGCCCTATTGGGACGCTGGTGGCGCTGTGGTCTAAGCCACTGAGCCTAGGGGAGGTCGGCAGTTTGAATCCCCACGATGGGGTGAGCTCCCGATGCTCTGTCCCAGCTCCTGCCAACCTAGCAGTTTGAAAGCACATCAAAGTGCAAGTAGATAAATAGGTACCGCTCCGGAGGGAAGGTAAACAGCATTTCCGTGCGCTGCTCTGGTTCGCCAGAAGCAGCTTAGTCATGCTGGCCACATGACCTGGAAGCTGTATGCCAGCTCCCTCGGCCAATAAAGCGAGATGAGCGCCGCAACCCCAGTCAGCCATGACTGGACCTAATGGTCAGGGGTCCCTTTACCTTTACCTTTATAGCCCTATTACTAGATGGGATGACTTTGAAACAGGGGAAAACTGTTGCCATAATTAAGTACAGTACTTCTCTTCACTATAGGGGTGAAGAAATAATTTGAAGGGCACTGAAGTTTCTCACTGTAAGCAGAAGCCATGCAGCATAATCCTATACGCTGCATACAGGATACATAGAGCCACTGCTTTCAAGTATGAAGATTGCAGCCTTAACCCTGAGGCTAAACAAGTCCAGGCCACTTCATTTTGGTTTTCAGTTAATGCAAGTGTAATTGCTGTGCCACAACAAATTAGAAAAAGGAGAAAAACAAAATTATAGCTCAGACCTAGGGCGACACCGCCCCTGCACCTAACCAGCCCAAAGTAGTTTCGCTATTTGAACACACACACACACACACACACACACACACACACACACACACCTGTAAATTCAGATGCAGACTTAATATTTCATTGGACACCATGCTGCTTTATTTCATTTTATGTGTCTTGAAGCTGGACCTATTTGAACAGAATCCCCCTCTCTCCATCCTATTATTTGAGACTTGTAAATGTGGTTGACCTCCTCAAATGCACAAACCACCTACTCTGATTGCAACTGAAATACAGTAATTGTCTTAAATAGCAGAGACATCACCTTGCCAAAAAAAGTCTGTATTGTTAAAGCTATGGTTTTCCCAGTAGTGATGTATGGAAGTGAGAGCTGGACCATAAAGAAGGCTGATCGCCGAAGAATTGATGCTTTTGAATTATGGTGTTGGAGGAGACTCTTGAGAGTCCCATGGACTGCAAAAAGATCAAACCTATCCATTCTTAAGGAAATCAGCCCCGAGTGCTCACTGGAAGGACAGATCGTGAAGCTGAGGCTCCAATACTTTGGCCTCCAATACTTTGGCCACCTCATGAGAAGACTCCCTGGAAAAGACCCTGATGTTGGGAAAGATGGAGGGCACAAGGAGAAGGGGACGAGATGGACAGTGTTCTTGAAGCTACCAGCATGAGTTTGACCAAACTGTGGGAGGCAGTGGAAGACAGGAGTGCCTGGCGTGCTCTGGTGGAACTTAGGAGAGCAATCCTATTCCTATCTACTTGTAACCTATGCAAAACTGCGTAGAGACAGTGACGAAAATACCACTATGGGTTAAAAATGCAATCTAAACCATGGGCTACCTTTACATGCAAGCCAGGCCACACACGACATCCATGCTCAAGGCCATTATGCTTTCATCACACACATGAACAATAGCACTTTATTGCTGTTGCTACTAACTAGTAGCTTGGAGCAGCAGGGAAAGAAATGTTTTGGGCTACCCGAGCCAGTGGCACAAACTCCGAACAACTGCAATGCTTACTCTAACTCACAAGGGTTCAAGAGTGAGACAGGAGTCTCTCTGTATTCAATGCATTGGTATCTGATCCAGAAACTGATTTTTGCCACACTTCTTGTTGTTGGCACTAGTTGTCTTGAGAGCCAATGGACGAGTGCTCCATTGGGGGGTAAAGTCAAACCATTGGAGAGTTACAGCGCCTGCTGTGGTTATAGAGACTGATACTGGAGAGACATGTTTAATTGCAGTAGGGGCAGATGAAGACATCCGGTTGCGCTGATGCAGTTGCGCCATGGAGTGGTGTAAAATTTGCTGTTTAAATAAAGAGATCAAATATCTTAGCCAGGTTGGTATCTCATACACACAAAATAATGTGTTCAAAACACATTAGCCAGACACATGGAAGAAAGCGGATACCGTATTTATTGCTCTAGAAGACTCACTTTTTCCCTCCTAAAAGGTAAGGGGAAATGTGTGTGCGTCTTATGGAGCGAATGCAGGCTGCGCAGCTATCCCAGAAGCCAGAACGGCAAGAGGGATTGCTGCTTTCACTGTGCAGCGATCCCTCTTGCTGTTCTGGCTTCTGAGATTCAGAATATTTTTTTTCTTGTTTTCCTCCTCCAAAAACTAGGTGCGTTTTGTGGTCTGGTGCGTCTTATAGAGCAAAAAATACGGTATATTTTTGAAGAGCATAAAAGCACAAGGATGAAGCATGCTGGAGGTATTTTTTAAAATTTAACAATGGTTTTGTGCTTGCAACGATAATTTATGTTCCATACACCAATTAATGCAAGCTCTAGGCAATCTTTTGCTGCGTCAGCAATGCCGTTGTTGATTATAACTAGCCAAATTACTCCTAAGCAAGCAAAAATTGAATCATTCCTTTACCAAAGTTGCCAAGGCAGAATAGAAGCAAACTAATATAAAACGCAGAAGCTCTCCTGCTTTGCACTTCTTTCTGAACCCCACATAATTGGTGTTCAACACTTCGTATTAATTATTGTCCTGGTCTACTCGACAGCTCAATTTGAACATGGATACAATGTCCGCACACCTGACTGTGGACGCACATAGTGGATGAATTTACTGATGCATTTACACACCTGAAAGCAAAAGCAAAAATGATACAAAGCTTAAGCAAGCATGACACTTGTACATTTGTCTCATTATACCTGTCACACATGATCAGAGAAACTAATTAGAATGTAAATTCTCAGTCCTAAACCACTGTATGTGCAAAAAAAAAATGTACGAAAGCACCACTGGCCCAACATTTGACACCTCTCTATATAATCATAATTTATTATTTATACCCCACCCATCTGGCTGGATTTCCCCAGCCACTCTGGGCAGCTTCCAACAAAATATTAAAATACAGTGGTCTGTTAAACATTAAAAGCTTCTCTATGTACAGCTAATATTATTCTCAATTTCTAGTGGCAGAGATTATTCTGCAGCAAAAAAGACCCCAAATATTATATTCAGTTCTTATCTTCTACACCATCACTAAGTGATGCTGCATGGACTATGATGGCTAATGACTCCCACATTATTAAAGGTCCCAGAATATAAAAAGAAACACAACCCACCGCCATGTTTTAGAGTTTGTAGGTTTCATTCTATGTTTTAGCAATACACACACGTTATGAAAGATGGTTACAACATCAGGAAGAGTGGCATTTTTTTGAGCTTGTGGGGGGGGGGACCCATGATCATCCTCCAAGTGTTCAAACACAGATTTGGGGAGCAGGGAAGTAAAAAAAATATGCTGCCACTTGTGCACTGAAAATTGCATCCTGCTGATAGACTGTAAAGAGAGAGCATGACAACAGCCAGTTCAAAATTTATGTTTGCTCTCTAGACATTTCTAGATTGTCTGGCAGGGCAAGAAGCCCAGAATAAAATTTAAGATATTAACTGATGCAAAGGAAAGGGGTGGATTTGCCCTGCCAGACTTCAAACTTTACTATGAATCAGCAGCTTTTTGCTGGTTGAAAGAATGGCTGCTTCTTGAAAACACTGACATTTTGGATCTAGAAGGTTTTAACAATGTATTTGGATGGCATGCATATTTATGGTATGATAAGGTCAAAGCACATAAAGCATTTAAAAACCATATTGTCAGGAAAGCATTGTTTAATGTTTGGATAAGATACAAGGACTTATTGGAAAATAAAACCCCAAGGTGGCTGTCACCGATGGAAGCGAAAGCTCTGAAAAAGCTCAATATGGAGGCCAAATGGCTGAAATATTGGGAAATTTTGGAACAAGATGGAGATAGACTGAAATTGCAGAGTTTTGAGAAATTAAAAACAAAGTCCGAGACTGGCTTCATTATTATCAGATAATGGAGGCATATAATTTGGACAAGAAAATTGGTTTCCAGGTGGAAAAATCAAAATTAGAAACAGAACTGTTAGAACCCAAAACTAAGATTTTGTCAAAGATGTATAACTTGCTGTTGAAATGGAATACTCAGGATGAAACGGTGAAGTCTGCTATGATTAAATGGGCACAAGATGTTGGACATAACATAATGATGGCTGACTGGGAACAGTTATGGACCACAGGTATGAAGTTTACGGCATGCAATGCCTTAAGAGAGAATATTATGAAAATGATATACAGGTGGTACATGACCCCAGTCAAGCTTGCAAAAATTTATCATTTGCCCGATAACAAATGTTGGAAATGTAAAGAAACTGAAGGTACATTCTTTCACCTTTGGTGGACGTGCCCAAGGATTAAGGCTTTCTGGGAGATGATATATAATGAATTGGAAAAGGTATTTAAATATACCTTCTTGAAGAAACCAGAGGCCTTTCTCCTAGGCATAGTCGGCCAATTGGTGCCAAAGAAGGACAGAATTTTTTTTATGTATGCCACAACAGCAGCAAGAATACTCATTGCAAAGTATTGGAAGACTCAAGATCTACCCACTCTGGAAGAATGGCAGATGAAGGTGATGGACTATATGGAACTGGCGGAAATGACTGGCAGAATCCGAGACCAGGGAGAAGAGTCGGTGGAAGAAGATTGGAAGAAATTTAAAGACTATTTACAGAAATACTGCAAAATTAATGAATGTTAGAATGATGTTGGATAGAAATTAAGTGGTTTTCAGCTGTAATACTATAAGGGAATATGAAAAATGGATTACAATATTTTAAGATTAAAGACTAGGATAAACAAAGAGGGTAAGGATTTGCTGAACTAACAAACTGAACTGGAATACAAAAAAGGGAGGCGTGAGGAGGTCCGGGAAACAAGCTAATGAAAAATAAGTAATGGAAAGATTGAGTTGTTTTTAACCATTTTTATTTTGTAACATTTTGAAAATCTCAATAAATATCTTATTAAAAAAAAAAAGTTATGTTTGCTCTCTGACCAAGTTTCATATCCAGATTTGAAGGGAGACCTTTAAACCATAGTTTCCTAGTTCAAAATATGACCAGAAACTGTGGTTTAAGAAACCAGGATATCATCACAGGAGCTAGTGAGCAAGGGGAAAACAAAAGGAAAATGACAACTGGACTGTGAAATCATGGTGGCAGAATGAGGCCACTACCTTCTCAACAGGTACCACAAAGCCATGCTCTGCCATTTGGTTTGCACCATCTTTGATTATTGCTGGGAAGACGCTAAATCACAGCTTTATTATTCAAGGGCAGCAGGGAGATCTTTGGCAGTTAACTGCTAGTCTGGCTGTGTGTTTGTGTGTGTGTGTGTGTGTCTGCCTGCCTGCATTCCAACCAGCCAGCTGATCATCACCTTGAGCTGGAACAAGTAGATCTGGCTTTCATCAAAACAGAGGCTACCAAAATGTGAACTTCTCTGGGTCACTTCAGATTTGGTTCCATCACTGTTTCCAGTCTGAATAAGCATTCTGCTGAACCATACAAACTGTTGATTGTGAAGGCTTGGTATTTCTGAAAACAAATGAAACCCCAACTTTGGCCAGCTACAATCCTGGAGGGGGCGCTATGTCATAGTTGTAAACTCCCAGCTCCGAAGACAACTGAGCCAGAGACTGACTGAAAACAGAATTGATCTTTATTGGCATATATATGATGAGACATAACATTTCTACTTAAAAGCTGTGGAGTCGCAACTGCCAAGGTTCTTCTTCTTCATTGACTTTATTTCACTTGACCTTGACCGGACCCAGTTTCTTGCCTCCTTAAGAAGCAACCTACTAAACCTAATTGATTTAAATAAAAGTTCAGCACTTTTTGGTAAAAATACCAAGTCAAAATGATTTTAAAAACCCTCAAATAATCTGGTACTGAGAAAAATATGTAACTAGGTTTCATTTAATGAAATGAAAGTTAATTTTTCCCACCTCTCCAACTTAGCTTAAGCACAGCTTACATCAGCTGCCAGCTCTACGGCCAATGCAGTGTCTATCAAGACTTGATTGTGAAACTGACATTGTGACGCACAAGGTTGCAGATTCCAGAGAATTGCTGCTTTCTAGGGGGACTGGAAGGCTAAAGGAGAAGTGGTCCTTTCCCCTTCAGACAAGTTGTTCGCCTGTGATTTTCACAGCGTCATCACTACAGTTGTAACAGTTTCCCATATTTTTCTCCAGAGCTCAAAAAATGCATCTTGGCATTCATGTCAGAAGGCTGAAGCCTTTACCCAAGAGGCTGGCTGCTGCCTGGGAAACGGACACGCATGCCCTTCTGTCACCATGGAGCTTCCACAGGCTTTTCAAATAAGCACTATGGACTATTGCTGCATGAGCTGTTTCTGGGATAATGTTATTATGGCCCTCCTGTGGGATTTCATTCAAAGGCAGCCATCATTTCTACATATTCCCCCCCCCCCCGAAAAAAAAAGCCAACACATTTTTTTAAAAAACACAATCTTTTTGCCTCTGTCTCAGTTCGTTGTGTTCCTTAACAGCTCAGGATAGCAATTCCTTCTTTTGCATTTGAAGTCTCTTCAGTTGCAGTGTATAGCAAAGCCATAGGCAACCCTATGGCTCTCACGAGATAGGCGTTATTCCTAACTTACACTGGCAGAGAAGACAGCCACGTTATCACTCACACGTGGACAGCTGCACGCCCACAAACCTGTAACATGGTCCGAAAGTCAGAATCGGAACAAAGTCCCTACCCAACCGGCCAGCAAACCTGAAAGTCTCCTTGGCTCTATCAGCCAAATACGCCTCTGAGAGGCCTGAATAGCTGGGACCGGCTTTGAAAGAGGACCCTCAGAATAGATGCTCATTTGTCCAGGGATTCCCAGAGCATCCATCACAACCGGCCAAGCTGTCGCATATCAAAAATGTTGCAGTTGCCCACCCCCAATATACATAATTGCAAATCCATCACTGGCCAGTCTGGCTGTTTCAAAAGGCAGTGGGTGCAGCCATGGCACTGAACTCGGAAGAAGCAGCCCCGTGCTTGCAAACTGGTGCCTACAGCATGCCAGCAATGGTACAGATGGTTCACCTAACAGAAGGCAACATGCTGTGGAAGCAAGATGAGTTCTGTTGCTCTTGTGGATTTCTGTCAGTGTGTCCAGGTGCCAAACAGGCAAATGAAGCTGTGTGCATGAGAGAAGATGCAACAAGTCCAAGTCCCTCTATTTTAAGATGATGTGATAACTATCATTGGTTTCAGCTGCAAAGAAAGCAAAGCACCATGAGACTGGATGGACACAAGGAGTACAATCCCCCTGTCTGCCACCCCACAACAATTCATAATTTGTTTGGTTGTAAGTCGCTTTGGGTTGCCTTGGGCAGGATAAAGTGACTAAAAATTTAATAAATACAATGCATAACTATTATGGCATGCTGGTTTTGATACCCTATGGTGGGAAAGAATGGAGCGCTTAGGTTTTCCAGAGAAAAGGAAAAAGACTAGGGGATTGGGATAATAATGTGCACTTAAAAAAATTGGTACCTTTCATAGTATCCAAGACAAAACATGATTCATCCTGAAAGTTCTGTATCATCTAAAATAGAAATGAAAAACCGAAGTTTTTAGGGCTCCAGGCATTACTCAAAAAGAACTGTGAATTCAAGCAATATGACCATCTAAATATTTCTCCTTCCTTTTAGCAATAGGGACTTCACTGAGAAAAGGAAGCCTCCTAGAGCACAATAATGTTGTCTCCTCCGGCTCCTAGGAGGCTTAGTTTGGTCAGAATTGAGTATACACTTCCAGAATTAATGCTAAATACCGTATTTTTCGCCCTATAGGACACACTTTTCCCCCTCCAAAAATGAAGGGGAAATGTGTGTGTGTCCTATGGGGCGAATGCAGGCTTTCACTGAAGCCTGGAGAGAGAGAGGGGTCGGTGCGCACCGACCCCTCTCGCTCTCCAGGCTTCAGGAAGCTATCCACAAGCCTTGGGAGCCCGCGGGAGTTCCTGCCAGGCTCCCAAGTCTTGCGGACAGCAGCCTGCAGCCCGAAACCTGGGAAGCGCAGTGGAGCCACCCTGGGCTTCGGGCAGCTCTCCGCAACCCTAGGGAGCCCGGTGGGAAGTTGCGCCGGTCTCAGTAGGGTTGCGGAGAGCTGCCTGCATCCCAAAGCCTGGGGAGACCGGTGCGACTTCCCGCCGGGCTCCCTAGGCTTGCGGATAGCAGCCTGTTCTGGGGGCTGGGGTCGGGGGAAGCTCAGGCTTCCCCCAGCCCCGCGCCTGGGGGGGAAATAATTTTTTTTTTCTTTATTCCCCCCCAAAAAAACTAGGTGCGCCCTATGGGCCGGTGCGCCCTACGGGGCGAAAAATATGGTAAATTACTTTGGTTAAATGAGCCACCATAGCCGCTAGATGGCCATGAAAATGTGTCCAGGGCTTTTTAGACTCATCTACCCATGTACTATCGCAAACCAAAGGGGCACATTGGTTGTCAGGTGTGAAATATCTTGGCATTATTTCCAGCTCTCCTACCCCACTAGTATCTACTTTGGTTTAACAGTATTTAACACACACACACACACTTACTCAGCAGGGGTTTATTTTCCCTGTTTAAGCATGCTATTTGCTGTTGTGTTTTTCAGTAAGTCAATAGACAATTAAGTAGAGCTGTATAAAAGTGCAACTTCTTTCTTGCTCAGTCTACTCTGAAACTACAGGTGACAGACCTCACACTGTACGGTGATGGGAAAAGACATCCACTTCGAAGGAGTGGAGACACTTTTGGAAGCAGAGCTGAGCCTGCGATGATACTTTAAACTCCCAAATCTGTTCCCGTGTTTCAGCAGACTATTGGCTCACTCTTACCTCATCACTGATGAGCACGTGTATCCCTGTGGGACCTTGCTTGTAGATCTGGCTGATCTGTTGAGAGGAAATGCTGAAGAGCTGGGCAATTTTCTCTGTCAGTTCCACAGCTGTCAGTTCTTCCAAGTAGATGGCATGGTACACTGAAGAAGTAAGAACAGTTGTCGGCAAGGAGCACATTCTGTCAGGCAACAAGTTCAGCAGGAATTAGCCGTAGAGTAACCTATATTTAGAGTAGTGCTGTTTTCCCTTATATATTTATATTAACCTACCTCATCCTCCTAACACTCTGAGGCAATCAACAACATATTCAGCTGTACAGTATTCTCCGTAAGATTAAAAATAAATCCACACTCTTTTCTGGCCACTAAAGCTTGCTTGAGCAAGTCTTATAATCCACTTCTTCCAGCAGAATCTGCTGCCTAAGAAACACGTCATGGACATTTCCACGATGCCTACAAGTTTATCATCATCAGGAGGGCACCAGAATGGGGAAGGCTGGACTGAAGATTGTACCCCTACTTATTTAGAGCTACCACAGCATTTCCTGGAACAGAAGTAAGTACTGCCATTGCAAGAACCTGTGTGTCCATCAGTCAAAAGAGGCACGTAGGCTTCTTTCCTGAAGTTCTCACCATAGAAAGTATTGTTGGCTGCATCCCCATCTTCATGCTTCTGCTGCTCCCTCAGTTGCTGCGACTCCTGGCAGACGTAGATGGTCAGTCTTGGCCGTACCATCCTTGGGAGAAAATAAGACATGAGCACTCCAGAGTTATCAGGGAATGTTTTAAGGATAGGGCCACGAAGAGTAAAGGAAAGAGAGGAATAATTTGATTAAGAAGCACTGCAACAGCACTCACAAGTTGGTAAAATGTTTCACAACTATGCTTGGCCAATTTGGACATGTAGGGGGGGAAAGGCCATGTTACAGACCTCCTAGGTCTGTTCCAACTTCCCACTGGTGGAGAACGCATGCCTGCTCCACTCCCATCAAAAAGCATAAAGGACCCCTGACCATTAGGTCCGGTCGTGACCGACTCTGGGGTTGCGGCGCTCATCTCGCTTTATTGGCCGAGGGAGCCGATGTACAGCTTCCGGGTCATGTGGCCAGCATGACTAAGCCGCTTCTGGCGAACCAGAGCAGTGCACGGAAATGCCGTTTACCTTCCCACCAGAGTGGTACCTATTTATCTACTTGCACTTTGACGTGCTTTTGAACTGCTAGGTTGGCAGGAGCTGGGACCGAGCAACGGGAGCTGACCCCATTGTGGGGATTCGAACCACTGACCTTCTGATCAGCAAGTCCTAGGCTCTGTGGTTTAACCCACAGCGCCACCTGCGTCCCATCAAAAAGCATAGGACCATACAAAAACCCACAAAAGGGGGCAGGGAGAAAGAAGACAATTTCATCTATATTGTGCCCTGCTCCTCACTGGAATCAGAGATGCACAGTGGAGATGGCGCCATTTTTTCCAGTCTGTTGCAACCGGCCAGACTGCCCAATCCAGAGGGACTTTGCTTGGGGAAGTGAAACCCATGTATGCTGTTGCAGAAGGGTGGCTGAGGACGGATAGGCACTGAGCTGTGGTGCAGAGAGGCCTGTTGCAGTGCAGATAGCATTTTCTTCAGTTGGGTAGAAAGAAAGAGTGGAGGTCAGAGAAATAAAAAGAGGTGGGTGCTGGCTTGTGCTGGTGAACAGGAAAGAGCATGTGCACTAAGAGGGGACAGAAAAGAGGAAAGAAGTTTCCACACAGGCTACATGGTACAGAAAGAAAAGGGAGCCAGAGAACACCTTAAAAAATATACAAAATGTTTGCAGAAAGGGGAGCTTTTGCCTTAGCAGGGCAACTCTACGTCTCACCCACTGCATCCCACCCCCAAACACTACTATCTGAACAATCAGAATTGGTCCATTAACTCCATGGTATGATTTGCTATTAGCACAGCACCTTTTGCTGACCTTTGCCAGAAGCCTAACTGTTGTGGATTTGGGAGCTGGCCAACATTTGCTTTCTTTACTTGAGGGACCAGCTAACAATCACTCAAGAAACAGCAGAGCATGTTAAGCCCTCTCCAGCTCAAAGGGGGCAGGAGGAAAGATCAGAATCAAACAATTGCATATCTATTTCACAAAGGAAATAATGAAGCGAGACTTATTTAATGAAGGAGCCACGGAAGTGCTCTCATCCATCCATATCCAAACCACCTTAAAAGGAAGCAAAGATGTTTCTAGTCAAGTTCCAGTCTTGTACTATGTGCAATATATACTTCATATTCCTAGGTGCCCAAGAAACCAGGTATCTGCTTTGTATCAGTCTGTCCTTAACTCATCTGATCTTATTACAGGATACCCCTACAGTGTCCGAAGTTCCCATCTGTCTTACTGAGGCATAAGCTGTATATTAAGGATGAGCCTGGTAGCCATAGGCAGCAAGAAATTGCAAGCATGAAAGGGGGTGGGTTGGGAGGAGCGATACAGCATGGTGCCTGTCCCACGTCTAAGAAGAACAAACGGGACTGCCAGGGAAGGGAAAGTACAGTTAAGAGCAACTAATATGGTCAGGGGACCAGAGCAGTTCTAACAGGAAACATAGGGAGCTTTTTTGGTTTAGAAAAAAGGTGAGTAAGGAGGGAACATGATTTAAGTATCTAAAACTGCATTGTATGTATACAGAGAAGCCTTTCTCTGTCTTGTAATACTAGGGTCATTCAATAAAGCTGAAAGGTGGGATATTCAGGGCAGACCAAAGGAAGCACTACATGCCACCTGGTTTTCAAGTGCCAAAACAAAATACAGTGGTGCCTCGCAAGACGAAAAGTATCCGTTCCGCGAGTCTCTTCGTCTTGCGGGTTTTTTCGTCTTGCGAAGCAAGCCCATTAGCGGTTTAGCGGATTAGCGCTACAGTATTAGCGGCTTAGCGGATCAGCTGATAAGCGGCTTAGCGATCAGCTGTTAAGCGGCTTAACGGATCAGCTGATAAGCGGCTTAGCGATCAGCTGTTAAGCGGCTTAGCGGATCAGCTGATAAGCGGCTTAGTGGCTTAACGGATCAGCTGTTAAGCAGCTTAGCCGATCAGCTGATAAGAGGCTTAGTGATCAGCTGTTAAGCGGCTTAGCGGCTGATAAGCGGCTTAGTGGCTTAACGGATCAGCTGTTAAGCAGCTTAGCGGGTCAGCTGATAAGTGGCTTAACGGATCAGCTGTTAAGCAGCTTAGCGGGTCAGCTGATAAGCGGCTTAGCGATCAGCTGTTAAGCGGCTTAGCGGATTAGCTGATAAGCGGCTTAGCGGCTTGGGGAAAGGGGGGGGGGAAAACCCCGCAGGAACTCGCAAGACATTTTCGTCTTGCGAAGCAAGCCCATAGGAAATTCGTTTTGCGAAGCACCTCCAAAACGGAAAACCCTTTCGTCTAGCGGGTTTTCCGTCTTGCGAGGCACCACTGTACAAAATATGGAAATCCTAAACTGGAAAAGCAGAAATTCCGCACATTAATACAGCACATTAAAAGCCCAAACCATTTAAAAGGAAGTCTAGATGATGCATACCGTCCCTTCAAAGCATTGAAAAGTCTGATGCCATCTGCAGGGCCACATATCTGGATGACATCTTCCCTGGTTAATTTCAATAAATCTGCCCCTAGGATTGAAAAAAAGAAAGACAGTTGGGAGGCAGCAAATATATGTTTCAACATAGAAGACTTCGTATTTCCACAGAAATCCTTCTACATAATACCACTTAATGAAAGAGACGTCTGAGTTTCAAATTCAGTGAACACATATCTAGGGTGTCTGCTGCTGCTTTTAAGGCAGGGCTCTCATCACTGAGGAAGGAAAGAGGCCCTAGATAGCCCACTTGCATATTGTTTTTTAAAGGATAAAGGAGGTGCATGATTTAGATAAATCTAGTGAGGTTTACATGGTGGCGGATTTCATTAAGGCAACACACTCACACACAACTTAAACAGTACACTTTAGTCCATTCAAAGAGGCTAGAGCTGGTTTTGGCTTCCATTAGCACTGGCAAACTGTAAAGAGGTGTTCCTACGGTCATGGTGGCAGGGGGAAATGGACAGAATAGAAGATCCACAGGTCAAAGAGCTCACAACCCCCAGAAGATGCTTCTAAGAAGCTTGCTTGAGGGCAGAATAAACTGTCTGAGGAATCAACAAGAAAGTTGATGGATTCCAAATGCTGAAGCCCCCTTGTGATGTCGCAGAGCGGGGAGAGGTTTTTGCCACTACCTGAGAAGTTGGTGAAAAGCCGTGTGAAAGTTGAGAAGCGGTTCCGGATCAGCCACTGCTGAGCTTCCTGAGGTGTGGATGTCTGCAGGAGGTTCTATGAGAGAGGGAGGGAAACCTGATGCATCCTTGCAAGAGCAGCACAGACAACTTACACGACTTGCAACATATGACCTACAGTCTTTTGCACCGACAGTAGGTCATTCTTATTAATTCAGTTTCTGGCCCAGCCCTCATGAGTTTCCTGATCCTAAGGCAGCTTACGATATAACGTCAATAGTGTAAAACAAAGGGAATAAAATAAAAAGTTAACACAATGCAAATATACAAGATGACCTAATACAACAGACTGAAAGAACTACCTTCTCAAAGCTAGCCACACATTCAGTCCCCTGAAGTGTTAGCCTGCCAACTCAGAGACAACCCCACTGTCTGACATTAGAGGAATGAAACACAAAATATGAATGAGACTTACATCTGTAATGGGAGCAGGAGGTTCAGGCTGGTGATTTGGAGACCCGTTTCTATTTTTAAAAGAAGAAATGAAGAAGGAAGTTGGTCTTTGCTTTCCTTTGCTTGTCTTCAAATCAGCTGTGATTTGAACTGTTCCTCTAGCACAGGCATGTCCAACAGGTAGATCGTGATCTACTGGTAGATCACTAGATGTCTGCGGTAGATCACTGGCTCCCCCTAAAGAAACTGAACAACTGTGGCTCCCCTAAAAAAAGCTCAACATTTTACCTGAAAAAACTCAACAACTTTGACCCGAACCCCAAAAAAGGGGGTAGATCATTGCCAGTTTTTAACTCTGTGAGTAGATTGCAGTCTCTTGGGAGCTGGCCACCCCTGCTCTAGCATATTTAATCAAAGGGCTTCTGTGGACTCAGCAAAGCCTATCTTTTAACCATGGTGAAGGGGACCAGAGACAGGCCAAGGGACCCTGCAGTTCTCCTCCCGATCTTCCTTTGAGAACAAAGTCTTTCACTGGCTTGAACAGTGGTACAGCGACACTAAATTAACTTTGGATCCACTTTTAAGATGGAAGCCATGTTAGGGTTAAAAATAGTTGAAGGTGATGGAGATGCAACCCTTCAATCAGGGTGGTTTGCTTTGGTTTTTCATAGATTTGGAAAGGGACCTTTGTAGGTAATCTAATCCAACCCCCTGCTTAGTTCATAACAGCTACAGCATGCAATTGGGAACCTTTGGCCCTCCAGATGTTGCCACTGGCCATGCTTACTGGGGCCGATGCGAGATGATGATGATGATGATTTTATTTATACTCTGCCCATCTGGCTGGGTTTCCCCAGCCACTCCAGGCAGGTTACAGCATATATAAAACATACTAAAACATCAAACATTTGCATCATCTAGAGGGCCAAGGGTTTCCCAAAGCTGATCTATAGCTATAGCATGCTCAGCCTTTGCTGGCCAGAGAATGGAGAAAGGGAAGGTGGAATTTGTACTCAAGAGGAAGAAGGAATGCAGGGGTGTTCAGCAGAGGGGTTGAAGCTCTTTGCCTTTCTACAAAGCAGTACAGCAGGAGAGAGAGAGAATTAGCAATCTCCCTTTCTTGTCACAGTTTTCTCAGAAGCCACTTTCCCCCTATTTTAACATGAAAAGGCACAAGATGAAAACATGTCATTAATTTGCTCTGTCAACTTGCAATCCTACAGGCTACTGATGCAGGTAAGTGACCAAAAATGTATTAGGAAAGGTAAATGGGCAAAAGCCAGAAAAAAATTCAATGCCCAGACTTACCCTTCGCTAATGGAGAAACTGCTGTGGGAGCTGCTGAAGCCTGGGGATGGCACATTATTGACATATGTGATCTCAGGCCATGGAGAACACTGGAAGAGAAAATCCAATGGTGAGATATTCACAAGCATTGTGGTCCCGAACCTCAAAACTGCTTCCTGTGGAAGAAAGCACGCATGCCATGTATTTCCTGTAGCATGTCAAGGATTTTAGCCTCTGTGCTTGTGGAAAATCACCTGGAATCATGTAAGAACATGTGGAAGAGATGTCGCAGCCAGCTAAAATACACTAGAGCAAATCTTTCAGTAGTGAGTGGGTAGGACACAAGAAATCCATCCTTCCTTCTTTCTCCATGTGTCAAATAAAGTAAAACCTCCATTTCCTTTACTGCTTCAGTCCTTGATAAGCAAAAAAAAAAAGCACACCTTGTTTCTTTGAGCACAACTGTAAGTGTTTACATAGTGTAGTTGTTTATTCTAGGTTGAAGCCACAACACACGCACAGCCCTGACTAAAATGATTGTTTCTTGAATGCTACAGGAGACGTTTATTCAGAAAAGTAGTCAAATGTTAAAGCTCACTGCTCCTCTATAATCCTAGCCATTCGTGAGGAATTAAGAAGAACCCAACTGAATTTGTTTTGTTTCTATGAAGATCATACATTTGAAGCTGCTATATTTGGAAGAACAACCTTTGCAGCTAGAGTCACATACTGTATGAGTTGGGATGATTTAAAAGTGGTATTTTTCCAACACACTTTCAACTCATCCTTACTCATGGTGCATGGATTCATATCCATTAGTGACTTGGAGCCATGAGGTCAGGTGTGCAACAAAAACCTTACTCATGTGGTGCTTCATATACCGTATTTTTCGCTCCATTAGACACACCCAGTTTTTAGAAGGGGAATGCAAGAAAAAATATATTTTTAAAGGGAGCGCTGTATGCATCCCAGGCTCTGCTCAGCGCTCCCTTTCATGAGTCGCGTGGAGCGTGTGTGCGGCGCTTGCAGGCTTTTCCCCAGGAGGGAAAAGGGCAGCCCATCACTGAAAAGCCCGCATGCTCCACGTGGCTAGTGAGAGGGAGTGCGGCTCTTTGGGGCTTTTCCAGGAGGTGGGGGAAGGGACTGAGGGGCTGCCCTCTGTCCCTTCCCCCACCTCCCACAAAAGCCATGCGCTCTTTAAAGGGTGTGTGGCTCCTGCGGGCTTTTCTCCTTGCGGAGGCTTCGCACGAAGCTAGAACAGCTAGAGGGAGCGCTGCGCAGCGCTCCCTCAAGCTGTTCTGGCTTTGGGATAGCCCCGTGAAGCCTCTGCAGGTCATGAGAATGAAGGCTCCCCGTGCCCTGCAGAGGCTTCACGTGACTAAGCCAGAAACTAGAACAGCTAGAGGGAGTGCTGCGCAGCTCTCCCTCTAGCTGTTCTGGCTTCTGGGATAGCTGTGCAGCCTGAATTCGCTCCATAAGATGCACACACATTTCCCCTTACTTTTTAGGAGGGAAAAAGTGTGTCTTATAGAGCGAAAAATACGGTACTTGTCAGGTTAAAAGTGAATTGCTGGTATTTATATATGTAACACCTGCACACCAGGGATTGATGGCCTGGAGCATGTTGCAGCAGTGTCAACATTACATGCACAGCTACCACCCACTTTTATTTATTTGTGACATCGACCACACAGAAACCCATAGAGCTGCAGCTTTGGTTTTGTTGCTGTTTAAACAAACGTGACCAGAATCATGTGCCAGAGGCCACAGGACCAGGAACAGAAACTATTCCAAGGTATTAGCACGTACTCTTGCATCGTTTGGCACTTGCTGGACAACAATGACTCTGAGCAAGTGTCCATTACTTTGGCCAGACAACGTCATTCAATCACACCTTTGCCATGTCTTGTACCTTGGTGCAAACATTCTAACACTTGGGTTTCCGAGTGAACTTTTGCAAGTATATTACCTGTAAGCAAGCCAGCCCACCCACCTGCACCAGCCTTTTAAATGGTTTTGTTCAAAAACAGAGGTTCTAGATACTACGACTCACATTGCGTGCCTTACCTCTGTAAGTATTGTAGTCTCATATGAAGGCTGATACTTTTCCTTCTCATGAGGTGTTCGCTTCTCCATTTTCTCTCTGTCTGTCTTTTGCTTTCTGTCGGCTCCTTTGGGCTGGAAACCAACATGTTAGTGAAACCAGAACATGGGATGTAGGGAAAGGAAGCACTAAGCCAAAGTTTTTTTCAGCTGATAAGGACAGCACTAGGTTTATGTGTGAGTGTGTAATACATACATGCACACATAGTAATACATTTATGTGTACAAATGAAATGTTTCTCAGTGATCCTGGCAAGGGAACTAGACTGGCAACAGACCCATAAAGAGAAAAGTGAGCTGGTGGATGGGAGATACTCATTTCCCCTACAAGAGCTTAAAAGTTCATTCTGGAAATTCATGCAAACATGAAAAACCTGTTCTGCTGCTCCTCTTGCACTTTGAATTCTCTTGCTGAAGCCCTGCAGATTTTTATCTAGCTAAAACACCTATAAATCTGCCCGAATACCTATAGGTAGCAGTAATCAGAAGTGCTCACTTTGGACAGGGATTATATACAAAAGCCTCGCTTTCCGGTATCCTCAAAGTTACTTGTGCTGTTCTGAGGGAGTCTGGGCCAAACTAGATGTTATGGCTGTAGTCTCATTGTGGCGTCTGTTCAGTTACGTATAAAAACATGTAAGAAAATGAGGGGCAGCCCACCTTCAGGAAATCGTATCTTCACCTAAGCTCCAATATTAGAAGTGAATCTACAGAGAGAAGCTTTGGTGAGGGGAATGGGGGAAGAGGCTACAAAAAATAGTTGACATGGTGTGGAGTTCAGCTCCCCTAATTTGCACATAAAGCTTTTGCTCTGAAACAACATGTCCCCCTTCCCCCACAAAAATTGTTTCTGTGTGACTGAATGAGACAGACTTGGATTTAAAGGAAAATGCATTTGCCACTTTCATGTCTAGTTTGGCTCTCAGAAATCATGTTCAGAAGATTGGAATTTCAAAATGGACTGAAGCCCTTTCCAGTGTTTCTCAAAGAAGGAAGCATGACAACTTTTCTTGTAGGAAATAATCACATACTGCACATGTTTTAGGCTAATTCCACACATTTATTATCTGTAAGTTGGAGCTCTTGTATCACATGCCAATGGGAACTTTTGAGGGAGAGGAGATAAAAGGTTGATGTTGGCAAGAGTTCTCCTGCCTCTACAGTGATTTTTGGCTCAGCTTTTCCTGGAGTAAATAAGTTTTCTACAGGATGACCTGGCCAATCAGCTAGGCCCTAAAACATCCACATAAGCAACTGCTCCAATCCAACACATTAATATTGGCTCCAATGCAGTTTCACATGCTTTAAGGAAAAGTAGTGTACTAAACAGTTTTTAAGTGCAGCTATTCCTAATACTGTGCACTGTGCATATGCAGGCATAAACTGCGGTTTTAGTTTCCCCAAACATTCCTCTACTACTAAGTCCTCATCAAGGCCTGTTTATTCCTGAATAGCTCCCTTCAGAAATATCCAGTGCTATTTTGCCTCGGGTAAGCACAATAATATAACTGGTGTATATCACCAATAGCTTAATGCTAGGTCTCACAATGGGCCCATTGAACAAAAAAGGAGGAGGATATGCCTGTTGCCTATGAAGACAAGACTATGTCCTCCCCAGAGTCCTACTTAGAGAGTACATTCTCTGTGGCAGCCCCTAAGCTGTGGGTTTCCCTCCCACAGAGGTGCATCTGGCAGCTTCATGATACAACTTTCAGTGAATGCTATAAAGGCACCTCTTAACTCTGATCTGTTTTCAGGACCCACCCTATTCTGGGGACTGTAATTTGTCTTGCAAATCAATATTTTTATTGATTTTTTTATTTAAAAAAAATTCAAGTAACAAAACATACCCATGAAGGAAATACAGCGCTTAGTAGTTGTTCAGAAAGGAAAATATCAGCTGATGGTTGTAGTATTAGACATTCCAGTAGAGGCAACCAAATGGAGATGTCACATCATAAAGTTACATGTGTCAATTATAATTTGACTTAACTGTGTTTAATACTGGATTTTAAATTGTTGTAACCTGCCTGGGAGCAGCTGGTGAAGGGCTGCAGGTGGTAAGGATACTAATACATTCCCCAGCATTAAAGTTCTTCTAAGAAAGTCAGGTTTTAATTCACAATTTGAGTAAACGGGGTAGGTGGAATGCACTGGATGGATTAAAAGACACACATACCTTGAAGACTTTGATCTGGCAGCTGGCAGAATGCAAGTGTTCAGTGTATTCCCCATTCTCATTCTCCTTAAAAGTGTCAATCTGGACTCGGAATGGCACACCCTTCTCGCCACCATGCTTCCTCATAGTGAACTCTGTACTGATGCAGTGCACCTGTGAAGAAAAACAGACACAGAAATGCTCCAGGCTGCAGGCTTGCTGCTTGTACAACAAAGGTGCACATGAACAGTTTAACCATTACTCCAGGAAAGTGATAGCGTAGGATACCAGCTAGTCTGGGGACTCCCATTTCCAATAGCAAACAAAGCTCTCAAGCACAGGAAGGAGTACATCCTGCTCTCTGGCTTTTAATCAAACTGGGGACAGGGGGCATCAGCAGCCAGGCCAGAAGAAGCAACAAAACGATATTGCGCTCTGCAATTCAGCACAATTGAAATCTATAATTTCTCTACAGAAGTATGCATGCAAGAAAGAGGTAACTTGTCAATGGAAAATGCTAGCAGAGGAGAATAGGGGTTATGGATCAGTCTGTGGGAGCCTAGAATACGGAGAAAACCAAAGTTACTGATTGCTTTTCAAATTATATTCCAAGTTTTATGTTCGCTCCCAAGTTATCTCTCAGCAAGATCTGTAAACTGCAATCACACCCAGCAGGCATTTCCTGGTCAGGGCTGATCTCCTACGCTGGGAGCACATGGCAGAGCCCCTCCCTCTCCCCCCTTGGGTGTATGCTCTCCTCTTCTGAGCACCAACTGCATCAAGTTGAACTAACTGCAGTGAGAAGCTATCTACTAACCACAGCTTACAGTGAAAAGGGAAGAGAATTTGATCAGAAGTGAAGAGCAGCAAGCCCAAGGAGGAAGGATATTCTCCCAGTATCGTAATATTTTTTGATCTTGTAATCAGTGTTTAAACCTGCACCAAGCCCCCAGAGCTGAAACGGCATGTTGTGGGGTCCAAGGAAAACAGCCTGGGTTTTCCTTTTCCTAGATGCCCTTAATACTTGAATAGGCTAATGCTTCCACTTAGTACAACTGAAAGTCTTATTCTGAAGGGAGAAAATATGGCTTAACATAAGAGGTAGCCAATACACTCCATATGCTGTTGAACTCCAACTGCCATCAGTCCCAGCCAGAATGGCCAATGGTCGAGGGAGCTGTAGTCCCAACAACATCCAGAGGACATTACACTGTGTACCCCTGGATTACCAGCAAACATTATTTTTCAAAATCAAAACCAGACAGTGCTGTCCAGAATGGACTGAATACACACCATTCATTCCTAATGGACTTTGCAGGTGACCTTCAGCACTCCACAGGTTTGGCACTATGTCTCTAAAAGTGACCTACCTCAACAAGCCACAAGGATTAGTGAAATCGTAATATTGACCTAATCCTCCAACAGGCAGATAAGAGATCAAATAAAAAAATCCCTAGAAATCAGTCTCGAATGAATGTGTGGCCTCATTCTGGTTGACTCATCGTCCTAGATGGAGGGGTCTGCTCCCTTTCGACTTTGCCAGCATTTGTCCTGCCCCCACCACAGTTGAAGTGAACAGAAACCAAATTAAAGCCAGTAATCAGAATCCTTCCCCGGCACCTCAGTGTTCAACACCCTCGCAGCAATGAAATGAATGGTAGCTTTCCCCGTCAGTTTTGGCAGTCAGAATTCCACTTTGTTCTTGTCAAGGGCAATTAGCATTACTCTTTAGTTCAAGAGCTCTCAAAGTTCATTATAGTGAGCCTCCCAAGTAGAGATTACAATTTGTTGAGCCATCTCAGTTGTAACTAAGACAGACAGCTTCTCATCAGCATTCACTGGAGCTGGAAGAATCCCCAGGTACCCATGAACTGACTTTTTTTCACTGTCTCTGCTGCACAGTGCTGAGACTTAAAACAATGTCAATTGAAATCTGAGCCTGGCAGCTATGAATTTGTAATGGTACTCAGTGGTTCACTGAGAGCAAGAAGATCCAAGTAAGAAAGGCAGAAGGAGACCCAAGTAGACTTCAGAGGAACACCCCACAGAAGAATAGGACTGCTCTTTTATTCCTCTAATATATGAATTTGGAAGAGTGACAGGGTGATTGTATCAGGTATATGGCAGTAGAGATCCATCAAAACTGATGGCGGCAAATCTCAAATCTATCTTGCTTGCTACAGTCCTAACCAGAGAGAACAGTTAAGAAACACCTCCCATGTAGTATTGATTTACCTGAATAAATACAGAAGTCCTCTTTGAAGGATCCCACAGAAACTCTACAGTATTCAATTGCGTGGGGTTTGCCCTGGGATCGATTATACCCACGGACATTGGAATATCTGCAGAAGACAAAAGCCCAACCCTTTAGAACGAGGCTAGGAGAGGCATGGCAAGTCCACCAAAATTTTAAGGGACTTATGTAGTAAATAATGCACCAAGAGCTTAGAAGACTGGGTAATTCAGGGTACAGTCTGAAGGCACACGATGCACCAACATCACTGAATCTAAGCAAGCTTTGGTCTGGTCAGTCCCTATGTGGGAGACCAACTGTTAATCCCATGTATTCTATCTTGAGTTCCAGGATGGAAGACAGGATGTTAATTAATTAAGGCAAAAATCCAGGTACCAGCGTGCCTGTTACAGTATAAAACTGAGGCACTATCTATGTAAGCTGCTTCTGGACTGCCCTGCTAACCTATTTCAGGAAAATTTAGGAATTCAGAACGACAGGCTTATGCACACTTTGCTGGTATCTTCTCTCTCACGCATCATAGATGCTGGTTTATATTAAGGATGTATGATCTGTATTATTTTATGAATATTATTGCTGCATGTTTGTCATGGCCTTTGGCTAGAACAATAAACTTATGAACTGATGAAGCATATTCCTGCATTGCAAAGGGTTGGATTAGAAGACCCTCTAGGAACCTACCAACTCTACAATTCTATGATTCTAAGCAGAAACCAATATTATATACCAAGAAAAGCAGAATTCTGAAACCTACAAATTATGCAAATTTTTGTTATTCACTTTGTTTAGTTGCGAGGAGATTCAGGCTATTAAAACCTCCTGTATTGAGCACTGGAAGTGCCACCTAATATCTGCCTGCTTTTGAGATCCACATACTTTCAAACCTATGTTTCCAGCTATAAAGAACAACAATTTCTTTCTGTCAAAAGAGAGAGCTAGCTCAGGCTCTGCATACCCAATTCCACACTTGCAGGGATTACAAAAAACCTCATAATCTGCATGAATTGACAAGAAAAAGAAGTTGCTTCGAATACTTATATAGAGGGAGCTTCTCTTGGGTGGCTCAGAAAAAAGTTACCTGAATAATAATAAAATCATACATCGTGTGCCCATATGGAAAAAAATATATAACATAGAAAAACATAGTAAAAAGACAGCAAACTTCAACACAATAGCAGTCATACTTGGAATTTACGGAGGCGGGTGGCGCTGTGGTCTCTAAACCACGGAGCCTAGGGCTTGCCGATCAAAAGGTCGGCAGTTTGAATCCCCGTGAGGGGGTGAGCTCCCGTTGCTCAGTCCCAGCTCCTGCCAACCTAGCAGTTCAAAAGCACGTCAAAGTGCAAGTAGATAAATAGGTACCACTCTGGCGGGAAGGTAAACGGCGTTTCTGTGTGCTGCTCTGGTTCACCTGAAGCTGCTTAGTCATGCTGACCACATGACCCGGAACAACTGTCTGTGGACAAATGTTGGCTCCCTCGGTCTGTAAAGCGAGATGAGCACCGCAACCCCAGAGTCGTTCGTGACTGGACTTAACTGTCAGGGGTCCTTTACTTTTACCTTTAAAGGGCCAAAAGTTTCACCTCAGAGTCAACTATAATTTAAGGCAGTAAGTGAATGTACAGTGGTACCTCTGGCTACATACTTAATTTGTCCCGGAGGTCCGTTCTTAACCTGAAGCACCACTTTAGCTAATGGGGCCTCCTGCTACTGCCGCGCTGCCAGAGCATGATTTCTGTTCTCATCCTGAAGCAAAGTTCTTAACCGGAGGTACTATTTCTGGGTTAGCGGAGTCTGTAACCTGAAGCGTATGTAACCTGAAGCGTATGTAACCCGAGCTACCACTGTACCAACAGTAAGAGGCTCACTCTCTCCTGGCAAAAACGTAAGTGTTAAGTCATTTGACATAGGTGTAGGAAGCCAGAAGGGACCAGAAAACTGCCTACCCAAATGTGGGGGCTTTTAACTACATAATCCTAGTCATGTATCGCAAGCAGAGTGCAGGTGTAGTGCAGGAAAGTGCTTACAGAGCAATAGGCGCAAGGTGGTATAAGCAAGTGAACTGAGCTATGTTCACATCGGAAGGCAACATTAAAAAAAAAAACTGGAGCCACCCAAGTCAAACTATGGCAAACGATTACGCTCTGAGCAGAGACTGAAACCACTCTCAAAATCAATAAAGAGCTCTATACCTCTAGTGGTGGCAGTTTCCAATGCCCTCCAAGGTCCATGCTACAAAAAGCTACAAAGCCAAATTAGTCCATGTTTGCAGAAGTCACTCACCAATATCCAGTATCCTATCACCTGGCCTGTTCCATCGCCAGCCTTCCAGCTGCTGGTGCTCTGTATACTGAAGTCGCCGATCATGGAACACCACTCTGAATATACTCTAGGTTAATAAGGAGATTTTCTCATTGAGTAAACAGCATATGCTGGAACTTGGAACATTTAGATGAGCTTAGGCAAATTGGTGCGGCCAGCTGGAAGATTTTAGCTTTCCTAAAGTGTAACCTTGCACCATCTCTCCACCATGAAACTGATGGATGGTGCGAATGGAGCACACACAGGTTGGCATTTACATGTGCAGGCAGTTTACATTCAAGGTTCATTTCACAGCTAGAGGGGCATGAACCCAACACTACTGGGGTCTGCTTGGATAGACCGTGGCTCTACCCAACTGCTGACACCAGAGATTGACTGAATTATGTTCATAGGTGTCACTAGTTACCTGACAAGCATGTTTAACCTTGTCACCAACCCAGAGCTTTCAGGAGAGGATAGATTATTATGGGCACTCACCTTTACAAGCTTTCCATTTAACTCAGGCAATTCCCCCATTTTCCTGTTGTCCAGCATTCTGATTTCATAGGACTGACCTGAAGAAGAAAAGATCTCTGAAGTTGCTACAAAAAAAAATGCCACTTTTCTTGAGGTCATAGTGTAACAAGTTTGACTGAAAAGAAAGCATCATGGTAACTTACACACACCCCTATCCAGGGTGAGGGGAGGCATTTCGGGTGAAAGGATGTGTGCTTGTCAAAGTCCACTTTCATGTAGCCCCAGACTCCATGTATCCCCCTCCATCCCTTCACCATAAACCTTTCTGCTGTGGTGCAACAAGCACAGGAAGGTTCTCATAGGGAAACCCTGTTGCCCTAGCTTCTGTTAGGAACACTATTTACTTTAATCTGGTCCTAATTTATTTTTTTAAAGAACTTAATCTCTGCTGAAAGAAACAAGGACTTGTTAGGGAGGTAGCATTTCATCTTCCACAACATTTCAGCTATTTTCATTCAGGGTCTTAATTTGTGCTAACACAGCCCCAAAATTCAAATGTTCTAAACTGACAAAACCTACATAGTTTATTCCCATGATATGAATCCTGGTGGTTTACTGAAGCGTGGCATACAAGTATTTTAATTAGATAAATAATTTGGACTTTGGTCTGCATCTTTTCTACCTTTGGTTTCAGACTTTCAATCACTAGGCAAAAACTAGAACACTAATTTCCAACCAAGAGTTCAGAAGAAAGCTATTCACGGCCCCCAAAGAGAGCACAGCAGATAGGTTAAAAGACAAGAAAGTCTAAAATAATTTGTGCTGCAGCCTTGAGTGTGCACTCTGGAAAGTGAGCTAAAAGAGGCATGCAGCAAGGAAGCAATATAAATGCCACAACTGGGAAAGCACCTACTCCCCACCTGATGTTCTGGCAACAGAAATGTGACTTACCTTGATTGAGATAGGTGAGAGTTTCATCATGGAGTTTCACAGCAGGGGAAGTGGCAGCACATAAGACATACTGAAAAGGTAGGATTTTGTTCTCATTGTCAGGAGGCAAGCTGGATTCTTCTTGCTTAAAGATGGGCAGGGCAAGGACATCACTACAAGAAAATGGTTTTTGTTAAGAATTGTTATGATTATCCATATTTGGCGACTGAACAAATCCATAGAGCATATCAGGACATTAAAACCAAAAATTATTTCCAAGATCTTAACTGAGAGAGACAAAATATGAGAAAGAGTGTGTGTGTACCTACTCTTCATGTATAATCCTCAGTCTAGCCAGCGATCCTTATAAGAGGTATTTGATCAGGCTGTGTGGCAGACATTACTAATGTATCATCTATAACCATTGGCCATGCTGATTGTGGCTGGTGGGTGTTCCCGAGTTCAACAGGGTACCAGTTTGGAGAATTTAGGTTTATATGAAGAATTGTTCTACTTCCATCCACAGCTCTTGCAGGAACAACAATTTGGATTTAAAGGAAGTGTAAACAATTATAATCACTGAACAATATCTCTCTATGTCTAAAGAGGCAAACTAGCTGTTGTCCTAACAGCAGGTCAGCCAGCCTTTTGCTTTTGACCCCAGAGAGTGAATGCCACCTGCCTCTAAAGTTTAGATAAGGACTTTCACAAATCGAAAGAGAACTATGCTCCTGTCCTCAAACAGCTACTGATCTGAAGCATTACTACATCATTGGTTATAGCTCAGACTGGGTAGTCCTTTTCTGGGGGGTGGGGGTGGGAGTCTGTACAGGATCACATGCCTCACAGAGATGCCACTCTAGGAGAGTCATCACAATATCCCTTACATAAGCTGTAAGCCTCTCCCTACCCAATGAAGGCTAACTTTACTAACAAGAGTTTGAAACAGCTTCAACTCACTGAAGTATAATAACAAAAACTGTAGATTGGGAGAAGATAACTAGGGAAAATCCACTCTCCCTCTCCAGGATTTGCCTTTTAAAAACAATGGGTCTGCTGAGATTCCACTTCAGATTCACAATTAGTTCGGCACCAAAATCCTCAGAAGTCTTATCAGCCAGAGGTCCACAGCTAATCCATTTAAATTCTGCAGTGATCATATCCAACATCAAACAACCATGGTCTTATTCTGGATATGTTCTCCTCAGTTACGTGCGTTTGGGGAACTACCCTTTGAAGCCCCTCAAAAAGCAACACAGAAATTTAGACTGCCTCGTGATGGCAAATGAAGAGAGCTGACTGAGGAGTCTGCATGGCTTATTCCCAGACTGCAACTGGCCTTTTCTGGTAGCTCTGTGATACGGATCCCCTTCAAATCAAGATTCAGCAATGATGAGTTTAATAAAAGAAAAAGGGAGCCAGCAGCAAGACTGAGTGGTCAGTTGTATTCCAAACTAAATGTTTAGAGCAAGGGTCTACCTTTGAATAAGTTTGGATAAAGTCTTGTAAAAATAAGGGCTTAAATCCTAGAGCCTGTGAAACCAGAATTCAGCATTTGTGAATTCCAATACAAACAGATCCAACCCACACTTCCTAGATCAGGGGTCGGCAAGGCTTACCGGGGATGGGCTGGATCACTCCCGCGGAGTTCCTCCGTGAGCTGGACTGGTGCAGCGCAATGCTGGAAATCGCGTCTGCGCATGTCCACAGTGCTGGAAATCGCTTCTGCACATGCCCAGATGCCGAAAATCATGCCTGCGCAGAAGAGATTTTCGGCGCTGCGGACATGCACAGACGTGATTTCCGGTGTCTGGGCATGCATAGAAGCTATTTCCGGAGCCATGGAAGAGAGTCCCTGTGCCAGTTTAGCACAGTGTGCGAGGGCTTGCCAAGCGGGCTGCTCAGTGGCAGCTCATGGGCCAGTTAAGTGACCCTCATGGGCCGCTTCCACCCCATGGGCCTTAGGTTGCCGACCTCTGTCCTAGACTAATGCGTGATTGAGGCCATAGCTATCACTTGGATTTTGCATGTCTGAATCTTTCAGTGCTATATATATATGTGTGTGTGTGTGTATTTCTAAATGCTTGTAGAAATGTGTATTTTGAAAGAAAAAGTTTTAAAATATGTACTCAAAAATATGTATTTTTTTGAAGCATTAATAGATTAATATCTTTACAAATTTTAAGTGGTCTACACTATGCACAATATAAAAACTTTATCCATTTCAACAAAAATACACCCCCAATAACAGTAAAACAATACAAAACATAAAAAGGTAAATCAGAAATCCAGGTGATTCATGCACAAAAATCAGGATCTAATCTTATGGGCCAAGGAAAGCATGGACAAAAATATAAGCCTTTAAAAGGTTTCTGAGGCAACTGAGGGTTGCTGTTTCATTTACAGCAGAGGAAAAGGCATTCGACAGAACAGGTGCAACAGCAGAAAAGCATTTTGGGGGTCATTGTCCTACGATACTCTGTAGGGTGCAGTGCCACAAGTAGAATTTCCCCAGATGATCCACATGATCTTACATGTCTATACAGGGGCATATACTGTACAGTCTTTCAGGTAACCTGGTTCCAAAATGTTCAGGGCTAACAACAAAACCTTGACCATGGTCTGGTAGCTGTTTGGCAGCCAGTGCAGTTCCCCCAGCAGAGGTGTAATATGTGCACGTCCAGGTGCAGATTTATAGAGGTGAAAGTGACCTGGACTGGAAACAGAATGATTTGTCTATTCCTACTACGAAGTTTAGGCTTAGAACTAGATATAGATAGAAATATTAACTCCACAAGGGAGTCTCTGGGTACATACATGATAAAACCAGTTTAAGGGTACAGTGGAACCTCAGGTTGCGGATGTAATCTGTGACGGAGGCACGTCCGCAACCCGCAGTGTTCGCATCCTGAAGCCTCTGCGCAGGAGCTGGCGCGATTTGGAGCTTCTGCGCAAAGCGCAATTTAGCGCTTCTGCGCAGAAACCCAGAAGTAACCCGTTCTGGTACTTCCGGGTTTCCCGTGGTCCGTAACCTGAAGTGTCCGGAACATGAGGTATGACTGTATAGTCTTTTTTTTATTTGCTTCTCTGGGGAATGCATTTCTGGAGTGAGGGGCTAGATATTTGCAACAGCTTCACTAAGTTACCATTTCCTGGAGAGGAGCCATAACCTTGCCCACTGGATGATCTCTGGCAAGAAGCTCCTTCTACTGTATGTAAAATGGAAATAACAATTCACGGGACTGAATGCAGATACAACAATACCTGAAAGAAGAGGTCCCTAAAATACTGGTATGGCCTTCAGATTCCTGTTACAATATTGAGAATCCTGTCTTTTACTGGGGGGAAAGTTTCTTGCCCTTGTTTATGTTTTTGCAGAAATGGCTCACTAAAGTTCTTAACCCAAGGTATTATTTCTGGGTTAGCGGAGTCTGTAACCTGAAGCGTATTTAACCCGAGGTACCACTGTATAAGCTGTAACCCTCAGCTTTCTTTACATCTGACATAGAACCCTTTTATGCTTAAGCACTCATTCTGCTGACAATTTAAAAACAAAAAATCCATAAAAACAAAAAACATCTCAGCCATGGTTTGTCTAGTAAATCACAACCATTAACAAGCACACCATCTTTCCTGTGTATAGTGAAACATGCTTGTCACAATTGCACAATTGCACAACTGTACACAAAGTGTACATCCAAGCTAATATCACCAGCTATTGTTTACCAGTGACACATAAAAACTGATGCCCAAACGAACTTTTATGTAAAAGCAAGGCAAAGTTCAGCCTCTTGCCCTATAAAACCCATAGCAGCTTCTGTTATTTACAGATTGGTGTTACAGTGCTTATGCTGCTAAGGAAGTAGGGATTTAAATCCTTCCTTCCATCAGGAAGATTAGTTAAGATTACTAGGAATTCATTAACACAGCAGATTTCTACACCATGGTAACTATGTTTTTTTACACCAATGTTCAGAGCATACTTTGGAACACTCCTGCCACACGATCTATAGTGGTACAAAAAATATCTTGCCACATTTCCCAGAATTTGTCATGTTGAACAGCTGGCCCAGAATACTAGCAAAACATCAGTTTATTCAACCAAAGGAAATTGGAAAACTGTTCCATTCAGAGGGACTAGCAACAATCCCCCCCCAAGCTCTAAAATGGGAAGCTTAAGAAAGCACTGCCCCCCTCCATTCCATTTTGTATATGTATAGACAGATGGAAAAATTGTACTCGGGAGAAGTTGCATGGGCAAATATGCCCCCATGAATTGCATGTACAGCAAACTGGTAAAAGATTAAGTGCAGATTGGGTTTAGCTTAGTGCAAAGACTTCTAGGGAAACAGTGATGAAGTAATATTCCCATTTCTCTCACAAGCCTGCGACCAGCATCCAAACCCAAGTTGCTTGGGTTCTTCGGACTCTTCACACCACTGAGAGGTTTGGAGAGGGCAGGATGGTGAGAAAAAAGTCAAATGGGTTAGAATTCAGGGCCTGCCTCTCCCAATAGCCATGTGAGACTAAAGTACACACAGCTGTGGGATACACCCCTCATTGGGTGACCTTCACATTCACTATTTTATTGACCCAGACAACATATGTTTGATGAGGTGAATGATGAAAAATGAGAAAGGTTGCTTTAAGTTTATCATTAGAAAGACCTAATATCATTAGAAAGACCTAATATTTCGATTGCTTCTTGTAGGAATTACGGTTTTTTTGTATTAAGACCCAGTGCAGGCCACTGTTTCCAGTATCTTGGTACTGGTTTAAAAGATTTTGAGCCAGTGTGGTGTAGTGGTTAAGAGCGGTAGACTCCTAATCTGGGGAACCGGGTTCGATTCCCTGCTCCTCCACATGCAGCTGCTGGGTGACCTTGGGCTAGTCACACTTCTTTGAAGTCCCTCAGCCCCACTCACCTCACAGAGTGTTTGTTGTGGGGGAGGAAGGGAAAGGAGAATGTTAGCCGCTTTGAGACTCCTTAAAGGGAGTGAAAGGCGGGGTATCAAATCCAAACTCCCCTTCCTCCTCCACACCATGCCCAAGATGCACTGTCTCTAAATCTCTCACATACCCCCCTTACCATCCTACAGGGAAGAACTAGACTAGCAGACACACACCCCGCCCCCATTTCTAATGACAGGGTCCCAGAAACCTTTTTTCAAGGATCTCTGGCATCCCACAGCTGATGACTCATGCAGGTCTTGGTGGACTTAACCCTGCTTGCCATCTGCACCCCACCCCAAACTCCTGTAAAGCAGTGAGAATGAGATCCATCAGCTCTTACAAACGTAGGAGGAATGCTGTTTTGAAATGGAATATTGACTCTTAAAAGAATGAAGTGATAAATCCAACACACACATAATCTGAGAGTCTTCAAGTCATGAAGCAAGATGCTTATTATTGGATGTAGCTGAATTTATATTGGACAGCATGAACCAAAACATAGCAGAACTGTAATTTTTACCTTACAGATCTTTGTGAATAATGGAGTTAGCAGAGGAACAGAGAAATACATCTATATGTATGGTGAGAGCCAGTGTGGTGTAGTGGTTAAGAGCGGCGGACTCGTAATCTGGGGAACCGGGTTCGATTCCCCGCTCTTCCACATGCAGCTGCTGGGTGACCTTGGGCCAGTCACACTTCTTTGAAGTCTCTCAGCCCCACTCACCTCACAGAGTGTTTGTTGTGGGGGAGGAAGGGAAAGGAGATTGTTAGCCGCTTTGAGACTCCTTAAAGGGAGTGAAAGGCGGGATATCAAATCCAAACTCTTCTTCTTCTTCTTCTTCTATATGCCACATAACAGCTACCTTTGACACACATTTTGGATTCACTGCCAAACACAAGTTGGAGGCGATGCACACCAACACCCTAAATCAGCATCATGAAAAGGCTTCTCTCAAACAAGCAGTGGGGTAGAGACTACTTCAGAAAGTGATTTGCAGCTTTAAGACACATGTAAGTTTTAAGGGGAAGGTGTGGGAAGACTTTCAACATCACGTGAGAGATTTTGTAAGGTGGGCAGCCCTGCTCACCTACCAATCATATGCCATCAAAATGATGTAGCTGCCTGCCCGCCCACCTGTGAAATTGGGCCTGCAAGGGCAACCCCAATAGGGATCTGGCCCCTGGAGCCAAAAAGCTTCCCAATCCCTACTCTATCAGGTCCCAAATCATCAAAACCAAAGTCTATTACCCCAATTAGCTGTTCATCAGGCAACCATATTTTTCCATGTAAGTGACCCCCCATATATAAAGCGACCTCTACTTTTTTAACCCCAAATTAAGTTGTTCAGCTTTTGGGGGTTGGGGTGGGGGAGTCACTTCTGCCAATTGCTCACCCACCTGCCCACCACTGCTGATCACACACCTCGCCGCAGGCGCCAATTGTCTGCCTGCTCGCCGCCGCCAACAGCCCACCCACCCACCTACTTGCCACAGCCACCAATCACCTGCCTGCCTTGTCACAGCTGCCAATCGCCTGCCCAATTGCTGCAGCCACAGCCAATCGCCAGCAGGCCTTGCCGCAGCCACCAATCACCCACCCAATCGCCGCTGCCAATCTCCTGTTTGCTGCAGCCATTAATTGCACATCCCCGCTCTGCATTCACTATTCATGTGTAAGACGACACCCAATTTTTGCCTAATTATTTTTTTAGCAAAAAACATCGTCTTATACATGGAAAAATACGGTACATTCTTAGGCTGATTTATTTATGCAAGCTTATAATGGAATAGAGGGATGCGGGTGGTGCTGTGGGTTAAACCACAGAGCCTAGGGCTTGCCGATCAGCAGGTTGGCGGTTCGAATCCCCACGACGGGATGAGCTCCCGTTGCTCGGTCCCTGCTCCTGCCAACCTAGCAGTTCGAAAGCACGTCAAAGTGCAAGTAGATAAATAGGTACCGCTCTGGCGGGAAGGTAAACGGTGTTTCCGTGTGCTGCTCTGGTTCACCAGAAGCGGCTTAGTCATGCTGGCCACATGACCCGGAAGCTGTACGCCGGCTCCCTCGGCCTGTAAAGCGAGATGAGTGCCGCAACCCCAGAGTCGTCCACAACTGGACCTAATGGTCAGGGGTACCTTTACCTATAATGGTATATTAAGTCATGGTCCCTTTCTTTTAAAAAATTCCTCTTTCCTAGTTCCTCATGTTTATTTATCATGTTCTGATTATGTACCTGCAAATGTGATGGTTTTAAAGACATTCAAATTCAAATGCCCTATGCTGCAACTTTGGTATTTCTGCTACCCACTGAAATCCTGTATACCTACTGCCACAAACAGGCTAAGAAACCAACATTCCTATGAATAAGCTCAGTTGCCAAAACACAGACTAAATAAAATGGTCTTGCAGGCAGGAGGCTTGAGAAAAATACTGGACTCTGGGGAGCTTGACACACAAACACCTGCCAGTGTGGTGTAGTGGTTAAGAGCAGTGGACTCGTAATCTGGGGAACCAGGTTCGCGTCTCCGCTCCTCCACATGCAGCTGCTGGGTGACCTTGGGCCAGTCACACTTCTCTGAAGTCTCTCAGCCCCACTCACCTCACAGAGTGTTTGTTGTGAGGGAGGAAGGGAAAGGAGAATGTTAGCCACTTTGATACTCCTTTGGGTAGTGATAAAGCGGGATATCAAATCCAAACTCTTCTTCTTCTTCCTGCTTCCACCAGAAGTAATGGATATGTATCACCTTACTGTAGGACAAACAGCATGTGCCATAACCAGAGAACTGAATTGCTTTCCCTTCCATGCCATTCAAGGCCAACAGAGAACATGTGGAGGTAGTCATCAAGGTGTTGTGTTGGTGTTTCTCCAGCACTCTCCATGGTTCACCAAAAAAGTGGGTCAATATGGGCAGCAGGGAGACTACAGGTGAGGACAAGAAGCTGGTACAGAATTGTTTTCAAGCTAGGAGAGGGATGGGCTCCATTCATAAACAACTTGCCTCTATCTCTACCTACAGCACATCCAAAATATGACATGAATGTTAGCTTTAAAAATATGCTTGCACAAATGCAGACGTCAGAACAACCAAGGTACATCTAGTACAATTAGTCCATGGGCTGGTAGGGAAAGTATTCGGGAACATAAAAAAGGCAGATTTAGGTAGGTAGCAGTGTTGGTTTGACACAGTCGAAATAAATAAAAAATTAAAAAATTGTCCAGTAGCACCCTAGAGACCAACTAAGTTTATTCTGGGTATAAGCTTGCGTGCACATGAAAGCTTATACCCAGAACAAACTTAGTTGGTCTCTAGGGTGCTACTGGACAATTTTTTAATAAATAAGGCAGTCATTGAAAAAAATGTTGCCTTGAGTCAACTCACAAGCAGTTCAAGACCCTTGCTTCTAGTCCATCAGTAGGTCCCACTCATCTAAGCATACCGCCCAAGGGATACGAAAATGTCCCTATCATTTCAGCTCCAAGCCACTTCTGAGATTTTCCATAGGAATCTGAGCAGCATGGGCCAAAATATAGCCTTGAGACATCCCTGTCTAGTGCTGAGGACATGACAGGAGAAATTTGGGGTGGTGGTTCAATAACCCCCTCAAGCCTGGGCTAGCACCAACTACCAGAATGTATTAACCCCAGGGGAAGTTATTTTAATTTATGCCCAATGATTTTGGCAGTTTATGGTGGGATATTATGTTCTGAGTTGGTGAGTAAACAACAAACATTGGTATATCAGGCTGCCAGTTTTGCTTGCCACACCAAATTTTGCCCACAATTTGCAAGCAGAATATACTGTTTAAGGTTTCTACAAGCCAATGAAATACAGAGGAACAAAAAATTATTTTTGATCCACGGTGTTTTTCTACCTCAGCAGTTATCAAAAGGGAGAGCTCCCATGTGTGATCAGTTGCCCAAATGTCAGAAACAGAACATCTCTGCATCAAAGCACAGAACAGACCACTCAACAAAAGTATGCAATTCAGCGAAACAACCTGCAAGACACTGGAGAAGGAACACTGGTTTTACATTAGATTAAAACTCTCCATTTAAGACAGCAGTACCCCCCTTTTCCTTATAGCTCATTTTTTCTGTGCCTCAATAACAGTATTTTGAGGAAGTCAACTCCAATACACGAACAATGAATACAGAACCAACAGCAATCTTGCCTGGGGGTTACATAACTATTCAAATTCAGCATCTGGTTAAAATGCTCTGTTCCAGAAGATTAGCGTGTCTATTCGCCGCAGATCGTAATTGGAAGTGGGCAATGCTATGATATCAGAGGTTTGCAAATTCAGCTGGTGAATACTTAATTACAACTGTGTTTCCTAAATGAAGTCACAAAACAGCCAGTTCCAACACAGCAGACCACAATGCTTAATTTGAAGGCAAATGTGGGATTACTTCAGTTATCCATATAGAAACAATATACACAGCTACCTTCAAATTCTATCAGCTTTGGAGAGTACAGAAACAGTTGCTATTTCACCTTTACAGTGGTACCTCGGGTTAAGTACTTAATTCGTTCCGGAGGTCCGTTCTTAACCTGAAGCACCACTTTAGCTAATGGGGCCTCCTGCTGCCGCCGCGCCGCTGGAGCACAATTTCTGTTCTCATCCTGAAGCAAAGTTCTTAACCCAAGGTACTATTTCTGGGTTAGTGGAGTCTGTAACCTGAAGTGTATGTAACCTGAAGCGTATGTAACCCGAGGTACCACTGTATTAGGGTGTGGCAGGAGTCACAAAGCAACTGGAAATCTCAACTTGTGTCACTGCGTGGTGCTCCTGAGTCACAAAAAAATGACTGGCGACCTGTTATTTTCGACCCAGATCCGTTACACCAGAAGCGGTTTAGTCATGCTGGCCACATGACCCAGAAAAGCTCTCTGTGGTCAAACATTGGCTCCCTCGGCCTGAAAGCGGAGATGAGTGCAGACCTGATTCCTGTTAGAAGCACCATCAAGGCAGTCGTGAACCCAATCGACATGACTCAGAAGCCTGATCTAGCACTGTGACTGTTCAGCAGTCTCTTATGGTACACACACACACACACACACACACACACACACACAAACAAACAACCTCAGTCACTAGATTGGTTGTCTATAGTAAATATGGCTCCAGGGAAGCATGTGAGAATGTTCCTTTACGTTGAAAAAGAACTAGCTGGGTGTTTTTCTCTCCTCTTAGGTGTGCTACTAGCTTTCATATGTTCATGTGTAAACCTAACTTCAAGTTACGAAAATGACCTTGGTACTAGATTAAGAATACCAGTAAATCCACACAGAGATGACAACTCAACAAAGAGACTCTTAACAACCAAGTTAGAAGGAATAGGCTTTTTAAAAACAGAACTGTGATAAGAGCACCTAAGCTAGGAAATAAAGCAGTTTTAAGTTATCAGTACTACTGTGGTTCAGTTCTATACAATTCCCATAAGGTCAGCTTCCCATGTCACCCATGTGTAATAAAAAAGTTAACCATTTGTAGGGAAGATGATAAAGGAAACCAAGTTAAGCAGCTCAAAACAACCACCACCCCCACAATCCACCACCCAGAATTAGCACCCTCAGTGGAAATTACTTATTAAAGAAGGCCCTTTGACCCTAACACAGTTAACTCTAGCCTCATTTAGGCCAGAGCATTGAACTACCCATTTCTTCACACTGGAATTCTGCCTGTCACCATATCCGGTTTGTGACCAGAAGAAGTTAGAAGACCTTCAGTACTCCCATACTTTTCTGAATCTTTTACAGAGATTCTGCACAGAGGGTTTTGCTCAGGTTCAGATATCAAATGCAGGAATCAAGATTCTCAGCTTTGATTTTTTAAAGAAAGCACCATGTTTGAACCTCTCATAATTCCTCGTTTTTCAAACACCAGCACAAGGCAGTTACAAGAGGCTTGTTTTTCAGAGGAAGGAGCTTCTACACTTTTTATAATAGCCTGCCTGTTCTTCACAGTATCCAGTCACCTCTCTGTTCTGCTTGCTATCACCACAAACTTCTCTGATCTTCCACCATACAACTGCCTGTCCCCAATACACAAAATTTAAAGCCAGCATAAGAAGGGAACAAGAGGCGAAACAGGACCACCCACACATCTGTCCCCTAGTAAAAGAGAAGGGAAACATTTTCTACCTGAGGGTCACAAATTCTTTGTGAGTTGTGGGAGGGGGGAGAGGATGAATGCCAATGGTGGGAGATAGGTAGTGTTCTGAATGTGACTCACCTTTATACAATAGGCTACATTTCAGCAAATGAAAAGTCAGACATTTCACCCCTCTACCTAGGCAAGCAAAATGCATTATCGCAGTTCAATGAGGCATTCCAGTTCGGAAAAATCACTTGAAAGAAGGTGCAGAGCAGGACTAGTGAGTAATGCGGCCTGGGGAAAAGTCCCACAGATTGAACTAAAAGGTCTGAAGAAACACATTCTAGCCCCGAGCCTGGAGTCTGGCAACCCCTGCCCTAGAGATAAATATATATAGGACAGACTCACAACATGCCATATCCACACGGCAATGAGCCCCAGAGCAAAACGCTCAATTACACAGAACAATCAATTCAAACTACATCAGGAGCACATGGAGCAATGTTAGACATAGAGCTCTAGCTCTGTGGAATCAATTAACAGCTGAAACCAGATAGGTGCCTGGCGCAATCCTGTTTAGGTGCCTACCTGAAGACATTTTTGATTAGGAAGGCTTTCACTGAGTGTAACCCAGTCATCTATAGAATATCAGTTTTGTATCTGATGTTGTTTGTATGTATCATTTTGTCGTTTATAAAGCTTGTGTTTTAGTCTGTTTTTTAATGTGTACACAGGCCGCCTCAATGCCTCCATGCTGTGAAATGGTTTAGGTATTTGTTTAATCAATAAAGCTCCAACCTGATGCTCTTAATTTGAAGTCCTGTCCATGCTGCAAGACATTTGCCATAGAATGACCTCTGGTGTACTCGTCATATCCCCTTCCACACCCCTGATTTCTCAATTTCTCTTGTTATGATTGCTTGCATGGGAGCCACTGTAGCAGAGCTGAAGAGGGGACCGGGGAGGAAGAGAAGGGAATGGCTGTTACATCTGGGAAACCCACAAAAAGGGCATGAAGCAACTGGATGGCGTCTGAGGAAAATGGTATGCAGGATTACACGGACTTTATACCCCCACTTAGGCAGATATATTTTATTCTAATAATGATTTGGTCTTCCAGTGCTCATTGAGCTGAAGCCAAAACAGCACAACTGATGCACAAGAGAAAGGCAAGGAGATGCAGGATAACCCTGAGGTTTGCAGACACCCCTCAAAATGGGGTGGAAAAATCCAAAATGGTGCAACAACTCAGTGTTGAGTGAGAGGGGGAGGGAAATGACAAGTGGGGGTGGGGGTGGAATTAAGTGGGTAGAACACTCAACAGAAGCATTTCAAACTGCAACATTTCATTGCAGTACCCAAAGTCTAAGGAAAGGAAGAAAATTAAAACTTCCAAGAGTAGAGAGCAGCAGTAGTTAAGCACAAGAACACTAGCCAGCCAGATTAACAAATGCCTGCAGAAAAAGATGAGTAAAGAGACAACGAAAATCATTGAAGAGGGTGCCAGACAAATCTCCCAGGCAGTGTTTCATAACCAGGGTGTGTTGAAAGATAAATGTATCTAGAAGGGCTTTTATGTTCTTACACAAGGAGATTGAACATATAAATACTAGCATCTTCATGGTGGTTATCTACCCTTTATCTGCATTTTACTGCATGTTCTGGGATTACATTGTGCCCCATTTAATGCCAATCTCCTTGTGTAAGAACATAAAAGCCCTTCTAGTATTTATATGTTCAATGTCACCTATTGCCCCTTTTAAGACTCAAAACCACCTAGATTAACAGATTGTACATTAGAGAAATGTATTGCTTTCTTCCAGCAAAACAAAGCCTTGCAAACACAGGTTTACCTGCCCCAAATGCAAACCTGTCAGGCATTTGTGCCCTTAAGAAAACCCAACACATGACTCATCCTACAGGCAACAACAAAATTCACTTTGTGTCAAGCTCCTCAGCCTTCATCACAGCACGCAGAATGAATCGCTGTTAAAAAGCAGCTTGCACAAGTGTTGTGCAAAACTGGGAACAACCCTCAGAATATAGAACATTTTACTTAAGAAGCACAGCAGATTGCACAAGCAACTGATAAATAGCATACATCATTTGCAAAAGGAATACAGGCAGCATTTGAGAAATAGTTCTGTTTTTCACTGTTCTGAGAGTGCAGAAAACCAAAGTGTTGTATATCTAAATGTTTCTACAGGGGAATGTCATTCAACCCATCTAATATTCACACACACCCATTTTGTCTACTTTCATTGACTGCATAGTTGGGCTCTCATAGGTACAAGGAGAAAGTCATTTTGCAAGTTTTTTTTGGAAGGGGGGGGGAAGCAAACAGAAGTGCTTCCCTGCCAGAAAAAGAAAAGCAGTAATGATATAGTGCAGACTTTTGAAGGCAGCTGGAGTAGCTTCAGCCACCTCCACATATGTACAGTATTCCTACATCCACACAAATTCTAATTTTACTACCTCAAGCATCACTTTTAAAAACAACTCAAGAGTCACAAGCAGATTTCCAGAATTCATTAAGTGCTAAGTTACTGAAAGCTAGTCCCTGGGCTTTCACCTCTTTTATTACTCAGTTAATAAAAGCAAACTCCAAAATGCCTGATTTTAAGGAATAATTACCAAGTGGCAGATGGCATGCACCACAACCTGCCAATGTACCTATAGAAACGGTAACTGTGCTGTAAGTGAAATTCCAGGTTCTTGAAGGCTCAGTCCCTCCTGAGTGTGTCAGCAGGTAAAGCAACACAATTAATTGCGTTGTACTGCTGGATTATATGATTGCATCAACATCACCAAGAGGAAATGTCACATTGGGAAATTAGTGCTCACAGTGTTGTTATTTTTAATTTCCTTTCTACAATGTTTCTTTCTCCTTTGGGCAAATCTAAATAAAAGTGCCTATGTCACTGAAGATCAGCACTGGAAAGAACCTAAAAGCTGTCTAGTGTAACCCCATGTTATGGGATAGAATTGTCTACCCATCAGCCAACTGATCTATGCAATTTCAATGGTATGCAACAAATTAACCCTCGCCAAACAGTCGGCTGAAAAGTTGATTGCTCCCCGTCCCCAACAAAGATGGAAGAGAATCTGAACATTTAGCTTTCTGCTGAAACTAAACCAGAGCAGTATCTTTCAGAAAGATTTGGCTTGACCAGTTCACATTAAGGATTCATCACAACACCACCCTTACAATGTGACAGCACACTGTAATCAATGTGTCGAAAGACCCCGAGTCAAATAATGCCAAACCAAGGTTTACTTTCATGGAAGCAATCCCTGATAAGCCTCAGGCTCACACACTGCCTCATCTACCCCTACACTCTCCAGTCTCGGACTTCAAAATATGGCTTAGCAGCAACTTTCTGGAAGCTAGCATTTGACTATGTTCTGGGCTTGTAGCAAGCACGGACCTTAGCCTGGCTGTTCATTCAAAGAGGCAAATTGTGGTTTGACACTAAATCATGATTGGAAGTCTGGAACCACTGCTCAATGGGGAAGAGACAGTGTCTGAGTTAAGGACTCCTCAGGGCTCCTTCTTGGAACCCAGGACCAAAATGGGAGGAATTCAACACCACACTGAGGCAGATGTGCAATCAATTGCACTGAAACATTCTCCCTTCTCACCCCATGTGCTGCTCTAGAGCAGCCTTTCTCAACCTTGGGTTCCCAGATGTTGATGGACTACAACTCCCATCATTCATAGCCAGTAGGGGCAGCAATTAGGAATGATGGGAGTGGTAGTCCAACAGCATCTGGGAACCCAAGGTTGAGAAAGACTGCTCTAGGGGTTCTCTTCTCCCCCTCTGAGCCAACTTCAGGGAGCAAGCGGAGGGGGGGAAGCCCCGTTGCACTAGCAGAAGTTGTTGTGCAGGCTTCCGCTAGTGGGACTAATTAGCTGAATCTGGCCCATTATCTTTGAACAGGCTTAGTATCAGAAGGCGTTTTTAAAGACATTTTCAGTAAAGCAGTTTCCGTATTCTGCCTCCTTCAGTAAGCAGCAGTCAGGAAAGAGCTGTAAAAGTATACCTACCCAACCTATGAGGCAGCTTTATTTCTGAAGTTAAGCCAGCATACATGTAACCATTCTAAAATTGCTGACATCAATCAATCAATCAATCAGATGCAGATTGTGAAGATCACCCCGTTTCTATGTAGCTAACTATCAGAGCATACTCCACTGAGGGGAGGTAGTTCTGCATCTAGAGTGACTGAACAAGAGGAATCGCATAAGGCAGACACAGGACATGAATTACCGTATTTTTTGCTCACTTTATAGACTCACTTTTTCCCTCCTAAAAAGTAAGGGGAAATGTATGGAGCGAATGCAGGCTGCGCAGCTATCCCAGAACAGCAAGAGGGATCGCTGCTTTTGCTGCGCAGCGATCCCTCTTGTTGTTCTGGCTTCTGAGATTCAGAATATTTTTTTTCTTGTTTTCCTCCTCCAAAAACTAGGTGCGTCTTATGGAGCGAAAAATACGGTACTTAGCTTCCAGGGAATCTAAAAAGCAGCCTTCACCATGTGTGGGCTTTGGGGACTCAATTCTCTTGGTACACTAATGGACCCCAGTAAAAAAAGGTAAAAAAAGCACTTCAGGAAAGTCCCAAATGTGCTCAGTTAGAATGAGGGCAGCTGCCCTTACATCTAATAGCTACACTTGACTACTTCTTCCCACCCACACAGAGGTAGTTATTGAAAACAAGCTTAAAGCTTCAATAATCCTTGGTCTGTACACCACATAAAAGTGGCATTGGATTCATTCTCACTGAACAGCCGATCCAGGGCACTAGTGTACAGAACTCAAAAAATGCAAAAAAAGCAACCCAAGGGATGGAGGGACTCTCCCAGGGAAGGAAGGTTGTAATGTTTGGAGCTAATTTTTAGTTCAGAAAAAAAGCAAGTGGGAGGGTATCAAGAACATTATAGGAGTGTTTAAAATTATGCATGGCATAAGGAAAGTGGATAGGCAGGACTTCTCTCATAATAATAGAAGTTGGGGACACTTGGTTTCAAGACAGATGCGAGGACAGATTTGTTCATGTGGAAACTAGCTAAACTGTGGCATTTGCTATCATAAAATACAGTGGTGGCCACTACACTGGATAGCTTTAAAAGGAGATCACGAAGGATAAGTCTATCAATGTCTACTAGTCATATCTCCCGGTATGCCTCACGGAGGACCTCAAGGTCCATAAATAGCAACACCCTAGAGGTCCCGGGCCCTAAGGAAGTCAATTAGCCTCAACCAGAGCCAGGGCCTTTTCAGCACTGGCTCCAGCCTGGTGGAACGCTCTGTCTCATGAGACCAGGGCCCTGCAGGATCTGATTTCTTTCCACATGGCCTGTAAGACAGAGTTGTTCCGCCTGGCCTTTGGCTTGGAATCAATCTGATTCCCTCCCTCTCTTTCTTTTTTCCTTTCTCCTTCTGTGTTGGAACTCCTATTTGGGGACTTCCCTGGCTTTTTTCTGGCCCATGTAGGACCAGTCTGGATAGTTAGCCTTGGTGAAGACTTGATGTTTTTGTCCCCCAAAAAGTTTTTGATTGAGTTCCACTGAAATGAGGCTGCATTTTAATGTTTTAATGTTTTGTTTTAATTTTGTTTTTTAAGCTGTATTCTAATCAATTGTTTTTATATTTGGTGTTAGCCGCCCTGAGCCCGGTCTTGGCTGGGGAGGGCGGGGTATAAATAAAATTTATTATTATTATTATAGTCATTATGGTTATTTAGCTCCAGTATTAAGAGGTTTGCCTCCAGTACCAGCAGCTGCCGATCTCAAACAGATTACCATTTCCCTCAGGTGCTGCTCATGGGTTTCCCAGAGGCATCTGGCTGGCCGCTGTGATGACACCATGTTCAACTAGATAGGCCTTTCATCTGATCCAGCAGTGTTCCTATGATGTCTATGTCTGCTTCCTCCATCCATTATCAAATAGCAGCAGGTGACCAACACAAAAACATGTGATCTGCCCTATCCTTCCTTTTATGAAGGAGCCTATCCAAGATGGCAGCCTGAATGGCTGCATCTTACTTGCAAGAAAGAAAAATTGTGGAAGTTACATTCAGAAAGTCAGCCATCAATACAGTATGGTTAGATGCATTCTGAAATCCAACTAGGTGTCCAACAAGTTATGCAGTGAAAGCAAGAAAGTTACATTTTGATGACATGAATGTGAACAGTTACTTCGGGAAGTAATAGTAGGCTCTACTTCACGGTTTCCTAAAAAGCATTTGTTTTAAACAATCCTATTGCTATGAAGAAAAATCCTGGGCAAAGCTGTACTAGATAATCACTCTAAATAAGGTGCACATTTGATGTTCATTACCAAGTTTTAATTCTTACAGTACTGATTAATGCAAGAGCAACATGTTAGGAATCAAACTATTCAGGATAAAAGTATGATCAACTCAAGATCAAGCTTAACCTTGCTACGAGATTGACACATGTGCAGCTTATTATGACAGTCTTACAATCTATGGATTTATCTATTTTACAACTTGGTAAAACTGCTTGTTTTGTGAACCCCACTTTCATTCAGCAAGCTACAGCAAGTTATGGGGATGTGTAGCTTGCATAACAGATTAATGTCCCCCCACAATTTTAGAGGAAGACATGACAACATACAGTATTTTCATAATACACCCTCCTTACAAAAGGACATCACATGGTGCAAGCAGGAAGCAGCGGCTCATAGGATACTGGACCAAAAGTAACATGAGATGCCATTTGGTTCAATTACACTCCGGGCACCAGACGAAAAGTGACACATGCCAGTTCAGCCTTCCCAAATAAATATTTCAGAACTCAGCCCTTCGAGGAGCTCCATCAATCAGATGGATATCCTTCAAAAAAGCCACTGGACAGAGCAATAGCCCTTCCTTACCTCATGCTGTAGGCACCAGCGCCCAGCTCCTGGCCAATTCCTGAGAGGCTGGCATCGAAGTCCTGAACCAGGCCGGACTCGATAACTTCGTCCGCGAGGGGCAGCTTCAGAGCCCAAGCCATCTTTCCGCAGCACCTGGGGGGGCTGACTAGCCTCGGGCAGAGAGGGGGGGGGCTCCTCCAGGAAGACTCACATGCACGCCAGGATGGCCCCGGGCAGCTTTCCAGGCACCATTACCTATCCCAGAGAGCCTCCCCTTCAGACGAACACCGGCCACGTGGAGGGGAACCCCAACGGCCCCATCTTCTTGAGGGGTGGGGGGCAGCCCCGCTTAGCACCCCCCCCCCGCCGCCTTTGCAAAACAACCCCCAAGCCTGCACCCCTTTGGGCTGCTAGGGACCCCCCCCAGCTACGTTTCCTCACGTGGGAAAGGGAAGAGGCAGGCAGGCGGCTTTCAGGGAGCGCGAGTGAGGGAGAAGTCTTGGGCCCCCCAAACTCGACCCCCCTCAGCGACCCCAACTGCGGGTAACAACCCGCGCCTGCTCCGTGTCGCCTCACGACGACCCCCTTCCAGAAGAGGGTCTCTCTCCCCACAGCCGCCGCCGCCACCACGTGGACCCAAACACGCCCTCCGGCTCCCGCCGCCCGAGGACGCGGGAGAAGCCCAAGCGGCTCCCTCAGCCGGCGCTTTCCCGTGAGGCAGGCGCCCCCTCAGCCCCACACGGCGGAGCCCGGCCGCCCTCGCTCGCCGCCGCCGCCGGCGCCCTCCCCGCCTAGCCCGCGCGCGCGAGGGAGCTGCCCAGCCGAGCCGCGCTCGCTCCCGCCGCCGCCGCCGCCAGCCCCGAGGCCTCCTCCAACATGGAGGCGGCAGGAGGGAGATAAAGAGACAGACAAGAGAGAGAAAGGCAGACAACTCCGCTACACACGCAGAAGCCCGGCCGGGCGAGCGCCCCGCCCCGCAGCCAACCACGGCCCTCCTCCCCGCCCACTCCTCCACTCAGCCAATCGCAGGGCGGGAGCGGGGAGGCCTCTCTCGACCCATAGGCCGAGTCGCCGAAAGGGGCGGGGCCTCGAAGGTGGTTATTTGGGTGCCCGGCGCAGAAGCGTGGGTGAGAGGAGTGGGGCTTCTCCGCGCTTGCGTGCGTTGGGGTGGAGGGAGTGAGAGAGGGGCCTAGGTGTGCGCGTGCGCGCTAGGTTCCCGCTCCCCCTCGTGGCACCCTTTAAATGCTGGGGCGGGCGAGGTGCAGGGCGGTTGTGCTGACCCGAGTCCGGGATGCGCAGGGCCTGAACCTGCTTGCGCACTTACTCGGAAGACAGCCCCATGGTGTTCATTGCGGGGTTTATTTTTTTTTAATTAGAATAACAGAATTGTAAAGTTGGAAGGGATCCCGGAAGTCATCTGGGCCAACTCCCTGCAGTGCAGGAATCATAACGCATGGTCTCCCATCCAGCTTGAAACCATATCGGACCCTGCTTAGCTTTGCAAATGCACTAGCAGTTTTATTGCTGCACCACTGATTATTTCCCAAGGTACACCTAAATCTGCAACCTTGACCCCACTTAGCTGGGAATGTGCATCTTCCAAATTCAGTTTAGTTATTATCAGTTCCGGGCATATATATGTAAGTAAACCATATTTAATAAAGACACCACAGTCTCCGCTGTGCCTCCTCTGCCAAAGGAAACATGAACCCTGGGTGAGTGCCTGGAACCCCTGGAATCTCACACTGCTTGCAGATTGGGGTGGCATGCAAAACAAAAGTATCTTCCTACACCTGACTAAGGGATCAAAGAAGGCATCTGGTCTGGCGAGAGGATTGCTTTATTTCAGGCCTGTTCCTTCACAGGCCTCCTCCTCCTATGTCCTACATTACTCTCAACTATATGAACCTTCCTTCTGTAGGCCTCCTCTCCTAGGATGCCTTCTGTGCTATTGATCTCAGCAGGTTTAAGTCCAGGACTCCTATGTCTTCCTGTGGAGTAAGGGGGCTGAGTAGACTTGGCTGTTCCCTTTGGCCCCATGCTAATGGAGTTCAGAGGAACAGCCTCAAGAGAGCCTCTGCCAGGGAAGTAAGAGAAAAGCCTTTTATTGGCACACAGGAACATTCCCCCCCCCATAGAGGGCTAGCTAATTTAGCCTGTTTCTCTGCTCCCTTGAAAGTATTTTAATGATTGGGCACCTCATTGAATAAGTGTAGATCTTGTCAGCTTGTTATCTGTTATTGCCTGAGGCTGCCACCTACTGATTGTAGCTGCCTTGTCTCCACTTCCCACAGGGAAGAAAAGGCAGCGGCGGCAGGGGGAGAACTAGTTTGTTATGAAGAACAAATGCATTAAATACTGAGATTCAGAGAAAGCTTCCAAAAACACAGTTTCAAGAGTGTGCTATGGATGTAGCAGTTGTGTTCTTCAGCTCTTCTTCAGTTACAAGGACACAATGTGCTTTGAAGACAGGCTCTCACATCCTACCAACCTCAACTCATGTTGTTGTTCTTTAGTCGTTTAGTGGTGTCCGACTCTTCGTGACCCCATGGACCAGAGCACGCCAGGCACTCCTGTTTTCCACTGCTTCCCGCAGTTTGGCCAAACTCATGCTGGTAGCTTCGAGAACACTGTCCAACCATCTCGTCCTCTGTCGTCCCCTTCTCCTTGTGCCCTCCATCTTTCCCAACATCAGGGTCTTTTCCAGGGAGTCTTCTCTTCTCATGAGGTGGCCAAAGTATTGGAGCCTCAGCTTCAGGATCTGTCCTTCCAGTGAGCACTCAGGGCTGATTTCCTTCAGAATGGATAGGTTTGATCTTCTTGCAGTCCATGGGACTGCGAATAGCTGTGCTTTACATGGGTCGAGGTTTTTTCCCCTTCATGGATCACTGCCATGTTGTGGCGAAGGGGCTTGAATAACTCAGAGAAGCTATGAGCTATGCCGTGCAGGGCCACCCAAGATGGACAGGTCATAGCAGAGAGTTTTGACGAAACGTGATCCACCTGGAGCAGGAACCAGCAAGCCACTCCAGTATCCCTGCCAAGAAAACTCCATGGACAAAGACAACAGGCATATAAAACCTTGACTCATGTAAAGCACAGCTATTCTCCACAAGCAACCCCTGCGTGTACTGGACTGAATACAGTCCTGGCAATGGAAAAGGAGAACATACAGCATAAGATCAGTCCAAAATGTCAGCATTCAAGTCTCTGGGAAGCTTACAAGCATGGAATATTTGTGACAGCTCTTCATGCCTGCAGCTCCAGGTGTTCAGAGGCAGGGCCAGTTCTTGGGAAAGGTGCACACCGTGAGCACCCTTCCTGAATGAATCCACCTTCTCTAGCTCCAACCCATTCATCTTCCCAGTTTGCCCACTCTACAGGTTTCGGGTTCAGTTCCAGGAGACACAACTGAATAATGCCTTGCTTCCGTTTGAGATGGGATGAAGAATGACCAAGGCATGGTTGAAAGCATATTCTCTAACCCAGCGTCTGTGTCAATGAGCGCTGGGTCCAGGGTCAAATCTTGATTGATGACATGCCTGCATATATCAGTTCCCTGCCAACCATGCGCAGCTGCCACATGCAGACTGAATGCTGCACACGTTGGCAAATGGTCAAAACACAAATGTCGGCACTGGCAGCACCGCAGCATGGAACCTGCTGGCTATGAGCAGGGCCTCAGCCTGGGAGATGGCCCTCAGTGGTCTCCTTTGCTGATTCAGGCTCTCATCTAAGAGAGGGAGAGAAACCCGTGCAGCCAGCCCACAAGCCCCTTCTTATACTGTGCAATTGAAGAAGCCACCCTTTACTTTTAAAAGCGGAAGGTGAGCAAAGGAGGACCATCTTGAAAAATCCTGGTTCAGGAGGATGGGGGAAGAAAAAACAGGATTAGTGATCCAACATGTGAAGATTAAATTTGCTTCAAAGTTTTGATTACAGTGGTACCTAGGGTTACGTACGCTTCAGGTTACAGACGCTTCAGGTTACAGACTCCGCTAACCCAGAAATAGTGCTTCAGGTTAAGAACTTTGCTTCAGGATAAGAACAGAAAGCGTGCTCCGGCAGCGCGGCAGCAGCAGGAGGCCCCATTAGCTAAAGTGGTGCTTCAGGTTAAGAACAGTTTCGGGTTAAGAACGGACCTCCGGAACGAATTAAGTACTTAACCCGAGGTACCACTGTATTATTATTTGTGTATGAGCCACATTCCAAATCAGGGATTCAGCCTTACTCCAACAGCCATGATCACTTCTGTGTGGAAGATGGCATTTGACACCATACTTTGCAGAGCACTGTGTGTGCCAAACAAGCCTTCATGCACACCGCTTGGTTTTTATGCGTCTTCTCTGCTGCCGGGCTTGTGGTGCTAGAGGAAGACAAGGCAGCCGCAGCCAGTCCCTTTGCCCAGATCCCACTTGACAAGGATTTAGAACCAAGATCATCTGCCCAGGAAGTTAGACAGCCTAGAAGTGTCCCAGTTTGGGAAGTCATGCTCTACAAAGGTCTGCCTTTCCTCGCATAGAGTTCCTTGCAATTCCAAAAGGCACCTGTGTTTGATGCTACTGGCATTTGTCACCACCCCAGTGCTGAAGTGTGGTTCCCACAGAACACAAGGGCAGGAGAAAGGTGCCTGACCCCTGCCTCCCTCTCCCTTCCCAGCATGACTTTGGAGGAGCTGATATGAACCCGTTCAGCAAATCACGTCTGCAATCGCCAAAACTGTCACTTTTTAAAACAATGTTAGCAACAACAGCAGCAGACCTAGGGGTCTTAAAGAGGACTAATAATAATAATAATATTTTTCTTCAGTGAATAAAAAGTCTTTTAGTTTAATAGTGCTCTGTATAATAATAATAATAATATTCACAAGAAAAAGGAGATATAAATTATGCCACTATTCTGCGTAGATGTTGTTAAACTGGGCCTGTTACCAGATATGAAGAGATAAAAGTGTCCATGAAAATAGGTTGAAGTGAAATAGGGTTTCACACATTCTCCTTGAAATGAAACAGGAATTTCTGGTGGGTGCTATTCTGCTGCCATCCCTAACGCTATCTTTTAAAAAAACAAAAAACACAGGAAGTCCTTCAGAAAGCAAAAACCCTGATAATGTTTTGTCTGACACAGAAAGAAGCTAAATGCGTATGTATTCCTAAAACCCTTCACAGCTCCAGTACAACACTCAGGAAGGAAGGACACGGCTGACATTTACACGATTTGGGTCATGTGAGGGGTGGGGAAAGGCCGGGACACATTGAAACCAGAGGAAACCCCGTATCTCACTCCTTCCGCTCCAGTCTTTACTGTCAAAAGGGTCAGCAGGTGCAGGGAAATATTCACCACAAGGTGCTCACAGCAGCAACGCACAGGGTACGCAAGAGGCTTGACGCCAGATCAAGGGATCTGGAAGACGTTGAGTTTGCTGGTGTTTTTGAGAGTCTGTCGCCGGTTGCAGAACCAGACCCGGACCACCTCCCGGTCGTAGTTGAGCTCCTTGGCGATCTCCGTGATCTCCTGGCCTGTGGGCAGGGCGTTCTTCTCAAAGTAGGCGTTGAGGGCCTCGATGGCCTGCGGCGTGAAAGACGTGCGGCGCTTGCGCTTCTTGGACGGCTCGCCGCCCACAAACTCCATCAGGTTCTGCTGGCCCTCCTGGTTCCGCAGCTCGGCCTCGCTCAGCCACTTCTCCAGCACGGGCTTCAGCTTCTGGGCGCTCTTGGGAGTGATGTCCAACTTTTCGAACCTGGAAAACCAGCAAAGGACCATTGAGGAGCACTGAGAGTTCCTACGGAAACCTGAAAGGCGCAGCACATGCGCTTTCCATGCTACAGGTCCCAACTTCGAGTCCCCCTGGCGTCTCAAGAGTAGGGCTGGGAATGTCCCCTGCCTGAAACCCTGAACAGCTGCTGCCAGTCCGTGTAGACAGTACTGAGTTTGGTGGGCCAAATGGTCTGACTCAGTAGAGGGCAGCTTCCTATGTACCTGGCTAGACTGCTCTTCCCCTCCATTATGGGGCACCAACCCTTTAGCCCAGAGCAGAACTCAAAATGGGAATATTTTGTTAAAGTGGGGGGGGGGGGATGTTATGGCCATCTGATGGTCTGACAAGGTTGCCAGTGCCATTTGGGGACTTCCCATCAAGATGGTGCCAAGGTAGGGTGTGCTCAGCTGAGTTCCAAGGCTATTTTTTAGTGGTTTGACTGGGATTGTTTGTTGGTTTCTTGGTTTCTCTTTTATTAAGGATAAGGCTCTTTTATGTGCCCCCTCAACCCCCAGGAGCCAGCATGATTAATCAGTTTTAAGGGAGCCTTGCAGTAACCCCCACCGTGGCATCCTTGGCAGTTACCTACAGGCTTTTAAAACTCATTTTAAGGACTTTTAAACATTTCTTAACCTATTCAATCTTTATAAATTTTAACCTTTCAACTCCCCAGATCCTTTAAAATATTCTTAAATACTTTTCAAGTTTATACATTTCATTAGTTTTACAATCAATTTAACTTTACAACGTTAGACTTCCTTCCCCCTCTTTCTGCGGTTCCTTAATTTTTAAAATATCTTCTGCATATCCAAATTACCGTATTTTTCGCCCTATAGGACGCACTTTTTCCCCTCCAAAAATGAAGGGGAAATGTGTGTGCATCCTATGGGGCAAATGCAGGCTTTCGCTGAAGCCTGGAGAGCGAGAGGGGTTGGCTTCAGGAGAGCCCCACCGCCATCCCCGCAAGCTCGGGGGACAGCGGGGAGGCGCTGGGCTCCCACGGCTTCGCGCTGGGCTCCCACGGCTTGCGGAGAGCTAGCTTGGGCTTCCCCCGCCCCAGCCCCACGCCGGGGGGGGGGGAATAAAAATTTTCCCCTTTATTCCCCCCCCCCAAATGCAGGTGCGTCCTATGGGCCGGTGCGTCCTATAGGGCGAAAAATACGGTAATTTAATTTGTTCATTTAATTATCTACTTTAAATATATACTCTTATGAAACTGCAGGTTACTACAATAATCCTGCTAATGTTTTTATCTGTTTGCAATTTATCTGTAAATATTCAATAAGCCAGTATAAATAAAGTATAAATGAAAACTCTTTCTCTCTATATATATATTCTTAAATACTTTCAAATACAGTGGTACCTTGGTTCTCAAATGCCTTGGTACTTAAACAACTTGGAACCTAAACACTGCAAACCCGGAAGTAAGTGTGTGAAGGTTTTCCAGAAGCTGAATGTGCTCCGTTTTGAGTGCCACACTTCCATTTTGAGTGTTACGCTGTCTGTTTTTGCTAATTATTTTGCATTTTTGTTTTTGCGGCTTTTTTGTTTTGTTTTTGTGACTGTGTGGAACCTACAGTAATTCAGCTACTGATTGATTGATTGTGTGACTGTAGTACATTGTTTACTGCTTTCATTTCATGGATCAATGGTCTCGTTAGATAGTAACATTCATGTTAAATTGCTGTTTTAGGGGTTGTTTTAAAAGTCTGGAACGGATTAATCCATTTTGCATTAGTTTCTATGGGAAAGCGTGCCTTGGTTTTGGAACGCTTTGGTTTTGGAAAGGACTTCCGGAACGGATTAAGTTTGAGAACCAAGGTACCACTGTACTTTTAAGGCTGGGGGAAGCCAATAAGGCTGGAGACAGAGGATGATTCAGTGTTCGTGGAGTGAATGCAAGGCACATGGCCATCCGATAACTGGCCATTATTTGATGGGTTGCAAGTAGATTACCTTGAGATCCCACTGTTATATTTTAAGGGTGGATTCAAAGGGGCTGGGAAATAGGCAGGTACACCATTTATTTCAAATGCCCAATACTGGATCCCATGACTGCGCGGCAACCGCACAGACACAGTGGAGATGTAATGGATGAAGGAGCCCTGGGGAACAGCAACATCCATCTCACCTGCATATAGCCGACTGGCTGTACGCGGGTCCTTCGGTAGCAGTCAACGCCTGCCCCACCTGCGTCTGCGTTAGACCCAGAGATAGGCGTCGGATCTTGAAGTTCTTGGCAAACTCTCTAATCTCCTCCAGGTTGATCCCGTCTTCGTCGCTTCCGCTGTTTGGAGGCTGAGGCTCTAAGAAGTAAAAAATAAAAAACGGACCAGTAAGGAGATGCAATTTATGCCCATGTCATGGTACATGGGGAAATCCTAACCCTATGCAGTTGCGGCTCCTGCAGCCAAGCACACAACAAATGCTGTCCACTGCAGTTGGCGGAGGAGTGGAACACACACGTGGACACCTTACACCACAAAGCAGGAACCCAGGAGAAGAGCCTGAGAAGGGTGCGGCTGCTGCTGCTGCTGTGTTGCAGCACCTAAAAGCTAATGCTGACAAGAGGCCTCTTCAGGCTAAGCAGCCTCTTCTTCAGGCTAAGAGAGTTGTGCAGGTGTCTTAATTTTTATTACATTCCTATCCCACCTTTCTGGCATCATGGAACCCAAGGCAACATCCCTGTGGTCCCCAGATGGACAGTGACCAGACGCAGACTGGCCTAGCTTCAGCATCGTGGGTTGCAATGCTTTCTCGCCACACAAATTGGGCACTGGACCGTGAACCACTTCCCATTACCAGCCACCCCTCCACCTGCCTCCAAAGCCAAAGGGGTCGCAGAGATGCTTACTGGAAACCAGCTGGCTGACAGTCGGAGTCTCTGAGCAGGTGATGGGGACAGGAGCAGAAGCTAGCTTGGATGCAGGGGGTGGGCTTGCAATGACTATGGTTGGCTGTGGCAGAGTTGGGGCGGGTTGAATTGGCTGGACCTGGCAAGGCAGCAAAAGAGAGTGACGTTAAGAAAGTGGTTTTTGTTTTTTATCAGAGACTGGGGGTTTTCATGAGCTGTGGGGCATGGCTTGATGAACAAACCTACCGTATTTTTTGCTCTATAAGACTCACTTTTTCCCTCCTAAAAAGTAAGTGGAAATGTGTGTGCGTCTTATGGAGTGAATGCAGGCTGCGCATCTATCACAGAAGCCAGAACAGCAAGAGGGATTGCTGCTTTCACTGAGCAGCGATGCCTCTTGCTGTTCTGGCTTCTGAGATTCAGAATATTTTTTTTCTTGTTTTCCTCCTCCAAAAACTAGGTGCGTCTTGTAGAGCGAAAAATATGGTAATTAGCAAGGACTGTGTGCAGTCCTGGTGACTCAAGGAAGATCAAAAACACAATCGGAATCATGCAAACTAATATGCCTGTCATTTGCTAATTTTGCCCAATGCATACTGCTTGAGCAAAAGCTATATTCCTCCACCTGGAAGCCCTGTCCCCTCTGATACAAATTAGAATGAAAGCAGATGTGATATAAACATATGTCACAGCAAGTCTCTGACCTGCAGGATGAACCCTGCATCTTCTCACTACTGAAACGGCAGTCAGGCAAATCGAAACATCAGCTCAGCCAATAGTTTTTTCCCTTCCCTCAGGCTTCCAGAGGGATAACCATCTTTCTTTTACTGTTCTGTCCTAGCGGTGTGGTTTTTCATTATTATTAAAAAAGAAACATTATTTAAAAACTGAAAATCTGTTCAAGGGACCTTGGGGTGGCGGTGGATATGTGCTTTTTAGTGACATCACAGGCAGCAGCCAATCAGTGCCATGCACATCTGCCTTCAGCTGCAAAACTAGCAGAGTCTGTTTTTCCAGAGCTTGGTCTTGTGAAGAAAAGGCGCACTCAGTTCGAATGCAGTGAGGGTGTTGCTAAAGTGACCCACTGGTTCTAAAAAAACCGACGTCTGTCTTGACCCTCACTCAGGATGAGGTTATGTGAACCTGCCTCATGCTCACACGTTGCGTCAATGAATAACTGCAACACCCAGTGATGGCTAACACCATTGACTGGCCTGTACATATGAGTCATCACAGATTGACACAAACATTTATTTGTAGTGCCCTGATATTTGTAGTGCCTCAGATGACACTTTACAATGGAGTCGTTTCATACATTTCAACCGCCAAGCCAACAAGGGTACAGGTCACCAGAATCTCAAGTGTCATTATTTAATTACCCACACCATAACCCAGCCTCCTGAAAGGCTTTTTAACTCCTGTAAGTGGTTTTTAGGATCCAGTCCGATGTGTTCATTTCCTCCCCCATTTATATGGGTGCCCCATGCATGTCCGCTTGCTATCCTTCTGCTGCAGAGTCCGCCAGTGGTTTCCCCTAAGAATCAGATGTCCTTGCTAGCTGAAGCTCACCTCACTCTTTGCTGGAGTTTCGGGCGTGCTGGGTTTTCTAACAGCTGCCGCTGTCGCTGTCTGGATGGTGCTGCTAGCCAAGGTGGCAATGACCTGGCCTTGGGCATTCAAAAGCAGCTGCGGCGTCACTGCCTGCAGCTGTAGGTTCTGTGCCGGCAATGTAGCAGGGGTGGCGTTGGCTGTGGCAATTCCAGCTGGGTTCACCACCCACGGAAGAGTCCCAATGACCTGGAAGAGAGGAGAAGGAAAGATGCATCAGGGATGCAGTGCAAAGGTTCTCAAATCTCTCCCCCTCGCCTTTGCAGGGTTGGAGGATGGCAGGACAAAAGTGACAGTGCTATGAGAAACAAAAGGGGGGGGAGAGTTTGCAGAATAGGGAGACTTTCAACTACTCGTGGGCTGAGTCAAACTTGTGCATATTTACACATCATATTTCCCCCCTTATTTTGATGCTTTAAATGTGTGTTCACAGCTGAAAATAGTTCAGCGTGCTTTAAAACAGGGAATAAAAAGGTAAAGGTAAAGGACCCCTGACAGTTGAGTCCCGTCACGAACGACTCTGGGGTTGAGGTGCTCATCTCGCTTTACTGGCCGAGGGAGCTGACGTTTGTCTGCAGACAGTTTTTCCGGGTCATGTAGCCAGCATGACTAAGCCACTTCTGGCGAAACCAGAGCAGCGCACGGAAACGCTGTTTACCTTCCTGCCAGAGTATTTATCTACTTGCACTTTGGGAGGGGGCGTGCTTTTGAACTGATAGGTTGGCAGGAGCTGGGACCGAGCAATGGGAGCTCACCCTGTCGCAGGGATTCGAACCACCAACCTTCCGATCGGCAAGCCCAAGAGGCTCGGTGGTTTAGACCACAGCGCCACCCCCCCAAAAAAGCAGAGAACACCAACAATTAAAACTCCACCCCAGCAGCCTTTTCACTTCTGCCAGTTTTTCACTGCTTGTAAGCTGCCTTGATCAAAGAATAGTGAAACTAAAGGTTACATAAACAAATAAAACATTTAAGAAAACACTGTATTTTCTTTAAATAGGAGGTCACTTAACACCCATTCCTGTGCCCCTTACTAGTGCAATAGGTCCAGATCTACTGTGGCTTTGATTGGGTTCTGGAGTCAAATGGCACTTACTTGTCCCTGAGCATTGGTCAGGATCTGTCCAGTTATCCCTTGCACACTAGGAATGGTGTTTGCAATTACTGGTGTAGCAGCCAGGGAGCTGAGGAGCTGAGTTTGGGCTCCCAGAGAAGCCGCACTGATCTGCAGGAGAAAACAGAAGTCAAGGATTGAATTACTCTGCATTCTCATTAACAGTGAGACTTAACTCTCTGCCTCAGCTGCCTCCCCTCCTTTTTCAGTATTGTGCATGTGATGCCCCAGTCTAAACAATCCATTATTATGAAGCCCTTATCAAGAATACTGCGCATTCATGAAGAGGTCTGTTTGTATTGCAGTCAGCCCCTAGCCTGCTGGCTGACCAGAGTAGCTGCCCTATCCACTAGTAGCATTAGTAGTACTACCACACTGAAAGAACAAAACAACTTTAAAGTGTTGCTAACACCACTATTTCCAATGTGCTTTGTTCAAGGGCAAAGATGTTTTCTGGGTGCTGAAGCAGCTAGTCATGCATTAAGTCACCCACTCTGAATTAAGACCAAAGACGGGTTGTGATGGGCAGTTTATGTCAGAGATGCTGACAGGCATCTAGCTGGCCACTGTGAGACCAGGATGCTGGTCTAGGTGGGTCAGTCTTTCTTATCGACATGGATTCATGGGTCGATTTCAAGGATAGCTTTGTGCTAGTGCAGGGGTCGGCAAGGTTTATCTTGCCTGGTCCGGATCAGTCCCATGGAGATCCCTCCGTGGGTCGGGTCACGCGTGTGTGCATCCACGATTTTCAGCGTCTGCACGTGCGCAGATGCGATTTTCTGGCATCTGTGTTGACGCGATTTCCGGCACCACGGAAGCAAGTCCCTGCGCTGGTTTAGCACAGTGCGTGAGTGGGCGGCTCGGTTCGGTGGCGGCTCGTGGGCCGGTCAAAGGACCTTCGCAGGCCACTTCTGGCCCATGGGCCTTAGGTTGCTGACCCCTGCACTAGTGGAAAGTGCCTGTCCTGGCACAGTAGTGCAACCAGTTTTCACCAACTCCCACCCTCCTCCACTGAAGCCCTCTGTGCTACATCTCACACTGCTCCAGTGGCTCCCCCAAGCCCCAGAAGCAACTGTGGATGCTGCAGCAACTTGCACAAGTGTTTTCTGCTAACACAAAGTCTTGATTGATTGATTGATTGATTGATTGATTGTATACCACCCTATACCCGTAGATCTCAGGGTGGTTCACAACATAGAATCACAATATAAAAAACCATTGGATACAACCCCATGGTATTTGTTCAGTATTTAAAGGAACCCCTCAAAAGTTGCTGCTCACGTTTACAATGGAAGCATATAATGAAAGAACGTCCTCTCTGTAAACATCAGAAGACAGGTAGCCTTAGCGCCAAACTACATTTGACCTCTCCCCACTCCTTGTAGACCTCAGAGGAGATCGGAAGGATCTGTGGGCCCATTGACAACTTGTCCCTCCTGCCCCCATCCCCAATCTTCTGAGCTAGCTCTTCAGCGATGCTTCCAGCTCCTTACTATTCCAGGGTTAAAGGCAAATCCTGCTGGCTGAACTGTGATCTGGGTTGGCGTTTCCAAGGGCTTGGCGACAGGTGGTGTGGATGCTGCGGCCGGCTGCGGCAAAATGGCTGGCTGAGCCTGAGGCTGGAACACAGTCTGTGTTTGGGCTGGTGGCCGCGGCTGGACTGTTTGCTGCGCCTGGAGAGGCTGGGCTGGCTGCAAAGGGGCTTGTATTGCCGTGTTCAGCACTGCGGCAGCTGTGGGAGCAAGACAAGAACACTCAATATCGCCGCTATGCTTTGCCATTCTTTCTTCTGCCCTGTAAATCAAAACGGTCACATTGCTAGTTGCTTCAATCCGTGAAGTTACACCTCTACATCTAAGGCCTCGATCCTATACACACTTACCTGGGAGTAAGTCCCATTGAACACAGTGGGGCTTACTTTTGAGTACGCACGTATAGGATTGTGCTGCAAAGCAGGCAAGCAAGCGGTAAAGCTAAAGGAAAGAGCAGGTGTTTTATTTCCAGACTGTTGCTGCTGCAGCTGCACAGGATTGAGATAAAAGATGAGGAAACATCTTTTATCATATCCAAATTAAGAATATGAAAGTTTGTGTGTTACACAGAACTCTGTATCACTGCATCTTCCTTGCTCTCCCCTACTGCATGATAAAGCCAGGGCTTTCTGGAAGCCTCAGAGTTGCTGTAGCAGCTGTCACAATTGATAGCCTCTACATCCACCAGGAGGCTTCAGATCACAGGCTCCTGTGTGAACAGGCCACCGGTGACAAGATGTGCCTGCAGAAGTAATACTGCCGTGGCCATATTTTCTTCATTAAGCATCCCTGCCCATACAACTTGGGACCAGAGTACCTAAGAGACCACCTTGGCCATTTAACTGTGCAGGCAATTGCACTCATCAGATGGGGCACTGCTGACAGCACCATGTTTCCGGAGGTACACCTAGCCTGTACTAGAAACCAGGCTTTTAGTGTTGCAGCTTCAGCTCCCTGGAATCAATTACCAGCCAAGATGAGACAGGGACCCAGCATCATGATGTTTAGGTGCTCACTGGAGAGGTTTTTGTTTAAGAAGGTTTTCAGAATGAATTGCGTTATTGATCTTATAATTTTCTAAAACAGTTGTATTGTTTTTAGTACCCGTGTTTGTGTGTTTTATCCAGTTTTTACCTTGCACGCCATTCTGATGGCTTTTTAAAAATAATAATTTTTATTAGCTTTCAATGACAAGAAACCAAAATAAGCCTTATTTTACCCATATCAAATCACAATACCAAATCAAATATCAATTAATCAACTTTCCAAATGTATTATTTTGGTGGCCCTCCCATGCGCTAGAATTACAGGTTTGATCATTTCTTTTAATTCTGCCCATTTTGATGGCTTTAAGCTGTGAAGCAGTCTGTAAATTGGTTAAATAAATAGATAAAACCACTGACTGGAACAACAGCCTCTCTTAAATGAAATTGGGGGTTGGGAGACAAGCATGGAATCGGCTGCTCTGAAACTGACTAGACACACTGCACTGTAATCTACTGAACATGCTCAGGGACTGCTACTGAATTTGCTGCGTACCTGGCCGGGGGCCGCTTTGATGGAGGCCCTCAGCTCCCAGGGGATCCCTCATTCATTTCAGAAGAGGTAACAGATATGAAAATGTTATCTAGTTTGCTCAACTAAAACTAGCAGATGAACTCATCAACGGGATGCTCCATAGTGTGGATCAGAGCAATGGTCACTAATATACAGTAAAAAAAAGCACTAGCCCATAGACTACAACTCCCATCAGCCCCTACCAGTATAGCTAACGGAAAAGGATGATGGGAGCTGTAGTCAAATGACATCTGGAAGGGCATGACTTTGGTTGCCCCTGCTGCAAAACATGCTTCACGCCCTTCCTTCTAAGATAATGGAAATGGAAATATTGCCAATGGCTCTTTTTAAACTACCCCCCTTCCACACTGTGTTATTTTAAATTAACCCCCTGCTCCTCCACCTTCTGTTTACTCTTAAAGCAATACTGCGTTCCCTAAAGAATGCAAAGTATTTCTGGGCCTCTGCAGAGCAAGGGGACTTCGTGTTCTGCACAAGCACTGAATGATCACTGTCACAAGGAGAGACCCCCTAAGAAGCTGTTGTTACCTTGCAAATTGGCTATAGGTGATTTGAAAATTCCCCCAGTAGTAGAGGCAGCCGTCAGTCCTGGGAGGGCAGCAACCGTTGCTGCAGGAAATGTCCACACAGCCAGCCCCTGCTGACTTGCCACTTGACCTGCAATACTGATGGGGATAAGAAGAGGTTGAGTAACTGCCCCTGCTGGAACCATAACGCCTGTCACAACTGTTGCTAAGTTTTCCTGAGTCAAGACCTGCAAAAGTAAACAAGATTTAAAAAAGAAAAGGGAAAAAAGAAATCAACGCCACTGCAGACAGCATCAGCGCAGCAGCAGCCACGTTAGCAAGCCCACAGGAGGCCCAGCCCAGCCAGGAGATGCCTGCCTGAGTTGTGCTGTGTGTGGCTTTGTGCCCCGTGCCAGCAGCTGGGCAGACCCAGCTCTGTGGCACTCAGGTGGGGGCTGGTTGCAAAGTCAACGTTCAAGCGAGATGGGGGCATTTCTTTTTCACAGCCCTGACAAATTGCTCTAGGCTGCATCTTTTATCAGCTCCCCTGCCCTCCCCCCACCCACCCAAAGCGCAATGCCTTGTAGCAATCACAGTAAAGCGCAGCCATTTTAAGGACGCGTTGGCGCCATTTATTTCTCCCCGGATATGTCCTGGGGAAAGTTGGAGCGGTTGTGCCACATCCTTGGCGGAGTCACTGAACGCGGCTCCACCTGCAGGTGTGACTGAGGGGGAAACAGTTCTTCCTTAAGAGAACACTCCCTGCAATGTTCCACAAGGAAATATTCACTGCAAGCAATATTGGATTTGCTCCCCATGAAGCTCTGTAGCAGATCTTGGGATCTACTGTCTACAGATCTACTTAGCTGCAGACTGAGGCACTGTTAGTGAGTAGTTCCCTAGACCAGCTGGCTGGAAAATTGCCTGCTCTTGATAAAGTTATACCTTGGGGGTACTGCTGGAGCCATGGCTGTTGCTTGAGGCTCAGGCGGCCTCAGTGGCGTGGAGTGCCGTCTATCAACAGTGGCCTATCTGTGCTCTTATTTGGACAGGGGTAGCCTAACTACTGTCGTCTATGCTCTGGTAACCTCTAGGTTAGATTACTGCAGTATGTTTTATGTGGGTCTGCCTTTGAAGACAGTTCGGGAACTTCAGCGGGTACAGAATTCAGCAGCCAGGTTGCTCACAGGGACAAAATAATTTAAGCATATAATGCAAATCCTGGCCTGACTGCATTGGCGGCCGGTTAGTTTGCAGGCCCAATTCAGTATGCTGGTTTTGACCTATAAAGCCTTGAGGGGTTCAGGATCACAACACCTCAAGGAACATCTCTCTGCATACAAGCCGCCCCAGGCCCAGCGATCATAATCTGAAGCCCTTCTTTGTGTTCATCCTCTGCAAGAGGTCCGGAGGGCAGAAATACAAGAAAGGGCCTTTTCTGTGGTGGCTCCCTACTTGTGGAATGCTCTCTCCAGGGAGGATTGCCTAGCACCTTTGCTATGTATCTTTGGGTTCCAGGCAAAGACTCTTCTCCCAGGCCTTTGTCGAATTAAACAATCTATGGCCTTTTAAACGGGGTGGGTGGCGGTTTACTGTTTGTTACTATGGTGTGTATTTTTGTGATTTTATATTGTAAACTGTCCTGTGATCCTCGGATGAATGGCAATATAGAAATTTAATAAAGATAAATAAATAAATCTAATCACTTTAAGTACTCCGGCTTGCTGCTTTACAGCAAGCTAAAAAGCTTGCTTGACAAACAAAAATAAATAAATCCTGCTTCTTTTTGCAGTTGCAAACGGCACTGCGGAGGGTTCAGAAGAGAAGAGGAGCAAGGAAGGAGAGCTCCTCTGTACTCATCTTAGAAAAGAGCTGGGTGGTGTAAGCACACCTGGATACAAAGCCTCCTGCCTAGAAAAGCATCTCAGTCTCAGGTACCTCTGCCTCAGTCTTTTGCCTCTCTGTGGACATTGCAGCATCCACAAAATGTGCAGCGGCTGGGAACTCTTGCTCTAAGTGGCAAATGCCCAGAGCAGGGAAGAAGTTGATTGAGCATTGAATCTCTCCTGCTGACATCAGCACTAAAGGCCTTTCCACACAATCAAATGAAGCACGATTCAATTGCATTTTATGAAGTAGGTGATAGCTCCCCAAGTCCCAATGCAAATAAGTATGATATCTCATTCCAATATAGTAGATGGAAGGACTGCATTGCCTTGTCTTGCTGCATGTGTGTGCGATGGAGGACAAAAACACAGGAGAAGATTAAAAAACGCAGAAGAGCAGTTTTATCCTTTTATAAATGGCCCAAGGTATTTTGAATTTTTCAATTCTTTTTCAAGGATATTTTTCTTTTCCTTCAAGAGGCCATAATAAGTGGGGAAAAGGAAATCTACTTTCCCCAGAAAAAGAATGTTTAAAACTTTAAATGCATATGACTATTGAGAATAAAACTAGTATTATAGTATTTTATACTATTACTCTTGTTTGCAAACTGTGAGGTGCATAAGGACCCAAGACCCATAGGGACCTGTTTGAAATATAATAACAACAACAGTATAGATAATTTAAAACCAACAATTTAAATTTCAAAAAATGGCCCAGGGAAAAGCGGCTTGTAGGCTTGAGGGCATGTTTTGCATTGAATAATGAAGGAGCGGACAACTACCAGGAGGAATTAGATTTTTCTAAAATAAATAGACGTTTACAAAACGATATGTGCCAGAGCGGTGGTGTTGGTGCTGGAGGGAATTGCGTCACTAATAATAGCACAGAATGCCTAACAGCTGACTCTTGCACAATCCCATTCCCCCACCCCACCCCCTGGTAATATTGCAGATTAAATGCTGGGAAAATGTGATATGCCTACAACAAAAAATGCAACCTTGGAGGAGGACTGTGTGCCTCAAATTCGGTAACAAATGCTCATTGATTCAGCAAAAAAAGCTGATTGTGTGGAAAGGCCCTCAGCATATGCCTTTAGTTTTCTCCGGCTTGGAGACGGTTAGCCCCCTTGATTATGGTGGGGGGCTGGGGGCGAGAACAATTTATTCACAAAAATTGTTGTTCCATATAAGCTTGCAGTGAACAAAATGCCTATGTGCTTTGGAACCCAGGTTTTCCAGGGCAAGGAGGAGATTCCCCTTAACAGCGATAAGTTCTTTACTGTGTAAGGCCCTGAACAGACCCATGGCCCAGAGCTGCATTGCATATGCCCCACAGCGCTTCGCACAAGCTAAGAAACAGATCCCTGCCAGTAAACACCGGAAGAGTGCATTTGATTTCTACAAAGTCTGGCCAGATGGAACACTTTGAAAACAGGAACCCATTCGAGAGCATCAAAGCCCCATAGAACAGAATGTGGCATTCCTGATCCCAGAACACCTGGGGCCCAGAGTGCTCAATGCACACCAAATGCCAACTTCACAGACAGTTTTGGAAGTCTGCTCTACAACCCCCCAAGCCAAGGGATTTCTGGCAACTCTGCTTCTACCTAAGTAGGATGTGTCCACACCTGACTCTTCCAAGGGACAGGTGGAAACTCCCACACTGTTGCAGAAATTGAAATGCACCATTTCCTCTGTTCAGTGGCCAATATTCCTCCCGCGTGCCCAACAAAAGAACTGTAAGGTAAGTTACCTGCGGTGCAGCTTGCAGTGTGACGGGCGTTAGAGTTTGTGTTTGCTGGCTTGTCACTTGGCTGAAGGGGACGATTCCCGGGATAGGTGCAGGGGTTATTTCAGGTAATGCCTTTACTTCACCTGGAGACAAGAGGAAACAGTTCGTTTTGTTTACCCGTTCGGGTGATACCCACAGAATGCTGGGCCAAGTGGAGATGGAGGTAGCACACGTGAGCATGGCATGAAACTGCCCTTTACAGAAGGAAGAGCCATTCAGGGAAGGAACTTGGAAATAGGATAAGGGCAGGCAGAGAAGGGGGGCGGTGTAGCCCACGTGCCTCCAATTCCAATTGTTCTTTAAAATGCATGTGGCCAAAATGTAAACGTGGGCATCACCAAAGCGTAAAAATGGGTGTTGTCATTTTTTTTAAAAGGACCCAATCTGGAAGTAAGAAAACTATAGCATGGGACCTGCAGGTCTCGTCAGTTAAAAGGAAAAGAAAAAACACATTTTTTAAAAAATTGACAAATTTGGGAGGGGGAGGGCTTGAGCAGAAGCCACAAAGACCTTTTGGCATCACAGTGGGGTATCAATGGGGCAGTCAATTAAAAAAGTAAACCATAAGTTGATTAAAAATGTTTGGAGGATCTTTTTGGGCATCGTAGCAAGGGATCCTATTTAAAATGTTCTGTACTTCTTCTCCTTTAATTTGGGGGCACCTGCTTTACACACAAAGGACAAATGATTACAGAATTTGCAAAGCGACTCGTTTTTCTTAATGATAGCTATTTGAGTCAAACCTGTGCTAACCGTACGGTGATTGTGGTACCCATCAGAAGAACCATGCTAACACTACCAACATACCAGGTGAGGGCCCCATTTAACTAGGAAGCCCAGTTGCAGGGAACAGTGTGTGGATAGGTCCACCCATTTAAATCAGGCCCCCAACAAAGGAACAGCAGGCACCTTAGGCCTCTTAGGTGAAGCATCTGGGTAGAATTGTTCTAGCAAGAAACTCAGAAGGAAACAAATTACCTTCCACTTTTGCCCAGATAACCTGCAGGGCTCCACTGCTGTTCTCCAGTCTGAACAATGCACCGCCTAGAGAAAGCACTTGGTCCTCCATGACTCCCAGACTATCCCTATTACCCAGATGCCTTCTGCATTTGCCCACTTGTCTGTTCCTGGCTTTGGCATCTTGCCCAGTCCACACACTTTGCAACCGCTTGCTTCTATCCATCTCTGCTGCCTGAACTCCCGCATGGTGGGCCAAGGCCTAGAGATGGACCAACTGGCAACAGGCAGTGTGAAAGCTCATTGGCAAGTGATTTTGGCTGGAGAAGCTACTCATCCTTTGGCCTAACCTCTGGAAGCTGGGAGTTAATAGCTGGGTTTCCTCCCCTTGCTGGCAGAATGTCCCTCATGTTTTCACGTGCTCCATGTTTCCTCACCAGCTAGAGAAGCATTGCTTCTTATGATTACTTACATTTGAGTCATTTTACATCAAAAAGTCTCCAAGTGACTTAACATGACAGAATACAAACTGGCAGAATGAAAAAGCAGATCATTTAAAACAGAGTACAATGCAAAATTGTAGGGACGCGGGTGGCGCTGTGGGTTAAACCACAGAGCCTAGGACTTGCCGATCAGAAGGTTGGCAGTTTGAATCCCCGCAATAGGGTGAGCTCCCGTTGCTCAGTCCCTGCTCCTCCAACCTAGCAGTTCGAAAGAACATCAAAGTGCAAGTAGATAAATAGGTACCGCTCCGGTGGGAAGGTAAACGGTGTTTCCATGCGCTGCTCTGGTTCGCCAGAAGCAGCTTAGTCATGCTGGCCACATGACCCAGAAGCTGTACGCCGGCTCCCTCGGCCAATAAAGCAAGATGAGTGCCGCAACCCCAGAGTCGGTCATGACTGGACCTAATGGTCAGGGGTCCCTTTACCTTTACAATATAAAAATTCTAAAATGCTCACCCAGCAACATAATAAGGACAAGTCCTACCCCACCTCACTAAAAGATGAAGTAGATACTAACTTAAGTACCAAGGCCCTTGACAAATTAAAAAATGTGTTATTCTGCCTCATAAAAAACTGACAATGATGGTGCCAGACGTGTTTCCCTGGGGAAAACATTCCACAGATGGGGAGCCACCACCAAGAAGATCGATTCACTTGTGCCCTCGATTGAGGCACACAGAGAAGGTCCTCTGATGAAGATTGTAGGGCCCTTAACTTTTTATAAAGTTGGACTTTTTCCTAATGCAGAATATACCACAAAAAGAAGACGAAGAGGCCTGTAGGTTGCCCCCTTGTTGACCCATTTAACCTACAATTTATTTTACGTTACAGCCTCTTAGGCAGCAGAGCGGACAGAAAGAATGAACGAACAAAGTGCCTCTTACCACCTGACTCTCCTGATGCCTTTGCTGGGTTTTGCTCTACCCCTTCCCTTCCCATTTCACTGGGCTCTGGAGGGCAGCTCACAGGAGCCTCTTCTCTGGTTGCTGCTGCAGTTTTCAGAGTTTTTCCTTCGTTCTCCACAGGTATTGGAGCATCCACGCCCACCTCCAGCACTCGAATGGTCTCATGACCCGACATCACAATCACCTGAAAAGAGACAACAAAGGATAACCTTGTCTAAGGCTCCACTGGGCCAGCGGCAGCTCCTCTCCCCCGCCATTCAGGCACCCCTTTGACAAAAGGGGTCCGTGAGAGGCACATACCTGCTCATTAACTGTCAACGAGGCTTCATGTGGGGGCACGGTGTCGGTGTCCATGATTGGACGCTGGAAGAGATGGTGGCAGCCTTTGGCGGGTCACATACTGCAAAAGGAAGACACAAAGGTCATGGGAGCGTTCGTTGGTCCAAGCCTGGGAGCCACACAGCAAGCCTCCTTTTAATGACTCAGGCCATTGATTCACCTGACGGGCAACATCTCTCCAGGGTCAGAGGCCTCTCCCAGCCCTACTGGGATTGAACCTGGGACCTTGTGAATGCCAAACAGATGAGCTACAGCCCTTGGCACTGAGCTACAGCCCTTTGCACAGCAGTATCTACTTTAGCACAGGGATCCCGGGTGGCGCTGTGGGTTAAACCACAGAGCCTAGGACTTGCTGATCAGAAGGTCGGCAGTTCGAATCCCCGTGACGGGGTGAGCTCCCGTTGTTCGGTCCCAGCTTCTGCTAACCTAGCAGTTCGAAAGCATGTCAAAGTGCAAGTAGATAAATAGGTACCACTCCAGCCGGAAGGTAAACGGCTTTTCCGTGCACTGCTCTGGTTCGCCAGAAGCGGCTTAGTCATGCTGGCTACATGACCCGGAAGCTGTACACCAGCTCCCTCGGCCAGTAAAGCGAGATGAGCGCCGCAACCCCAGAGTCGGCCACGACTGGACCTAATGGTCTGGGGTCCCTTTACCTTTACCTTTTTATCTACGTTAGCCTATTTTCTTCAAGGCACTATAGAAGCCTTTCTTAACCCACCCAAATCTCACTTTCACCAGTTCTTCCTTTGACTCTACCCGACCCTAACCCAACCCTGCTATTTCTAGTTGAATCCCTGGAGGGCAGCTCAAGGGGTTTTTGCTCCCATGGGCATCTTTGCAGGAACTGGGAGCAAAAACCCCTTGAGCTGCCCCCTAACATGTTCCCAAGCTGTGTTTGTCGAACAGAGTACGGGTTTCGTCATGAAAGGGAAGGTGATCCCGTGACAACGGCTCATTACCCCATAGGGGCCAAACCAGGCAAAACAGATCATGTGAACTGATCTAAAGAGGAAGAAGAAGAAGAAGAATCAGGGTTGTCAGACCTTTAACATCTGGGGGTCCAGAAAGTCACAATTCTTTCTGCTATCATCCACATTTCATCTTAAATTTCCTATTTTGGATTATTTTTCCTTGCCATGCTCAATTACTGGATGTGTGTGTGTGTGTGTGTGTGTGGCGGTGGTAGCCTCACTTGTTGACAGGACAAAACAGTGTTCCACTCTTACACGTTTTTCATTACTTCGTTGGGTCACATAATGTCCCTCCACTGCCTTGCGGAAAGGTAATTGCCTTTATAAGAGTCTCATGCATTTTTTATAAGGAGTGTCTCTGTGACGCACTTGGCTTTCCTGGGTGACATTCAAATCTACTTGATGCATGCAGGAAGGAGCTCTTTATTTATGCAGACACATGCAGGAGCCCACAAATTACAGCCACTGAACTGGCCAGAAATTGTGTGCACCTGAAAAAACCTAAAGACCCTTCTGCCATGGCCATCCCCAAGGACTCTGGTGAGGGCAACGAGTGGGAGGAGAGAGGTCGTGGCTCAGAGTCCTCCCGCTCAGAGCCAGATCTTTCCGTTCAGATTCTCCTTCTGGAAGACTCACAGGCCCTCTCCTTCTTGGCTCCGGGGTAGGAGGCAGGCCAAGGTAATGCCAGGGAGGCCCCTTCAATGCCAGACGGAGGGAGGGAGACTCAGCAGTCGGGAAGAGGAAAGTCACCTGTTGCCTCTGAAGCACCGCCATGTCACTTGTTCCGTGTCTCTGATACACAAAATATGAGTATGCTTGGCCGACAAAGCCCGGCAGGGCGAAACAAGGTATTATTCCGGGAATCCTTGTCACGTTTAAGTTCTTTCGTCTGACACCGGCATACAACAACTATATTTTGCAAAGGCACATGATACGATCTTTCATATCCTTTGTCTGATATCTGCATACAACAATCATACTTTGCAAAAGCAGATGTGGAACATTACAAAGAAAAGTTCACCTTTTGCAAGTACTGCTCCTTAAAGTTGTTAGGTTTGACACTTGTATTCGCTAAGACATACGTGGAACAAAAAAAAGCTTTTATTTGGACATTACGTTTAAAACAACGGATTCTTTTATACATACGTGGAACACAAAAGCTTCTATTTGGACATTACATATAGAAGAACTGATCTATTTGTATTTCCTGTTCTAAATGTTGGTCCTTAATTGCTTCTACTCAATTAGGTAATGTGAAAAGAGATATGTTTATATGATGTATAAAGAATTTATATAGTTAAGCACAGCCAGTTACATTGTGGGTATATTTGTTAATTCAATTTACGTAACTATCGGTTTGACAGTGTTGTGTAACCTGTACAGTCGCAGACTGCAACTCCTGATCTTGGAATCACGAACTGCCTTTAGCGGACTATGAAGCTTGAATTGGTTTGCCTTTCCACTGGTACCCAGGGCCATCTTGATTAATTTCTGCTCTTCTCCCATTCCTGAGTTTATACTGTCAGAATAAAGAATAGCTTCTTAACCCCCAAGGAAGCACACCTCTTGCTGTTGTTCTTGAGTGGGAGCCACAGTAATTATTTTATTATTCTTTATTTAACAAAATTTATATGCCGCTTGGTTGCAAGCAGAACCTCTGCCTGGTTTTACTTAGGGGTTCCCATGGGCCGAGCTAGCAGTCACTAAGGTCTGAGTTTTTCCTGTCTTCCAAACCGGCCTTTTCTCCAAGTTTTTCCAAAGTCGTTTGTTATCGTTCTCCACATGGCTACTCTGTTCTCTGCTCACATTGTCCACTCCTTCTCTGGCATCTCAAGGTCAGGTAGCCTTTGTCAACTATGATGCTCTCAGTATACAATTTCCTGTTATGCACATAGCTAAAATTCTTTCTTCCTAAACCTCATTCTCACACAAAGCAAATGAGGAGATAAATGAAACACTATCTGGGCTGTTACATTTCAGACCGTGGGGCACAAACTACATAATGATGCATCTTAAATGAGATGCCAGGGACAAGGTTCCTCTAATCTAGTTGTTTCCCAGGCATGCTTGCTTTTCTATGTACAAGAACGCAGCTGCAGTTGGAAGTGGTCTAATGCAAAAACCCATCTCCCACCTCATCTGCTAATTGCAGGAACCACAATCCAAACATGCAACTTAACATACATCTATAAAACTTCAGTGCCCCTCAAGGTTCAGTCTTCAACCACTTGAGGCGAGCTGTTAACAATGTGCTCTCTCTCTCTCTCTCTCTCTCTCTCTCTGTGTGTGTGTGTGTGTGTGTTTGCGTAAAGTGTATATCTAACCAAGCTGGAATGTGAAAGCAGGAAAATGTGCTTTAATTGCATTTCCTGAAAGACTTCACTGCTCTTTCCCTTTGGACTGAAGGGAGTAGTATATTAGCATATAGCAAAATACTTATCCCATAATCACTATACTTTATAATAGGGTAGGGAGCCTGCAGGCGCTGCAGAAATTGTGGACTCCAGCTCCCATCAGCCCCAGCCAACATGCCCAATGGCCGGGAATTATGGGAGATGTAGTCTAACAACACAGGTTCTTCCTTCCTGCCTTGGTTTTTTTTTACTCAATGTTTATTTAAAGAGGTTTTTTTTATATATATAAAAACAAACCAACCACAAACTAAGTACCCATACACACCACCCTTCCCACCCTATTAAAGCAAACAATAAAGTAAGATAATGGTAGTATAGCGAGTTACAAAAGTGGCAATGGGAAAGCTCAGTCTGTGTTCTCTCAAGTCCCACCTCTGCTTTACGAAACAAAGATTCAATCATAGTTAGCTCAGGACAAAACAGCCTTATTTTGTTTTAATTAATTAAGAGAATCGTTTGCATGACTCTTCCATTATGTATTTATGCTTGCATGTGCATGCTGTTGCAAAGCACAGTGTAGCGTAGCCGTTACAGACGAGGACTTGGGAGACAAGGGTTCAAATCCCCAATCAGCCGTGAAGCTCGCTGGATGCCCTAGGGCCAGTCACTGCCTCTCAGCCTAACCCGCCTCGCAGGGTTGTTGTGGGGGATCAAACTGGGAGGATAAACAGTCCACAGAGAGAACATGGTGTCAGAAGAGTGCCAGACTGCAACCTCCCAAAGCAGCCTTTTCCAACCTTGTGCCCTCCAGATGTTTGGAACTACAACTCTCCATCCCTGGCCATGCTGGCCGGGGATGAAGGGACTTGTCTAGAACATCTGCAAAGCACCAGGTTTCAGAAGGCTGTATTTTAAAAGAAACTCACTGAGGAGGTAGGGCTGGAGACAGCCTTCAAGGCCTTCACCACGACATAAGGATCATTTTTGTGCTACAAGGTGGTTGGAGCATGCTGTCCAAGTCCTGGGAGCTGTCCAAGTCCTGCAGGCCTTGTCTGACTACCAGGTCTTCCTTTTTTCTGCTGCTTGCTGCCTCTGCCAACTCTAGCACAGACCTCTGTACTTACTAACAGTACTTACTTACTAACTGCTCTATGCCTTCAAATGGCCAAGATGGAACACTGGGAACTGTAGTCTGGTGCTGATAATTTGAGAAGCAACCCGTAGCCCTGTTCAGAACTATATCTCCCAGGTTTCCCTTGGGAGATGAGATGGCTAAGGACTTAAATGGTCTAATGATGTATATATGCCTGGGGGAGGTGTGCGGATATAAAAAGATGCACCTGTTCCCCCTTGGGGAAGTTTCTCTCTGCACGGAGCTTTGGTAACAAAGGCCTTTGGAGAGCCACTTTTAGAACCTCAGATTCCTGATCACGAAAGCGATTGTGGGAGCCTGAAGATAGCCACAGTACGACAGCGTTCATGCTAAGATATTTATAATCTTGTAAAAAAAGACTCAGATCTTCTCAGGCCCTCCCCGTGGGACAGAGTCAAGTGGAGAGCTATTTTTCGACGCTGTGCAAAGACCAATTAGCAAGAGAGGCTATTAAAATAGGCATTTCATAATGTCAAGCTCTGTGTGCATGTTCTCGCGAGTGGGCTGGATCTCATTTAGCACACATTCCGCTGGCTTGTAGTAGCATTTTTGTTTTGCTTCTTCACACATTTTCACAATTAATGGGACAAATAATTTTGCCCAGATGGCAATGCAAAGTGCACACCGAAAGAGAAGCAGCCATTTCGCAGCAGATGGTGACAAAGAAATGAAATGCGCAAAAATGGGGGGAAAGGGAAGAGGGCGATTTGCAACACCCCGAGCCCCACAGTGAATAGAATTACCATGTTTAATTACAAATGCCGATGAGTCAGAAATATAACTGTCCCAGATACTATTCCAAAGGGAATCTTATCCTGAACACGCCACAGGTAAGAAGCACAGAGCCTGCAGAGATGCCCTCACTTACCATCAGAAAACTGTCGGGATTTAACCAGCGCCCCAGATCTCTCGTTTAAATCCCAAGAGAACTGGCCAACTTCTGTAAGCAGACTGCAGGCCTGCGTCTGTTGCTGCGTAGGGACGTTTCTTAAGACAGGAGGTAGATGAAAGTGGTTTGAGAAAAGCATAGCTCCCTATCATTGCTTCCCCCCTCCCCTTTTGTTCATGGAAGCAATGCAAAAACCCACAACGCCATAGCTGTCAACTTACAGATTTGAAAATAAGGGACCAGCAGCCTTGAAAATAAGGGACCAGCAGCCAAAATAAGGGACCTGCAGCCTCACCTGTTCCAGGCACTCCAGTCTTCCTGTCCTCCTGCAGTCTGGTCAAACTCATGCTAGTAGTGTCAAGAACACTGTCCAACCAACTTTGTAACCAGAGGTTCAACTGAATAGAATCTGAATCACATGCACCACAAGGCCTATGCAGCCTCAGCTTAAGATGGCTCCCTGGCCTGGCTTTGCACTGCAAAGTTTGCAGCAGCACGTGCAACAAAATGGCGTCCAGCATTCAAAAACCCCCTCAGCTTGCATTAACTAGCCACACACAAGGCATGCAAGCTCCATCCCCCAGTCGTTCTTAGACTTCTTTTTTTTCCCCCTTGGCAAACAATAAAACATCTATTGGTCTTAACACTAAAGACCCAACTTCCCGTCTATTCCATATTTCAAATTCATATTACTTATTGCCAATACACTTTTTTTTCATAATTAAACTTATTCTCAATAAATCTAATTTCTTCTATCTACCTAGCAACTATTACTGAAGTTCCTCAAATGCTGCAACAGAATTTAAACTACTAATTTATTTTTCAGATATTCTTTGAAAACCTCCCATTTAGAAACAAATTCCTGTTTTGATTTATTCTTTATTTTTTCTGATAAACCATCTAATTCGGCATATTCTGTCAGCTTTTGGATCCAATCTTGTATAGAGGGGATTTCATTACTCTTCCATTTTGCTGCGATCAAAACTCTTGCTGCCGCCGTCGCATATAAAAAGATACCCTTCCTCTTTTGTGGAATATCCAAATCTGTTATTCCCAGGAGGTAGGCCTCTGGTTTTTTATTGAAAGAGATCTTTAGCATTTTTTTGCAGTTCTGCATGTATACTCTCCCAGAATACCTGTATTTTCCTACATGTCCACCACATATGGTAGAATGTTCCTGAGTCTCCGCATCTCCAACAATTACTTGACACATTTTTATACATTTTTGAAAGTTTCCATGGTGTTAGATACCATCGATGTTGCATTTTTTGAAAGTTCTCTCTAATCGTGTAACAGTTTGTGAATTTCCAATTGATCTTCCATAAATTTTCCCATTGGGCCATGGTTATTGAATGGCCAAAATCCTGGGACCACCTCACCATTGCCACTGTTACCTCCTCCTCCTTGACTGTCCAGTCAAGGAGGCGTCGGTAAGTTTTGGAAAGAGTTTTTCTTTTAGAATTTACAAGATCAGATTCGAATCGGGAAATTTCTACTGAGAACCCCTTTTGTTTGTCAGATTTAAATTTTTCAAATAACTGATGGTATTGGAACCAGTCTGAAATGTGTTCTCTTATTTCCTCAAATTTTTTAAATTTTATTTGGTTATCTTCATTTTTTAGAAGTATTAGACTTCTTATTGGGTGAGCAACACAGCCAAGCAACACAGTTGGAGCCTCCTCCTTTCTCTCTTTCAGGCCACCTTGAACACACTCTCCAGTTGATGGGTCACATTATTGCAAATCGTGTACCTAGTTGGGAGTTGGGGGTGGGGGTAGAAAAGCGGATGATACAAGTTGGAAGTGCAAATAAGCTTGTGCTTCTGAAGTTCTGGTTCTCAGTTTGCATTTCTTAGTGCAGAAAGTATTGGTCTCATGTGTAAAGATCTTTCCTATTCTTTCCTATTCTGATTAATTCTAGAAACTACTAGAAGCATCTCTGTGTGAGAGAAGGAGAGGCAGCAATGTTAACAATTCTTTGGGTTATACCTTCTGGGAAGCTGCTTTGAACTAGTTCTCTTATCTCTATTCTGCAGAGTCATGCTGACTAGAAATATAGGCCAAAAGGAGCCTGGGTCTTAATTTTCTTTTTCTCTCTCTTCCTTCTGGTGTGGTGTTTCTTAGTGCTAAGGTTTAGTCTTATTACGAGTTAAGTTTATAAACGCTGCAATTGGATTTTGTATGGACTTAGCCAATCCTGACTGTATTGGATTTGATAACCATTACGCAGCATTTGCCTTCAGCACAAGTATAGCTCTGCTTAATGAAGTACAGTGGTACTTTGGGTTACATACGCTTCAGGTTACAGACGTTTCAGGTTACAGACTCCACTAACCTAGAAATAGTACCTCGGGTTAAGAACTTTGCTTCAGGATGAGAACAGAAATCGTGCGGTGGCGGCATGGCAGTAGCAGGAGGCCCCATGAGCTAAAGTGGTGCTTCAGGTTAAGAACAGTTTCACGTTAAGAACAGACCTCTGGAACGAATTAAGTACTTAACCCGAGGTACCACTGTACTATTGCCTCTTGTCTATTTTTGGGAACTCTGCAACGTGTTTAAGGTTTTCCTCCAAACGTATGACAACGTAGAATCATAGAATCATAGAGTTGGAAGAGACCACAAGGGCCATCGAGTCCAACCCCCTGCCAAGCAGGAAACACCATCAGAGCACTCCTGACATATGGTTGTCAAGCCTCTGCTTAAAGACCTCCAAAGAAGGAGACTCCACCACACTCCTTGGCAGCAAATTCCACTGTCGAACAGCTCTTACTGTCAGGAAGTTCTTCCTAATGTTTAGGTGGAATCTTCTTTCTTGTAGTTTGGATCCATTGCTCCATGTCCGCTTCTCTGGAGCAGCAGTATGACACTGATGTGTGAAAATAAGAACTCTAGGTGCTCCCCACAAAGGAGCGAAAAAGTTTTCTCTTTGCACAATACACAGGAATGCACTGCAAGGATGTCCCTTGCCCCTCCTTTCTTGTCTTTTCTGCGTAACACCTGAAGCCATTCTTAGTTGACAGCATGTAGAAGCAGAGTCCCCCACAGCAACTGATTATTGGGGTTCAAGCATGCCAGAAGTCTTGAACTCATTGGTATCAGGTGGGATTCAACGCATTCGCCACTACGCTGCTCTGGCCAATACAAGATCACTAGCCAGGAATGAGTGGAATGTCATGAAATTCTACTCAGTATTGATCCAGAGCAGATTCCAACGTATAGCTAGCAGAGTAAAAACTTAAACACATTGCAGGATTCCCAAAAAAATAGATCAGAGGCCTATTTCATTCAGCAGAGTTTTTCTGCTACTGAAGGCAAATGAGCATAATGGTCACAAATCCAATACATTCAGGATTGGCACTGTCCATAAGAAATCCAGTTGCAGTAAGTTTAAACTTACAATAACTTATAAGAAGTCTAAACTTTAACACTAAGCATACTAGGTACAAAACATCACACCAGAAGGAAAAGAGACAGAGAATGTGAAACCCAGACTACTTCTGGCCTTACTTTTATAGTCAGCATGACCTTGACTGAAGAGATAAGAGAACCAGTTTAAGTCAGCTGTACCCAGCTTCTCTGAAGATATAACCCAAACATCATGAACCTTCTGCTTCTTTCTTTCACACAGAGCTTCCAGAACCCTCTTGAATTAATTACACACCAAATCAATACTTTCTGTACCAAGAAATGCAAACCGACATGGAAGTGCTTTGAAGAGTATCTTAGAGGATATAATACTCCATTTAACCTACAAGTAGGAATGAACATATGAGCAGCAGATAACATTAAATAAAGGAAGATTTGAGACGAAAATGGGCTGGAATAATAGAATAGGAGGCTAGCGAAAGATTACCTAGAATGCCACGGAGAGATGAACTGGGATGTCTGCGGATAAGAGATAATGATGAATATTGTATGAAGTATATATAAGTTGTAAAAATGCATAAATAAAATTATAAAAAAGGTCACTAGCCAGGAATAAGTCAAGCTGGTTCATGTGATAAGGCAACATCAACAGATTTTATATATGTATATAGTTTTAATTCTATCCATGTTTAATTGTATTCCAACAATTGATTTTTCTATGATTTTAGTGGTTCTTGTTTTTATCTGTAACGTACCTTGAGTCCCATCAGGGAAAAAGCTGGGGTATAAATAAATATATAATGATAAAATAATAATAATAAATACAAGTTCCCTGAGCATGCTCACTTTGATTTAAGCAACAAGGAGACTCATCTTGTCTCTTTCTTTTCCCCGAATTCTTGCCCTTTCTAACCTTTGCTTACATGGCAGGTGACTTCAGGACTTTGATTTACGGCTGCCTTGGGCTGGGCACTGCAGTCTCAAAATTAGAGGTCTCTGGGTTCTTAATTGAAGAAACATGGAGCCAGCTGGATAAAAGAATACTTATGCGGATGTTTCTGGAATATTATTTGTACTATAGCTGGAAACTTTTGTCAATTGGGTTGGTTTCAGCTGATTAACTATTGGGTTAACCCATAGCTGTCAACTTACAGATTTGAAAATAAGGGACCAGCAGCCACAAAAATAAGGGATCAGCAGCCAAAATAAGGGATTTTCCAAGCACAGGTATGTTCAACTTCTGAGCCCCTCCAAGCCAAAGGCAGAAAGCCCAGCCAGCAGCCAAACGAAGCCTCAAGCGGTGGTTCCCACAGCGCAGCAATCCGGCAAAGGGGATGCAGCAAGGAAAATCACCGTAACCTCTCCGCTGGGAAGCGCTGAGCAAAGGTGAGTCCCCAGACAAAGGAGCCGATTTGATCGGCACAAGGCATGCAAGCTCCACCCCCCAGTCGTTCTTAAGACTCCTTATTGGGTGAGCAACGCAGCCAAGCAACACAGTTGGAGCCTCCCTCCTCCCTGGCCGGCAGGGAGGGAGGGAGAGGAGCTGCTTCCTTTGAAATCCGGGAAATTTAAGGGACATAATCAATAAGGGACAGCAGCGGGACGCGGCGCTGGGATAAGGGACTTTTCCGCCAAATAAGAGACAGTTGACAGCTATGGGTTAACCTTTCAATCAGAGAGACTGAGACAAAAAAAAGAGCACTTGTCAGTTTATGGAACTCTCCATCTACAAGTGCCCCAAATTCCAAATTACCAAACATTGTCAGCTACTTGTGAGTAGGCTTGGAGGGAGGTAAAGGATGACGAAGTATACTATACACCCCGGCAAAATAACATGATTGGAGTCCAGAACGCAGCTTGCGGGGCGGGCGGGGAAGCTCAAGGTAGAACTATGTTATGTCTGGCTGTAAAAACAGTCAGAACAGATTGGAAACCTGGCGAGTTCTCCGACTGCAGTCTTTCGATCCTATCTGGCTACTGGCCTCAATATTTTCCATTTCTAATCTCATTCAAGATGACTCATCCTCATTCCTGGAAAGTCTGCGCCAGGATGGGCCAGCTAACAAAGGCCTTTATTGGCTGATTTTCTTAAAACACATTGACAAAACATAAGGGCAGATACCACGGCATTTGTTAAAAGCGGTTGGAGAGGAGTGGGGAAGGAATTGCAGCCCAAAGCTATAAAGTAATCTGTCATCAGATCTGGCTGTTTGGCCGACTATCCGGCTGTTCCTAAAACAAAGCAGAGTGGCTAATAATAGCCTTGCTCTGAACCCCGACATATATAGAAGGAAGGAAAGCTGCCGGCAGAAGGGTGCTTGACTTGTAGCTGAGCATTAGCTACGGGAGCAATAGTCCATATTTGCAAATAAATAAATAAATGCAAGCTTTGCCAGGAAAAGGTAGTAGCTGATATATTCCTACTTGCCGAGCTATATGATGGCGCTGGAAGATAGCTTGCTCATTCCTTCCTGGCCTTGAGTTGTAATTAAAAATAAATAAATCCCACATCTATTCAATGGCATTGTTTTCCATTATAGCCATGACTTTTCCATCTCTTTATCACGTTAAGGGGAGAAGCAACCCAAATAACTCAGCGAGTTACGGTTGCTGAGGAAACAAGTTCAGGTCTGAGCTGAACTTTGAATGAGATGAGCACACCTAGAGAGACAACCCTGGAGAATAATCCTTGGGACTTGGGAACCCCATTTTAAGGAGCTTGGAACCCGGGCCTAAATATGTTCAATTTTGTAGCCGCACATTCTTTCATTAGAGCTTTAAAAGATTGCACACACCCTCCCTTCATTTAAATACATTTTGCAGAATTTAATTTTTTCTGGTGGTGGTGGTACAATCGTCAAATGAAAACAGAGCTGCGATTGACTAATCACTGGTTCCCAGATCACCAGGGAACCCAGTTGCATTCAGCATGTATGTGTTTTTTGGGGTGGAGGGTGGGGAGGAGGACAATATGTTTCTTAGCCCTGGCCAGGTGGCAGTCTGGTGGGTCTACCATCTGCCCATGCTGTGGCCTGAGTGCCATTCCAGGAGCCAATTAACTAAGCTGGTTGGTCATGGGGGAGGGAGAACTTTTCCCCTCCAGTTGACTCGTCACCATCAAGAGGTTCTAGCCCAGGTTTCAGCACAGCCATTCCCTTCATGTCTCCCACCTGCCCTTATTTCATGCATTTATCACCTTGTCCCAAATAGAAGTTAGCAGCTTGCAACTGGGGCTGGGAAGGAATCTTACCTACAACTCACAACTGGCTTTAGTATCATGGGATGTTGGCCTTCCTCATAACAGCTAATCTTACTTCTATTCGGAGTAAGCCTATTGAAGATTATGGACACAACTCGCTTAGGTCCATTCATTTCAATGGGTCTATGCTGAAGAGAGCTTAGTTGGATACAACCCAGCGGTCTTTTGGAAGGGGGATCAATTATGTCTCACAATACCATCATTCCATTCTGGATGGTACTGGGGACACTGAGCAGGATCCATAGCCAGGGTGGGTGAGGAGGGGGACTCCTCACTCCACAGTATGGACCCCTAAAATGCCCATGGAATGTCACCTCACATCTGCCCATGATGCCAACCCACACCATACGGGGCCTTTCTCCCCCAAAATGTTGTCCATCATGTGGGCTGCATGGATTCATCGATGAGCAGCTAGGCTTTTGGATGCCTGAACCCTTCCCTTTGTTATTGTTGTTTAGTCGTGTCCGACTCTTCGTGACCCCATGGACCAGAGCACGCCAGGCACGCCTGTCTTCCACCGCCTCCCGCAGCTTGGTCAAACTCATGTTCGTAGCTTCGAGAACACTGTCCAACCATCTTGTCCTCTGTCGTCCCCTTCTCCTTATGCCCTCAATCTTTCCCAACAACAGGGGCTTTTCCAGGGAGTCTTCTCTTCTCATGAGGCGGCCAAAGTATTGGAGCCTCAGCTTCAGGATCTGTCCTTCCAGTGAGCACTCAGGGCTGATTTCCTTCAGAATGGAGAGGTTTGATCTTCTTGCAGTCCATGGGACTCTCAAGAGTCTCCTCCAGCACCAGAATTCAAAAGCATCAATTCTTCGGCAACCAGCCTTCTTTATGGTCCAGCTCTCACTTCCAAACATCACTACTGGGAAAACTATAGCTTTAACTATACAGACCTTTGTTGGCAAGGTGATGTCTCTGCTTTTTAAGATGCTGTCTAGGTTTGCCTTCCCTTACACCATGCCAAACCCAGCAATCCATAAAACTGTCGCCATTTAACTACGTTTCTATCCTGCCCTTCCTCCCAGAGTAGCCTGTATTTCAGCACGGTTCTTGCTCCCCTGCTATACGCAATAAGCACAATTAACAAGGCCATGAGAAAATTACCGTATTTTTTGCCGTATAGGACGCACTGGCCCATAGGACGCACCTAGTTTTTTTTGGGGGGGGGGAATAAAGAAAAAAAATTATCCCCCCCCCCCCAGCCGCGGCTTCAGCGCGCCCCGTGCTCCGGGCAGCAGGCTGCTATCCGTAGCCTAGGGAGCCCTGTGGGAACTCCCGCGGGCTCCCCAGGCTTGCTGATAGCTTCCTGAACCCTGGAGAGCAAGAGGGGTCGGTGCGCACCGACCCCTCTCGCTCTCCAAGCTTCAACGAAAGCCTGCATTCGCCCCTTAGGGCGCACACAGATTTCCCCTTCATTTTTGGAGGGGAAAAAGTGCGTCCTATAGGGCGAAAAATACGGTAACAAAGTCAACTTGACCATCCTATCTGAACATGGATCTCCCAAGATCCTGTCCCAGCACTGTCTTCTGACTATCCGTGGGTTTCAAGCTTATAGCAGAAACATATCACGTTCACTTAAGTTTCTCTTCCTATAAAGATGAGGACTACAGATGTTTTAAAAAGCAATCCATGCTGAAGCTCTTAGCATTCTGGATTCCAACTGGAAACCAAACTCTGTGGGTGTGTGGTGCCCCTTCATGTAAGCTAACAAACAAGTCAGCTAACTCTAGTCTCCCAAACTAGGAAACTATATTTAATGAAGCCACAGTTTGAAGTTGGCTTAATAACGTCTTGTTCCAAAGCCATTAAACAGTTTCTTGGTTTAGACAAAACAGGAAGATACAGTTAACTGAAGACTTCCTGTCTTCATTTGCAAAGACAGCCCCTTTCCGCTAGTGAGCAGCCACAAGGCTCATTTATATCTTGGCTTATTAAGCTGAGTTTTAATTGTCCAAGGGTGGCCAATATTTCTCAACAAATTAGCCATCAGGTGTTTTTGTTATTTTTTAAAAAATCTTGCTACATCCATAGATTAGCTAACTAATGAAAATATGTTTGTGTTACTACCAACACTGTGATTCTTTTCTGCACTATGTTGCTTTTTTCATTTCCTTCTGAAATTCTCCTCGACATTCCTGTCTTGCGTATATAGGTTTGCAGATTCAGAACTATACATCATGCATTTGGTAAACCTGCCTGGGGCACACGAAAGCTCATGCCATGACAATTTTTAAGGTGACACGGGACTTTTTTGGTTTTGCTTACCATCATTTCAAGTTAGTACCAATACATTAAAACATCAAAAAGCTGTGCAACCTTTTGGGAGGCAGAGACCTGAGAGGGCATCAGAGGAGGGAGGGAAGGAAAGAGGGACAGAGGCCAGGGTTGCCTGCAGCATCCCTGGCCATCATTCAAGGCACCCCAGGGTGCCACAACACACTGGTCGAAAACCACTCCATTAATGAAAAATGACAGAGGGAGAGCCACATTTGCCTCTTGAAGCAAAAACAACCAGAGGGTCTTGAGGCAGCTTAAAGACGAACAAATTTATTATGGTGTGGGTTTTCGTGGATTTAAGCTCACTGCATCAGATGCGTGAACTGAAATCTTAGTTGGCGGGTCCAAAAAGGAGACAAATATAAGGTGGGGATTGAATGGCAATGAAATGCAAAGGTGTCAGTTAAGTGCTTCAGAATATATTCTAAAGAGGCACGACTTTCGCTTTTTGCATCAGCAGATTGGTAGGAATTGCTGAAATTATATTAACACCTATAGAGAGGTAGAGAAGCATTTCCCAACCTTGGGCCTCCAGCTGTTTTTGGACTACAACTCCCATAATCCTCAGCTAGCAAGACCAGTGGTCAGGGATGATGGGAATTGTAGTTCGAAAACAGCTGGAGGCCCAAGGTTGGGAAACACTGAGGTAGAGAACCATTCACAAGAAACAGCCACAGACAGCACAGGTACCCTGGCTGGGCTAATGAACATCCTTTGTCTTCATTTAACCCACACGGTATAGCACTGAACTTCCTGCTGAATTGTGATTCAGCTGTTTCTTCTTTTGACGTCCCTGTGTTTCAGAATGGCCGCCTTTAGGTCAGTAACAGTGTGTTCTGGGAGGCTGAAACATCCTCACTGGTTTATTGGTATTGTCACTTTCTGATGTCAGATTTGCACCTATCTATTATTTTGCCTAGAATAAAGACTGATCTCTCGGACCTATTAGTAATATGGGGCAGGAAACGCTCCAGTGCTTTATTTTCCCATGGATTTTTTTGTGTGTGTGTGTTTCATAAGTTTGTTAGGAAAAATGAATGGATGCCAATGGCAAATAAATATTATGCAAGCTTGGCATTTTCAAAGTTTTCACTTTGCTTACTAAATACAAGTAAAAGATGCAGAATTAAGTCACTCTCCAGGTCATCAGCAAATTTCTCTAAGCAAACTGAACATTTCCCCTAATTTGCATAAGGTATTTTATGCTGGAAAATTTACACCACTAAACAGAATGCAGTAGGGCATTGTTAACAGATGATAGCATAAATCACATTGGAATAGAGGATGAATGAGCCCATGATACTTTGGATTACATTATCAAGTCTTGTAAAAGCATGCCAGAATGGACATGGGGTGGGGCAGATTAGGTACCTGGCTCTGTCACAGGATCTGTTTCCTGTGCCCAAAATTTTGTTAGCTGGTTGTTGCTGATGCAGAGTTTTAGGTTGGGTGCTGTCTGGAAGCAACTACAAGCCAGTGACTTCCAAGGCCTGTGACAGGGAAGTGCCATTGTCCAGGAAGGGCTCTCAGCTGAGAAATAAGTGACAGCAAGCGGTGGCCTGTCATTTTCTCTTCTAAGCCTGCCCTGTAGATTGTTCCTGGGTACCATTATGGCCTTGTTGATGCATTATTTTACTTCATTGTGTAGGTATCGTAGTCTCAAATGAAATTCTTAAGTAGTCTGTCTGATGACCCTGAACAGATGTGGTTGTATCATAGGGCTTAGCTGTAGACAATGGACTCATGGTATGTCCTGGGTGGAAGCTGGAGGCATGAAAGCACATTTAGCAACCAACACTTCCTATGAAACATGGTTCTAATGTGTCCATTGTGCAGTTGTACAGTAGTATACAAAAATATACCTCTTGCATAGATTGTAGTCTAATGTTGATAGTGGACGGGCAAGTTACTGGGCTGTATCCAACTAAGTTCTACTCAAATCCATGGAAATTAATGGACCTAAGTTAGACAATTCTATTATTCTATGTCCATTCATTTCAATAAGCCTACTCTGAGGATAATGAACACTGGAACAACCCAGTGTAGTGGCAAGTTCGTACTGTCCATGAGTCCGTATGACAAAGATGCCATCAGCGTATTTCACATAGAAGAGAGGCTTTTGGGAATAGGAGTTGAGAAAGCATTGTTTTAAGTGAGTCTTCAAGATGCTAGCACACTGTGGAGCCAAGCAGGTACTCATGCCAGCACCATCAATCTGAATACACATGTTTTCCTCAAAGCGGAAGTAATTATGGGTAAGTACAAAGCGGCCAACTTTGGTAGCCATGTAGTTCCATCTTTGTGGAAGAGGATTCTGGTGTAAAGGGTGGTCTCAATGCAAATGCCAACTAGGGTGGAGATTGTCAAAAGATTGCCATTTTCTCAGAAAGTCGGTGGAGTTGATGTGCCTATTTGGGCCATATGAACTTCAGAATTGGACTATGAATTAATGGTGCTCAGCATATAAGGAATACAAACTGGAACACATTATATGAAAATAGGTTCCAATGAAGTGGGAATTACAGCTGTACTATGTGGTTGTTAACTGCCCTGAAACTGGTGGCAGAGGAAGAATACAAACCGGCTTAAAATAATTCTGTAACATAGAGGTTGGGAAGCAGATGTTGTTGGAATACAACTCCCATGATCCCTGGCTGTTGGTTGAGGCTCTTGGGAGTTGAAATCAAACAACACCCGGAGAGCCACAGGTCGCTCCTCCCTGTTGTGATTCTTGCGTAGTATTGTTTAATAAAAGAGCAGAATTCCATTATTTCTGTTGTAAAATAATGTAAAAGGGGGGGAGCAAAGTGTAGTCATTTACCCGGCTTCTGTCTTTCAGCAAGGCAGAAAGCACTGGCATAAAATCTCAAGTGTCTTTACAGATTTATTTTTCACTTCTCAGCAGATGCCTACTGCACAAGAGTGGTTAAAAGAGTGGAATGGGACACATTTGCAATGGTAATTTTATGAAAAGGCACCTGTTTCGTTCTGATTATTTCAGGCGCAACAATGTTAGTTCACTTTTGCAGCAAAACGTGAAAAAGTAGTGTTGAGATAAAAGCTATTTCTTGATCTCTGGAGGCAAGGGGAAACAGAGGGGGGTGGGGGAGAGAGATAATGCTCCCAGCACAGAAGGGAAGACAACATGTTAATATATCATAAAATTAAATGAGGGTAATATATTCACTTTCCAGGCTACAGGAGGGAGAAGGTGGAGCTTAGTGTGCCATCAATGATTAAAAGGTTTTGAATGTCAGTATGCAAATGTGCTGCAACTTTCATTTCCTCCTATGTAAATGATCGAAATGTTTCTGAAGTGAAATCTTGTTCCATTTAATGGTGTTTTGAATATGCATTTTTCCAAAGGCATACAAACACAAGGCTCACAGGACCCCTTCTCCTTTACAAAGGCATATAGATCAGAGAATAACTACGCTACGACTTAGTTTTCTGTACAACTAGCTTTTAAAAGTTAACCCTACTGACACAGGAGTTGATTTTAGATAGCAATCTTGCCCCACGGCCGTGAGCAGAATATAAAAGGGGTGTGTAGCCGCTGATCCTGTCCAACAGAGAATAAACATCCCATTGTGAAGCAGGCCTAATCTCAGCACCAAAGACAGTTACAGTGCCAGAGCTCAAGGCAGAAGGGCCGTTTCTCACCCTTCAGAGCTGAACTCTTCCCTCCCAACTTCTCCCTTTCCCTCACTAATAACGTATTTTAAAGGATGGAAGAGTTTACTTTTGAGCTTCTGCTGCTACTAGTGGAAAGGGAGACAGCTGGATCAGTTAGTTCAAAAATGAATCCAGACGTCTTTACGTATTATCCACAGAACCTCCCCAAACTGGAAGTGGATGTTTATTTATTTCATTTGAATCCTGCCTTTTCTCCATAGAGCTCAAGTCAATTAACATACTAGCGCCCCCCCCCCCCATTTTATCCGTACAACAATCCTGTGAAGTAGGTTAATGACTGGCCCAAGGTCACCAGTGAGTTTCATTGTTCTGGGGATCTGAACTGAGGTCTCCCCTGCCATCAGCATCACAACAGCAAGTGCCCTGGGCAGGGATGGCCACAATCATCTTCCGTCACCCTGTGATGTCTTTGCATGGCACAAACACTTCTATTAAAAGAGTTATATTCAGACAAGCAACAGTATTGTAATGGAATGTAGACTGAATAGCTGCCGGAAGAGATGGGCATGCAGTAAAGTACGCACCTCACAAAACTTGGTCCTTCACTACACCATCACTGTGGGTAAAAGCCTCAGCGCCTAGGAGTTGCCGATCGAAAGGTCGGCGGTTCGAATCCCCGCGGCGGGGTGCGCTCCCGTCGCTCGGTCCCAGCGCCTGCCAACCTAGCAGTTCGAAAGCACCCCCGGGTGCAAGTAGATAAATAGGGACCGCTTACTAGCGGGAAGGTAAACGGCGTTCTGTGTGCTGCGCTGGCTCGCCAGATGCAGCTTGTCACGCTGGCCACGTGACCCGGAAGTGTCTGCGGACAGCGCTGGCTCCCGGCCTCTAGAGTGAGGTGAGGGCACAACCCTAGAGTCTGTCAAGACTGGCCCGTACGGGCAGGGGTACCTTTACCTTTACCTTACACCATCACAAAGGTGCCAAATGAGGCTTTAAAAGGTAAAGGATCCCTGACAGTTAAGTCCAGTCGTGAACGACTCTGGTGTTGCGGCGCTCATCTCGCTTTACTGGCCGAGGGAGCCGATTTTTGTCCGCAGACAGTTTTTCCGGGTCATGTGGCCAGCATGACTAAGCCGCTTCTGACGAAATCAGAGCAGCGAATGGAAACACCATTTACCTTTCCCACCAGAGTGGTACCTATTTATCTACTTGCACTCTGACGTGTTTCCGAACTGCTAGGTTGACAGGAGCTGGGACAGCTCACCCCGTCTTGGGGATTTGAACCACCGACCTTCCGATCGGCAAGCCCTAGGCTCAGTGGTTTAAACCACAGCGCCACCCATGCAGCAAATGGGACAATTAAAAGGCAACATAAACAGACCTGCGGTTGTGCACATAGGCTTGAGGGAAGCTACAGCACTGCCTTCCCATCAAAAGCAGAAGTTTTTGCTCACCTCTCAGTATTTGTTACATGCACAAACCAAACTGTGGGCAGTTTAGAGGTTTAGAGGTACTGATCCATTTAGCTCAGTAAAGTCTGTAGATAATTGGAATGATGACACTTGGCTTCAAATCACTACTCAGCCATGAAACACCCTGAGTCAGTTGAAGTTCCCGAATTTTTAACCTAAACTTTTAGGTTTAGGCAAGAGGAACATGTATGCCTCCCTGAGCTCCTTGGAACTGCAGGATGAAAATGTTATTTAGGAATACACTGGGCAATGATTATCCAAGTCTCACAGAGCAGACCCTTGCGGCTGCATTACCTAACATCCTTTTAAAGCTTTTCCCATCTATGCGGTGTCTTGAGCTAAACTCCAGCAGTGTCAGGGGCTAAACTTCAGTCATAATACTTACATGTAAAGCATATGCTCATCTGGTGAGTCACTTCCAAATCCATGTACACGTGACCAAAATAACCACAACCACCAAACACTAGGTCAAATACAACCGGTGGCCTGTACACTGTAACAGTGAACACATCTTTGCCTACATGGAGATTATATTTGAGCCGCAGTTGAATCAACCTTTATACAAAAAGACACACAAGCAGCGGTTGCCATAGCCAACTGTTTTATTAGCCTCGAGGCATATTCAGCCCCATTTGCGCAGCAAAGTTATTTCTTTCTTTTCACAAGGCCCCCTTGCTTCCTATCAGTGTTGAGACCTCACAGAGTTGGTAAAGCTGTGTCCCATTTCACACTGCAAGCAGAGGCTGACATGCCTGAAAACACCATCATAATCCTCACTTCTGGCATCTAGATTTCGATGCGGAGATTATTTCTCTTTTTAAGTACAAAGGAACATTAATTCAAGACAGCCCACACTTGTGGTTTGAAATGGTACAGCTCAGAGATAGCTTTGCAACCTCAGTGTGAACTAGTCCTTGTTTTGGCCAGTCCTACTTGTGAGATTCTGGTTAGCCACTGTGGGAACAGGACGCTGGACTAGATAAGCCTTTGGGTCTGACCCATCAGAGCTCTTCTGCTGTTCTTGTGTTCAATTTGTAAAATTTGTAAAAGTGGAGAAAGAGGAGGAGAGAGGAAGTACCAAAGGTCAAGCTGTCCTTAATGTCCTCTGACCTTCACTCTCCAGCCCTTATTCCTTGAAATGAGGGGTGTGTGTGAGAGATGTGGTGTTAGTTAGAGATCCATGATCAGATCTTGTTGTACTTAAAAGAGAGAGAGACTTAAAAGCAGCCATGGAGGAAGGGGCCAAATTGAAAGGTGTTGGGAGAGGGCTGAGATCTAAGCCTTCAATTCTCCAGTTTCAACAAGTTACACTGAAGCTACCATTAGCCATTCAACTGGGAGAGGAAGCTGGGGAGAATATTAGTAGTAGTAGTAGTAGTAGTAGTAGTACACTACCTTTCAGTGGAACATCACGGGGTGGTTCACATCAGAAAAATACAGAACGAGAACACAAAATACATAAAAAAAACCCAAATCAATAACTCTCCTTCCACACATTTAAAAAGCCATAGCATGTTAATCAGCCAAAGGCCTGGTTATAGAGAAATGTTTTTGCCTGGCGCCTACAGATATGTAACGAAGGCTCCAGATGAGCCTCCATAGGGAGAGCACCCCACAAACGGGGAGCCACCACAGAAAAGGCCCCTTCTCATGTTGCACCCTCCGGACCTCTCATGGAGGAGGCACACGAAGAAGGGCCTCAGGTGACGACCGCAGGTCGGTTTATTTGGCGGTCTGTGATGTATTCCAATCCTCAGCCATTTGAGTCTTTATAGGTCAAGGCCAGCACTTTGAATTGGGACCCAAAACTAACTGGCAGCCAGGGCAGTTGGCACGGGATGGGCATTATATGCTCAAACTGCCTTGCCCCATAAGCAACCTGGGCTGCCAAATTCTGCATTTCCAGTGGTCAGATTAAAAGGGAAAATATCTACTTCTTTTGAAGCCCTAAAAAACAAGGGAGAGACCCGCTTGGCCTGTGGTAGCAAGGAAGCCATGCCCGACATTGCATAGAAAAATGCGCTGCCCTTCCCACCTCACCCAATTTTGGCCGCCCTGTCGACAAACTCCGCCGCCCGCCAGGTCCGCCTTCCCGCTCACAAGACCCACCTAGATACCTGCCGCGTCGGAGGGCGACATTTCGCGAAGTCCTGAGGAAGCTCCGAAAGTGCCGCCCGGCTTCGCTGCGCCCCGGACTCGACGCCAGCCGCTCCCCGAGGCGCCCTCGCCTTCCTCGGGCATCGGGGGCTGAGCTCCGGCGGGGCCGAGAGGCTCCGGGGCTCACGCCCAACGCTGCCCGGCTTCCTCTCTCCGTTTCCCGCTCGCGCCCAACTGCCGGCGGCGCCTCCGAAGCCGAGCGCACCGCTTCTCCCCGGGGTGCCGGGTTCAGCCCCCCCCCCGCACCTGGAGCCTCTTCCTCGCGGGCCGCCCCACACGCCCCCGGGACCCCCTTTCCCTGCGAGCCCCTCCTCGTGCTCAGCCCCAGCTTCAGAGGGGGCGCCCTCGGCCCCCTCCTCGAGTCCCCCTTCCTCTCCCCTCACAGCCCGGGGTGCTCCCCCCTCCGACTCCTTCGCGTGGGGACCCAGCACCCCACTGCTCCCCCCAACCCAGGCCCCCTCTTTCCCCGCGGGGGCTCCCCAAGCAGCCTCGCCCTCCTTCGCGCTCGCCTCTGGTCCACTTAGGATGCTGGGTCCGTTCCTTAAGTTTGCATACCGCCCTTCGCCCGAGCAGGGCGGCTTGCAGCACCAAAACGCCAAAGAGACCCCCTTTGCCCTCTGCCTCCCTCTCGAACCCATTTCTCGGCAACTGCCCCTTCGCTCCTCGCCGCCGGCTTCTGCCGAGCCGGGCTCCAAGCCTCCAGGAGAGCCGCCTTATTATTATTATTATTATTATTATTAGCCCCCCCCCCCCGCTTTTTCTTTCCCACCAATTCCCACTGCCACCCTGCCCATTTCCTAGCCAGCCTTTCGCTCTCCTCGTGCAGTCCGGATCCTCCCCCACCCCACCCACAGACACCCCCCAGCAGAAAACCGATCTCTCTACATTCCTTTCGATGGAGCCCCCCCCCAAAAGCAGATCGGTGGGGCTGCCCCCCAGCCCTGCCTGCGCCCCCCGCCCTCTGCGCGCCCAGGGCTGCCTCGCCGTCCCCGGCGTCTCCCCCGCGCTCCGGCCCCTGTTTTCCTCTCTCTTTATCATAAATATATAAATTATGCTAATTAAGACCATTGCATATTCACCGAACCGGGTCCCCCCCGCCCCCCACCCCCAGCACCGGCCCCGCCGCCGCCCCCCACCCCACTCACCGCTGCGCAGCCGGGAGGGACCCGCTCGCCCCCTGCCCGGGCCGGGGCTCCTCCGAGCCGATCTTTTCCCCTCCTCGTCTTCTTTTCTCTCTCTCTCTCTCTCTTTCTTTTTTTCCCGGGGAATAATTAAAAATTCATCTCACAGCAGCGGGAGCGAAAGGCGCTGCTCGCACACGCACAAAAAGAGGAGGGGGGGAGGCAGCGCCCCCCACCCCCAGGGCCCAGCCGGGCTCAAGGCCTCCTGCAAGCGCAGCCCCCGAGGTTTTGCACCGGGCCTGCCCCCCCGCCGCAGCCGCCCGAGCCCCTGCCCCGCCTGGGGGGAGAACGAGGGGGCAGATCTCGGCGCTGGGGGTTTTTTAGCTGCTGCGTCATGAACATAATTTATGCAAGGGCCTTTGCCGCATCCTGCACAGCCCGCGGGAGGACGCTAGGGGGAGCTGGGGAGCCCCCTCCCTCCCCGAGGCCCCGCCCCGTCCTCAACAAGGTCCGAAGTGCTTTCTCTTTGCAAAAACGAGGAGGTGCGTGCACGGGGTGGGAGGGGATGAAACCGAGGAATGCCCCAACGACACCTTTTCCGGGGTCGAAGCAGCCTTCGCAGCCGGGTTTAGTTCCCCATGACCTGCAAAATGCTTCTGGAGCATAGCTGTCAACTTACAGATTTGAAAATAAGGGACCAGCAGCCTCGAAAATAAGGGATCAGCAGCCAAAATAAGGGATTTTGCTTAGCTTATACAGAAATCCGGCACTGATGAAGCCATGCTGCTTTTGCTGCCGCTGTGTTTTGCAGGGGGTTGGACTAGAGGATCCTAAGGGTCTACAACTCCCACCAAAGAAGAGTGGCGGACAAAACTGATGAACGACGTTGAGATGGCAAAGCTTACAGGCAGAATTAGAAACCAGGAAGAGGACCTCTTTAATAAATAATGGGGAAAGTTTATAATTTATTTGAAAAGCTATTGTCAAGAGTTACATACATGTAGGATTGACAGAAAACTTGTAGTAAAAATTTGAACTATGGATGGACAAATGATTTATAAAAATAGAGTTATGAAAGGGATGCAGAGGGGGAAATCACTACATTAAGATGCTGCACTGTTTGGAGGGCATGCTAAGCAGCATGTCCGGGCTGCCATTGTCCTGGCACGAAGAGTTCCATCGGCCCTTCCCTGCCCAAGAGGGAGGGAGGGAGACAGACTCTCGCCCACGCCGCCCGCGAGCCTGGCATGAGGCAGTTGCGGTGCCGCGGTGGCCCTGAAGTGCCGCCCTTCTGCGTCCCTCCCCATCTCCTCCTCTTCCTCCTCCCTCAGGCCGCCTCCTCAGCCACCACCGCCGCTGCCGCCTCCAGCTTCCCCTGGCAGCGCGGTGGAAGTCTCGCAAGAGAGGGGCTGCCTGCCCACCCACCACCACCCGTCTCCTTGCAAGGCACCCCTGAGGGGGAAAAGGGAGAGACGGAGCCGCGACAGCTTGTGCGCATGCTCTCTCTCACAGCGGAGGACCCTGAGCCGCTGCTTCCCTCCCGAGCCGGGTGAGCATGAAACCCGGGAAATTTACCCGATAATAAATGTTGGAAATGTAAAGAAACTGAAGGTACATTTTTTCACCTTTGGTGGACGTGCCCAAAGATTAAGGCTTTCTGGGAAATGATATATAATGAATTAAAAAAGGTATTTAAATATACCTTCCTCAAGAAACCAGAGGCCTTTCTCCTGGGCATAGTCGGCCAAACAGTGTTAAAAAAGGATAGAACTTTCTTTATGTACGCAACAACAGCAGCAAGAATACTCATCGCAAAGTATTGGAAGACACAAGAGCTTCCCACACTGGAGGAATGGCAGATGAAACTGATGGACTATATGGAACTGGCGGAAATGACTGGCAGAATCCGTGACCAGGGAGAAGAGCCGGTGGAGGAAGATTGGAAGAAATTCAAAGACTATCTGCAGAAACATTGCAAAATTAAAGAATGTTAGAGTGATGTTGGATTAAAAATAAGTGGCTTCCAGCTGTACAGGATTTAAAGTTATATAATGGAAATTTGGTTTTTAAGAGGTAAAATTTAATGTTATATTATATTAAGATTAAAGATTGGGATTAAAAAAGAGGGAAAGAAATTGCTGGACAAACAATTTGAACTGGAATACAAAAGAGGGAGGTACGAGGAGGTCCAGAAAATAGGTAAATTTAAAAATGGAGATGAAAAGGTGGTATTGTTTTTAACTGTTTTCTTTTTTGTCTTTTTTTTTGTTTTTTTTTTTTTTGGATTATGTATTGTGTATTTTTGAATTGTGTATTTCTTTTTTATTTTTAACTTTCAATTGATGTTTTTTCTTTTTATTGGAAATCTTAATAAATATCATTAAAAAAGAAAAGAAAAAAGAAACCCGGGAAATTTAAGGGACATCATCAATAAGGGACAGCAGCGGGACACGGCGCTGGGATAAGGGAGTTTCCCGCCAAATAAGGGACGGTTGACAGCTATGTTCTGGAGAAACGTCTGGGGGGGTTTTATTATTTTAAAAAAAGTTCGAATGCATTCCAGCAGATCGTGGGAGAGAGAGAAGTGCAGTGATTGCCTGGGAATTCTGCACGCCTTGACTTAGGAGTAAGTCCTCCCCATTGCACAAACAGGACTTCCTTCTGAGGAGATATGCACCGGGGGTGCCCACTTGAATAAAATATTGTGGGGCCCCGCCCTGCATAATCAATCACATGATGCAGTGCACACCCTAGTTGAATGGGAATGCCTATCAACTTGGGGGTGGCTTGGCCCCCTCAAATGTTTTATTGTGGGGGCCGAAAGCCTCTATAGCCCCTAGGAGTTGACTCCTGTGATATGCATAGAATTGTGTTTCCTCTTGTGAAAAGAGGAAAGTATTTATTTCACTGCAGCTGTTTCACTCTAGATTTTGAGTGTGACACGGAGAGGAGCTGGGCAAAAAAAAGTGTGCAATTGTGGCTTCTTCAGCAGAAAGGTCAGTGGAACGATGCGCTTCATACATAAATAAAAATTCCACAAATGTTGTCAGCAAAGAAAGAGATTAACTTTTTAAAAAGAAAACAAAAAATCCCTACAAATTGCCAGCCTACTCTACTCTTGGGGTGATTATTCTTGGGATGTCAACTTTTTTGGGGGTGGGGGCAGAATTCTCCAATCTTTCAGTAGTTCCCAAATATTTATCAATACGGTCTACCAATTTTTTTTAAAAAAACCACATTAGGGATCAGTAGGAAAGGGTCTGAAAATAAAACTGCCAATATCACAACACTGCTATACAAATTTATAGCGTGACCACACTTTGTTATACAGTCTACAGTTCTGGTCATCACAACTAAAAAATGATATAATGTAGAGCAGCGTTTCTCAAACTTGGGTCTCCAGCAGTTGTTGGACTACAACTCCCATCATCCTTAACTAGCAGGACCATTGGTCAGGGATGATGGGAGCTGTAGTCCAAAAACAGCTGGAGACCCAAGTTTGAGGAACGCTGATGTAGAGCACACAAAGGCTCAGAAAAGGGCAACCAAACGTATTAAGGGGCTGGAGGAACTTCCCTATGAGGATAGGTTACAACATTAGGATTTCATAAAAAGGAAAGTAAGTGAGGACAACACAAAGGTGTATAAGATTATGCATGGTTTAGAGCAGACATGGGCAAACTCGGCCCTCCAGATGTTTTGGGACTACAACTCCCATTATCCCTGACCACTGGTCCTGTTAGCTAGGGATGATGGGAGTTGTAGTCCCAAAACATCTGGAGGGGCGAGTTTGCGTATGCCTGGTTTAGAGACAGTGCATAGGGAGGCGTTTCCCCACTCTCCACCTTTTCATAATACAGTGGTACCTCGGGTTAAGTACTTAATTCGTTCTGGAGGTCCGTTCTTAACCTGAAACTGTTCTTAACCTGAAACTGTTCTTAACCTGAAGCACCACTTTAGCTAATGGGGCCTCCTGCTGCCGCCACGTCGCCAAAGCACGATTTCTGTTCTCATCCTGAAGCAAAGTTCTTAACCTAAGGTAATATTTCTGGGTTAGCGGAGTCTGT